AAAAAAAAAAAAGAAAGAAAGAAAGAAAGAAAATGTCCCCCAACCTCCTCCCACCCTTACCTTGCTTTCTCTGTTGTGCTATTAATACACTGATCATGGTGACACTATGGGAGCTGTCAAACTTCTGAGCAGATACCCTTTTTGAGCTGGGCATGGTGGGGCACCCCTGTAATCCCAGGAATTAGAAAGCTGAGGCAGGAGGGTTGCCATGAGTTAGAGACCAGCCTGGGCTACACAGCAAGACCCAGCCTCCAATAAAAATAATCAAACAGGACATCATTTCGGAAGCCTCTCTTAGAGGAATTCTGCTTCAGCACTCACTTATTCCACAGATAGTTCAAGAGCACCTACCTTGTTCTGGGTACAGAAACGGAGCAATGAACAGAATAGATAGATAGATAGATAGATAGATAGATAGATAGATAGATAGATTTCTCTCTACCTTCTTGGGACTTAAATTCTAAAATGTCAGGAGGTTTTTATAAATGATTTCTGGGGACAGGAGTGTTCCTTCTTTATTATAGGAGCTCATTTTTTTAGTTTTTGGAAAGAATCCATACTACAAGTTTATCAAATTTCTCTACTAGCAAGCATGGTTTAGAATACTAAGAAGACAAAACAAAACAAAAAACCTATGAAGCCAGGCGTGGTGGCTCACACCTGTAATCCCAGCACTCAGGAGGCTGAGGCAGGAGGACTGCTTCTAGTTTCAGGCCAGTCAGGGCTACAAAGTGAGCTCAAGGCCAGCCTGAATTGCATAGTGAGACCCTGTTTCAAAAAGACAAAAATATAAAATAAATAAAAATACTAGGGCACACGAGGTGTGGACACTTTGCAGTCCAGAATCATCTCCCCAGCCAGGATGGTTGCATTTCACCCCGTCTCTGTGTTTTCCCCGCCCCTCCAAAGTCACTCCTTAGCGGAGTGGCCTGTCCTAAGGAGCCTGGGCTGCAGGTCCAGCCAGCAGGGAGAGACCAGGGCATGACCCCGGGACATAGCCCTAGCCCCGCCCGCTGGCCTGGGCAGTCCCTGGACAGCGGCTCCATCGGGGCTGGGAGTAGGGACCAGGCAGGCATTTGAGGCCTGAACTCTCCGTGAACCGGGAAGGGAAGGGGGTGGGAGTGACAGAGTGGAGCGCAGGGACAGGCCAGCGGCCAGGGGAGGCTGGCCGGCTTCTCGGGGAGCCTCCTGAGTAAATACTGAGCTGCTCATCTCCAAGGTGGGGGTTGAAAGAGGGCTGTCAGGCAGGGTAAACTGAAGGCAGCTCTGGCCTCCACGGAGCAGGGGCACCTCTTTGGGAGAGCCCCCCCTCTTCCGCTGCCCTCAGGGGATGGGACTGCAGGGCTCTGAACATTCTGGACCCTGCTGGTGATCTTGAGAGCTTGGAGGAAATGGAGGAGAGAATTTTTAATTAGCTCTAACTAAGCCGGTAGAATCTATTCAACAGGCTGCACCGCCACCCTACTGTCCCGTCCCGTCCCCCTGCCGCATCCAAGTGTCCAAGTTCCCCTGTCCTCTCCGTCTTCTGTCCTCCAAGGAAGAGACACTCCAGGCGGAACTCAGCTTATGCCAAACCCGGAAACGCAGGCCAGGGGGCTGAGGCCATTTGCCCAGGGACACAAAGGAGACCAAACGGCCCCCTCGCCTCCTGCCATCTCTTCTCTGAGAACCTGACCAATGTCTTTGCCAGTGAAGAGACTGACAGAGGTGACGTCCCAGAGGTCAGCCAGCAAAGCCGGGTGCTGCCTCAGCCTTCCTTTCTCCCGGGAATGGAGATTAAGTCTTCGGCATCCCCAAGTCCCCTTCCAGCCAGCGCGTGCTCTGAGAGCCAGGGAGGTCACCAAAGGTGAAGCTTCTGGGATACTGTGGCTGAATCATGGAAAGAAGCCCTGAGCACCAGAGGAAATGAAGTACCTGGCACACCTGCAGGGGGCACCATCCTGCGGGGGCCAGCAGAAGTGCACCCCCAGAGTTACAGGATGAGGCTGTCTGCCCAGGGCATCCTTCCTGGGACCCTGTATTTCCTGTACCATGCCCGGGGACTCCCCTGACCTGGTTCCTTCATAATTATCTCATCCTTGGCAGCAGCCAGCCCTACGGTGACAGCCCCAGGCCGGTCCGCTGGTGTGTTGGGGGTGGGGAGGCGGAGGACGCCGCTTCCATGATGCCGAGAGCCAAAGCCACTCAGCATAAGAAAGGTCACAGGAAAAGGGTCTTTGTGACCACATAAAAGGAGATGATCGCTACCCAGCACCTCACTCTGGGCAGGAAGCTCCACTACTGTCCACCATTTAGGTTTCCGCATCTTCCATTCTGCATCTAAAGCAACAACAACAAAAAGGAAAGCGGGAGCCCAGGCATGAGGTGGCACAGCTGACAGGAAAACCTCTGCCTCTGTCCCAGAATGCAGAAGGGTGGCGAGAGCCAAACAGCGGAGGACACGAACAGGGAAGGGTTCAAGCAGGTGACCCAGGTGCTCCGAGCTGCTGAGACAGTCCTCGCCACCTGTCCTAGCCCAATCAACCACGGGCACCAAACCAGAAATATGGGTGGCATGTGGGCACGTCCAAGACACACCTTGGAATCCGCTGGGAACAATAGAAAGAAGCCAGCATGTCTCTTTTTAATAACGGTGATTGTCACAGTTTACCTTGATATATTAGGGTCTATATTAAATCCTTTAATCCCAACACCAAGCCTATGCGATATTGTCTCCATAGTGTAGATAATGAAGCAGCAGAGAGAATTATGCAACTCTGAGGTCCTAATTTGAGGTCAACTTTTGACCACTTTTTTGCCTTTCCTATTTATCTTTTTCTCTTTCTTTCTTGTTTGTTGTTTTTTTGAGACAGTCTCACTGGTCTTGAACTCAGTGAGGCCTCCAGCTCTGCGGTCCTCCTGCCTCGGCCTCCTGACTGCTGGGATGACAGGCTGGCCCCACCACACCCTTTGGGAGGTGTTGTCATTGTCCTCTTGTACACCTTCCCACCCTGTCCCACCAATTCCTGACCAGCAGCTCACAGTGGCATAAAACTTTCTTTCTGTCTTGTTCAGGAGATCAAAGGGCCTCACGTGGAGAGGACAAATGCTGAGGAAAAGCAAATGAACAAGGGGAATTCACACTTGGGACTGAGAAACAGATGGTGCTGGGAGCTGCGTGGAGGGCGGGGGCTTGACAGCCCCCCAGCAGATCAGCCAGGGGTGGCAGAAATCTCTCCTGAGCCTTCTATTTTCAAAATTAGAGATTTTCTTTTTTTGAGATCTAGTAAATGGAGATGAGGGGGTAAAAACTTCCAAATTTTTGCAAAAGAAGAGAAAGCTTAGGCATCCAAAGGCCTAGGGGAACCTATAAGTGAAGCATTGTGGCCTCCACTGTGAGAAGTCTACCAGGGTGGGTTAACTTTGTTTTTGGTCTTCTCCTTTGTCTTCTACACACCGTGATCTTTTCTTTTTCCAAATAAATAAATGTCTTCTTGCAGACAGGGTCTGGGGCCTCAGATGGGGCGGAATTCCAGGAAGGGACCTGACCTTTGCACTGAGATGGAGCTTGGAGGTATTAGGAATTTTTTTGAGCCTGGCTCTGGTGAGGGAGAATTGGTTTGGCCTCACCCTTCCCTGGAGGACTCTAATGGCCTTCTCTGCTGTGACCGAAAATCAAATGTCCCGGCCGGCCCCCCCTCCCCCGGGGACCCCTCCCCCACCATCCCTGACCACAGCTTGTCCTTCCTGCCTCTCTGCCCACCTGCCCAAGATGGGCAAAGGTTGGAGGCTCCACAGAGCTCTCTGCCAGCTCACAGGAAACTACGGCAGGCTAGCAAGGGGAGTTTTGTCTCTGCAGACAGTGACTGGTCCCCTCGGTCAAGGTGACCCCTTTGGGGAAGCCAAGCTTGGTAGCAATTTCAATTAGATATAGAAAAGCAGTTAATAGATTTTTTTTTCCCAAAGACTGAGGGCAAGGCGGCAGCCTCCGGGAAGGCTGGGCTTCCTCACTGGCCAGGCTGTGCCGTTATTGATGGTGCTGCTTCCCCAGCAATGTCACCAGTGTCGTGGGGAAGCAAGCCAGGGCTCCGAGTCATTGTCACTGTGTCTCAGAGGTCACAGGTTACACAGATGAGGAGGGGAACAGATCAGACTCCCCGCTTGGGTGACTGCTGTAACCTCGGGGAGCCTTTAGACTGGGTGGGGTGGGAGATGGGGTGGGGTGGGAGTGAGCCGGCAGGCATCAAGCCGGGCCTAGAGGCCGTGGTCTGTGCTGACTGCAGCACTTAGGGACCGGTGAGCGATGGCCATTTGCCGGCAGCCACCAAGCTTCGCGAGGCCTGGCCCCCACCTCTGTCTGTCAGACCTAAGGTTTGCCAGAGGGACGGGTCTGAACAATAGCTGCCTGCAGGCTCCGGTGGCTTGTTTGGAAAACCCAGGGGGGCCTGGAGGTAAGAAGGTCAGTGCGGGATCCCAGTGATCTCAGCAGCCTCAGGCTCCAAACCCTTGGCCGCCCACCACTTCCCCACCCACCCACAGCTAGAGGCCTCCCCAGGCCACCTTCCTCCGGACAGGTCACCTTGAGCCGCAATCAGACTCTTGGGGGCCAGAGGCTGGGACCAGACACCCCGCAGGAGTGTGTGGGGACTCTGTCCCGCGTGGGGAGCAGGGGCCTTTCACACCTCATCCCTGCCCAGCAAAGTGCTGGGGGGAGCAGACAGGACTCCCCTCCCTTCTTCCCCCACCAAATCTCCCCATCTTTCACCCTCTCCAAGCAGATCTGCCCAGCACCTTCCTGCTCCATGTCTGGTGGCTTTTCCCCATGACCAGTGGGCTGAGCCCTGTCTGGCCTGGGTGGGTGCCTGGCCCCTTCTTTTGAGGTCTGCACTCAGAGTCCTTTTCCTTCCCCCTTGAGGCGAGGCTCAGCTCTTTCTAAGCCAGCAGAGAGAGCCAGCCGCTCCTCACCTCTAGCCCAGGGCTCAGGCATCTGAGGAGCAGAGGCCGGAAAGAAGAGAGGGGAACAGAGCTTTATTGAACTGAGGTAGTCGGAGGTACAGACGAACCGGCTGCTGGGGGCTCAATTTTCCAGAAACTCAAATGTGTCTCCCAGGACTCCAGAGTTCAGAGGACACCAGCTGGGGCTCTGAGAGCCAGTGGTCCCCAGGCCTGGGCCTCCCCAGCTGCACCCCCAGGGGTAGGGGTGGGGAAGGAGTTCCTGGGTTTTTCCAGGAGACAATAAATAGGGGGGTAGGGTGGGATGGGGGCAGGCCCACCCCTTCCTGCTGGAGGCTTGCTGGGGGCAGGCCTTGCACAGCATTCTGGAAGTTTCTGAGGAAGCACAGGGTTCTAAAACCCTGTGGCCATTTCTTGATGAGGTCACTAGTGGAAGGAGACAGAGAACTTGGGGGGGAGGGAGCTGCATTAGTGCAAAAACCAATGTGCGGGCGCCGGGAGGGGGCTCATGGGGGCTTTTTGGTCATCGCAAGGCAGCTGGTGCAGTGGTAAGGTCTGTGGTGACGACATTAAGGATTAGGGTTGAGGGTTGGTGGTGACACACCGGCTCTCACGCAGGAGGACTGTCTCCCTCTCTCTCTCCCCACGTCTGGCCCAGAAAGAGGAGACCTGAGTACAATCCTCGGAGCTCAAGGCACTGTGCTGAATTTACCCGACTTGGGAGGGAAGGAGAGTGCAGAGAGCCGCAGGGAGGCTCCCACCCTTCTCCCCACCCCACCCCGCCCACGCTTTGACCTTGAACGGATCCCCAGACCCCCAAGGTGGACATGCTTCCTTCCACTTGGACAGGGTGGGGTGTCTTCCAGGCCTCTGGGCCCAACCCCCGTCAGCCCCCAGACCTGAGGACGAGTTCCCCCGGCCCTCACCCCCTCCCCAGGCCACACTAGGCTGGCGCCCCAGCCTTGGCAGGGGACCCCAGGGCGGTGAAGCTGGGGTGCCTAGGAGAGGACTGGGCTGGGGCTCCAGCTCCCGGCGCTGGGCTCGGGGTTCAGGAGGTGACGGAGCTGGGCGATGCCTCCGGGGAGGTGCAGGTAGACTGGTCCGAGGCGTCTCCAGCCGCCTCCTTGGGGCCGCCTGGGGGGACCAGGACCCCGCGGCCGCCCTCTCGCTCGCGCTTCTTCTGCTTCATGCGCCGGTTCTGGAACCAGATCTTGACCTGGGTCTCGTTGAGCTCCAGGGTGGCAGCGATCTCCACCCTGCGGGCGCGACTCAGGTACTTGTTGAAGTGGAATTCCTTCTCCAGCTCGGTCAGCTGCCGCGTGGTGAAGTTGGTCCGCACCCCGCCGGGGGCGCCCAGGCCCAGCTCGGACACCTTGGCTGGGGGCGGGGCGGGGAGAAAAGCCAGGTCAGTGCTCACCTCCGCCGCCCTCCCGTCCGCTCCTCAGGGCCCAGCACCCCATTCCGTGCAAGCTCCAGGTCCCCAGGCACCTCGCATCCCCTCCACCCTCCACTCCTGTGCTGCAGATCGTGGGGGACCTGGGAGCGCAGATCAGCGTGGGGTGCGGTGGGGTGCGCGGGGAGCCCCGCTCTTGGGGGTGCCCCGACCCTGATGGGGTAGGTGGGTGACCGCCGCCCGGACCTGAGACCCTGCAGGGCCGCTCACCTGCCTCTGCCCGGAGCCGCTGAGTCCAGAAAACCCGGCCTGGCCCAGGGGGCGCGGGAAGGGGTGGCCGCGCCGGAGCCCTACCTGCCTTGGGGGGGTTCCTCTTCACCTTCATCCAGTCGAAGGTGCGGGCCGTGGGGGTGCTGGCCTCCGACGGGCAGGGGGCTTCCTTGTCCTCGGAGAGGAGACCATAGGCCGGGGCGAAGCCGGCTGCATGCTCGCCGGCGTAGGGGGGCTGCGGCGCGGGGTAAAGGCCCTGGCCCGCCGCGCCGGCCTCGTAGCCGTCGGGCAAGCCCGCTAGCTGGGCCCCGTAACTCGAGGGGTGAAAGTAGCCACCGTCTCCTTCTGGGGTCCCCAGAGGGTAACACTGAGCAGGCCCAAAGCCCGGGCTGCAGGCGGCGGGGGCGTACCCTGAGGGCGCTGAGCTGGGGAAGGGCACCCCCAGCGCTGAAGGCGGCTGCAGGGCGGGGTACCCCGAGTTCTGCTGGAGGGCCTGGCTGGGCAGCCCCCCACCATAACGGCCCTCGCCTGTGTAGCTGTCAACCGCCTGGTCGGAGGAGTTGGAGGGGAAGGAAGAAGTTGGGGCGCTGTGCGCACCGTAGCCGCTGGGTCCCCGGTTACAGAGTGGGTACTCTAAGAAGTTCATCCTATTATAGTCCATGCGTGGAGGCCGCAGGAGGGTTGGCCCGTGTGGGGGAGACACCCTCTTGCCCTACAACCCTTCGGCAGTATGTCACCGCGCTGAGACCCGCATCCATGGCCCGGCGGCCGGCCGGGGTTAGCGGTCCCCCAGGAAGGGGTAGGCCGTGGGGGTGGGGCGCATGTGATCGCTCCCAGGCCAATGGGCTGAGCAGGCCAGAGTTTGGCAGCCCCAGCGCCCATCCATCACCCCCCAAGCATTAGCATGACAAAGACACTTCAATCACCCACAGCCCATCCATCTGAGAGCGACACGGACGCGTCAAAAACATCTTTCTTCAAAGACTTTTGGAAAGAAGGGACCAGAGGGAGGGGGAAAGTTGGAAGAATATTCAAGACTTGCCTCCCTCCCAGCCCCCAAGGCTTCAATACGCTCCTGGGTTATTAGATTTGGGGTAAATTCAACCCAGCTGCCCCTACTCTTCTCACTCCACAAGATGCCTCCCCCCAGGGCTGGTGGGGAGCCCGTCCCCCTTGGGTCCCCCCAGACTCCCACTCTGTGCATCCTTCCCCCCTGTTTGTCTCGGGGTGCAGGTGTTTAGGGGTTCGGGCCAGGGTGTGTTATTCTGGGCCAAATGGATGGCTGTGAATGGGGGGGGGGGGTGCAAAAATACCTCAGGGTGCGAGAGGCAGGCCTAGAATTCAGGGAAGAATTCATTCAGCCCCGGGTGGAAAAATGGCATTTCAAGGAAGCATTAGGGGACGCCTGGCGGGGAGGATGAGAAACCCCTTCCTCTGCCGTCTCTCCACATAAACGCTCTCCCCGCATTCCGGCCTCCATTTCTCTCCCTCTGCCTCTCTTTATATCCTCTCTGTCTCAATCCATCTCTCCGTTCGTCCATCTCGCTCCATATTTATATTCGTCCCCCACCTATCCATCAACTCATCTTTCTCGATGTATTTATCTCTCTGGAGCCATCCCTAGCAGGAGCCCGCTCACTCACTCAGACTGCGTAACTGCTGTCTCTCTCCGGGGAAGGGGGAAGAGAAGGAGGGAGCTGTGGGAGCTCCAGGCCAGGTGAGCTTTGCAGCAGAGGGGCCAGGGGAATTTTTAGCCTCTTTCCAGGGTGTTTAAAACTAGGGGAGCGCCTGCATTCCTCTGGTTCCCTTCCACCTCCCAGCATCTCCTCCCCCCTAAAACATAAATAAATAAAAATTTAAAACTCCAGGCCTGGGCTCATCCATGTGACAACCAGTTAAGTCTGAAAGGACACTCAAAAATATCCATGAATGTTCTAGAATAAAGGGCCTTCCTTAGCAGAGAGGACAGGAGGATGGAGTGGAGCTATCTCTGGGGCTCGGAATGCTAACTCACCCCCCTTTCTGGTGCTCCCCTGAGTCTGTGGGGGTGGCCTGGGGGAGGGGAGACCGGAAGTGCCTGCCTCTGTCTCTTGGTCGCTGGATGGGCCCAGTGGAGAAGCCCTTAGGTGGAGTCCATTGATTCTCCTCCCCCGACTGACTCCCAACACAAGAGCTCGGTGCAATCCCACACCCACACTCATTTGTAACCTGTCAGGGTGTCTGCCTGGCCACAGGCCTGAGGCCAGAGCTAGGGCAAGTCCAGGAGGGCAAGAGTTCAGAGAGTGGCCTCTGTAAACAACCCGGCAGGAGCAGGAGCGGAAGGGGAGACAGGTGCCAGGGGTCCAGGGAGGAGCCTCAAACCTTCTCAAGTCTCCCCACCCCAAAAAGTGCAGGATGTCCCCCTGTCCTTCTGCAAGGGACCCTGCAATCATCTCTTTCACCTTCTGAGTCGCTCTGTCCATCCCCTTTGTTGTCCGTGGCTGCCTAGAGCTGCCCCCCCTGCTGTCCCTTCTGTGTCACCAGGAGCACAGGCTTTGCTCTCCACCTGCCAGCCCTGGCTGGGAAGGGGCACCAAGCCCTTCACAAGGCCCCTGTCCCTGTCCTGCTTTAGACACAGAGGAGCTGGGGAGAGCAGGATCCACCAGCAAGTTGTCCGACAGACATGCCAAGAGACTGGGCGGAGGGAAAATGTTCTTTTGCCAAGGAGATGAGGGAAGATGGGAGAAGGGCTGGCCTGTAGACAGGTGAAAAAGAAAAGGATTAGCAAGGTGGAAACAAACGGATTTCTTTCTACTTCAACTTTTTTGGAAAGGAGTTTGTAGCTGCTTCTAAGTTTCTCTATCTCTTTCTTTCACTTTTTTGAAACAGGGTCTCACTATGTAGCTTAGGCTTGTGAACTCATCACGTGGCCCAGGCTGGCCTCAAACTCACAGCAATCTTCTTGCCTCAGTTTCCTGAGTGCTGGGGTTACAGCTGTGCACCACCCCTGGCCTGTCCCCACATTTAAGGGTGCCTTCAGCAGAGTCTGGGCCCTCTGAGTGAAGGGAACTAGAATTTGTCTTCTAGCCCTGTAATGGTTTGTGTTTAAATGTTCCCCAAAGCCTCAGGCAGTCATGGAGGCGGCTGAGTCTAAGGTTTGTGATTGGTTTGTCGTGTAGCGCTGGGATTGGTGGTGTGAGTGCTGCACTCACCCAGGGGCGGAGCCAGCACAAAATATAAAGGAGGGAAGGCTAATGCTTTTCCCTTCTGCCCTTTTTGCTCCTGTCTCTTGCTGCTGCCATGAAGGGTTGCCCTTAGCCATGCCATCCTGTCTAATTTTGCAAGTCAGATATTTTGTCCCAGCAAGGAGAGAAAAGTAACCAAAAAGAACCCCAAGTCTGAGCTAAGCCCACATATTAACTGGTTCCACCTCCTCTTCCTCTCAGGGAGAACCTTCTCTCCCCCACCCCTTGCTGTCCTAATTAAGGGCTGACATGAGAGCTAAAAGGGGAAGCAAATGCCAAATCTCTAATAAAACTACATGCATCTGTCTGGGAGCTAGGGAGATGCATCCTCCCATAACAGCTGATGTCAGCAACAGTCTGTCATAATGAAAGGAAAAGGGGAAGACTAAAGACGCGGCTGGTCCAAGAGTGCCTTAAATTTCCCTGTCGAGCAGAATAGGTTAGCACACACCTATACTCCCAGCACTTGGGAGGCTGAGGCGAGAGGATCTCCTTGAGTTCGAGGCCAGTGTCCAGTATGAAATACATAGTGAGACCCTGTTGCAAAATACAAAGAGGAAAAAATTACACTGTCTACAGCAGGTGATTGCTTTGGCCTCTGCTGTTCAAATGCACTGTGTCATGCAGTGTACCTTCTTTCTTGCAGCAGGTATGTTAAAAAATTTCCACAGGGGCCAGGGATTTAGCTCAATGGTACAGCATCTGCCTGGCAAGCATGAGCCATGAGTTTAATCCCTGCTACCAAAAAAACAAAAACAGTGAGCGTTGGTGGTATAGTGGTAAGCATAGCTGCCTTCCAAGAAAACAAAAACAAAAAAAACAGTTACCTAAAGAAACTTGAGAAAAAAATTTTTTCCATAGGCATGGTGATGCATATCTGTAATCCCAGCACTAGGGAGGCTGAGGCAGGAAGATCACTACAAGTTTGAAGCCAGCTACACAGTGAGTTCAAGGCATCAAGTCTGTGTTCCCAGCCCTCTGGGAAACTGAAGCAAAAAGATCACAAGTTGGAGCCCTGGGCAACTTAATAAGACCCTGTATCAAGGCTGGGGGGGTTCTCAGCTCAATGTGAAGACCCCAGGTTCAAGTCTCAGTACCATAAATAAATATATAAAACAAATAACCTGTCTGGAATTCACACTGTCCCCACGCTGCAGAAAGGGCTGGGAGGACCAGGCTGTTCCGGCTCCCTAAATTCCCAAGCCACCTCTTCCTCAGAACCTTCAGGCCCCTGAGCAGCACACGGGTGTGGGATTTTCTGCTTGGCCAGAGATGAAGTCCTGCTGGAAGGTAGCTCAGAGGCAGAGCCCTTGGCCATGAAGCACAAAGCCCTCAGTTCCATCCCCAGCCTGGCAGAAGGGAAACTAATCCCGAGACCACATATAGGTAGCTGCTTCTGACACAAAACACCAGGAAGGGCCTGGGTTGGACCCACACCGACACGGAGTAGGTTTCCTGGCTTGTGTAACCTTTATAGCCACACGCGTGTTTACAACTAAAACTACCCGTGAAGGTTTCTGGCCTTTGTCAGGATGGCGATGCACGCAGAGGAGCCACCCTGACCAAAAGAGGGACAGGACAGGAGTCCACACCTGGGTTTCTGGTCCCCTCTGCTCAGGAAGCTGCTTGGGGTGGGGGTTGGCAGGAGGAAACAAGGGGTCTCGGAGGTCTACCTCAGCTCCCCCCTGCCCATGTTCAGAAGGCCACACCCAAGGCCAAAAGTTCGAAACTTCAGAACAGGAAGGATCAAACTCATGACCTCGAGTTTTCCAGGCTGGTGCTTATGCTGCTGAGATAAATCCCCAGCCCCTGGGGTTATAATTTGTTCACTAAAAGACACAGCTTCTTTCTGCTGTGAGGAGGAAAGACTGGAATCTGAATTCAGCATTGTTTATTTTATTTATTTTTTGTCTTTTTGAGACAGGGGCTTGCTATACAGTTCAGGCTGGCCTTGAGCTCACTTTGCAGCCCAGGCTGGTCTCAAATATTGTTTATTTTAATGCAGGCTAATTAAACTGTCAGGAATCTGGTTGAGAACCTTTGACTGTGGGTACTGCATCTGGTAATGGGTACTAAGTTAGGGACCAGAATCCTTGGGTTCAAGTCCTTGGCCATAGTTTAGTTTAGTTTAGTTTTGTTTTTGAAGCTAGTTCTTGATGGCCTTGAACTCATGGAGATGCTCTGCCTTAGTGTCCCCAGTGCTGGAACTGGTGGCCTGGCTCCCCCTTGACCATATCTTAGCATTATGACCCGGGCCCAGTTTCTTGGCTTCTCTTAGTCTCAGCCTTGCTGAAGAAGAAGGTGGTTAACACCACTTACTCTGTCAAAGCACAGAGAACGCCATAGATGTGTGACATTAGCATTGCATGCACTTCCAGAAACAGCATGCATCAGTATGGCTTTTCATAAAACTAGCACATTAAAATACAGAAATATGTGATAAGAAAATAGCCTATGTACTATTCTCGTGTGTAAACTCTCACCGATATAATATGTCTTTTTTCAGATGCAAACTTCACTCAGAATGGAGAAGACTCTTAAGCCAGGGGTTTTCTTCCAGGCTGAAGCAGGTTTTGAAACTAAAGCCTAATATTTAATATGTGTATCTCAGACAAGTCTGAGGTTGAGTGTGAGAACATCTTGATTTTGCAAATATTTGGGCAACAGTCTCTAAGGAGGAGGTGGCCACTGCTTCTGACTGGTATTTGGCTCACAAATTGTCTTTCTCAGGGGACAAAGGCTGGATCCTGCCTTCCAGGCTGAAGGGAGGTCACGAGTGTGCAGGTTTCTGTCGGGCAGGAGTGACAGAGGACATGAGGCAGTAATGGGAAAGTTCCAGTGACACGAAGAATTGAAATAATTTTCTACTTAATTAGGTTTATCCAAATGTGATGGTGTGGGGTGAAATAGCCACTTGGGACATTTTATCAGACGCCCGCCACCCTATTGAGGCTGTGACTTTTCTGTGGTGGCTGGGAGCTCCAGAAAGTCTTAAGAGGATGGTCATCCTGGACTCTGTCCTCTAAGGAAAGAACTCTTTCTTAGGTCTCTTTGGACAGAAATACCTGCTGGGCTTCCCACAGAGGGGGAGCAGGGGAGGGGTTGTCGAGGGGGGCTGCAGGGGTCAAGGAGGAGCTGGGCTATGGCAGCCACTGCAGGCCCAGGGTACACAGCCAGGACAGGCCTCTGATGGGACTGGAGACATGGGGAAAGGTGGAGAAGCAGAGTGGGCAGGGCTGTTTGAAGGAACAGGATCTGTGCCTGTTCTCTGATGTTCCATGACCAGATAAAAGTCCACTATGCCATGTCAAAGAAGATTTCCAGTGGCTCTTTATATAAAATTGCCTACATTATGATTATGATTATTCACTTTTTTTGAGACAGGGTCTCGCTCTGTAATCCAGACTGGCCTTGAACACACTTTGTAAACCAGGCTAGCCTCATACTTACAGCATCCTCCTGCCTCAGCCTCCCAAGTGCTAAGATTATACACATATGCCACCACACCTGGCAGCCTACTCTTTACTTAAAAAAAAAAAAACGAAACAACAAAAAAAAACCTCAGCAAAATATTAGAGAAGGCAGCAGAGGATGAAAGCTGGAGAGAAACTTGCCCAGGGTACTTCTGAATAGTCCTTTCTGTGGACGCCATGGTACCTGGCATACCCCAAGGCACCCAGTAGTTCCTTGGTAAAAAGGTTTCTCTCTGTCCTCAGGCAGTCATGATTGGGGCCATGACTGTTGATGTAAAGACACAAATTAAAAATCTGTTAAAATGATCCCACCAGAAATGTGGGGATGGGATATTGTCAAACACTCAGACTCCCTTAAAAGCATCTGACTCCAATCAAAAATGAATATTTAATGCATTACTTGTGCAGACTAATGGGTATATTTGGGGCATATATTATTGCAGAGTGCATGAGAAACATTTCATTGTTCTGTTTATTTCACAGATAGAGAAACTGAGGGACAGAAAGAGGAAAGGAGCCGGGCATGGTGGTAGCACATGCCTGTAGTCCCAGCTCTTGGGAGGCTGAGGCAGGAGGATTGCTGCAAGTTTGAGGCCAGCCTGAGCTATGAAGTGAGTTCAAGGCCAGTCTGCATAGAAAGACCCTGTCTCAAAAAGACCAAAAGAAAAGGAATTGACCAGGCCTAAGTTAACTTTTTTCTTCTCCTTTTTTTTTAAATGACTCAGGGTTATCACCATTGGAAGTAATTCCTCAATCTAATGGCCCTTTGCTTTCACTATGGTATTAATGAGCCATTCTTCTCAGAAGAATGATTTACCACGGGCAGGCCAGGCCGACCAGCAACTTTCCTGGCTGCGCTGAAACCTCACCACCCCAGCTGCAGACCATCTATAACCTGTCTGTGTTCCAGGCTCCTCACAGTTGGCCCTGGCCCAGTAGAGACACGGTGAGGGTAGCCGCCTGCCACCCCTAGGAGAGTCCAGAGCCCTCCCCAGAGATCACTCCTCTTCCCCTTCCTTCCTCATAGCCAACTAGAAAACCTCCCGCTAGAGAGAGCCAGGACAGATGTCATTTGCAACACAGCAGGTCTGAATTCTACACTGGCAATGCCTTCCCTGGAATGGAAGAGGACTGGAAGTTAGCGGCCAGAAAAAAAAGTCCCAAGTTCTTCTGTCTGGAGGAAGGCAGGCAGGTAGCAAGGTGACACTGGATCTAGCATCCTTCTCCAACTTCAGTGTTCCCAGCAATCACAAAGGGAGTTGATGACCAGTCGTTTCAGACTCAGTAGGTCCAGAGCTGGGCCTAGGAGCCTGCAGTTCTAAGCAGGGACCTGGAGCCACAAGCTCCTCCTCCGCCCCAGGCTCCTGGGGGGGGGGGGAGTGTCCCCTCCAGCAGAGCAGAGTCTTTTTTTTTTTTTTTGGCATTGATGAAGGGTGCTCTCTTTTTGACCAAAGAAAGCTGGAAGGTGGGTAATTAGCCAGATCCTTTTGGTATTCTTGATCTTTGTAACAACTTGCTAGAACTGCAAGAGCATTTTTAATTAGACCAAATTATCTATTTTGGCTGTCCATAGAAATCAAAGCCCCCGATGAATGTCTCTTTCATTTCGATAGTACGGAGATGGCTTATGTGCTGTGATTTTTAAGATGCTGAACACTGCCTATGGGCATATTTTATGGGGAAATAAACACACAGCCCAATGAGATGGATAGCGGGGTTTTAATATATTGTATATTCACTTATTTATGGAGAAAATAAACACACAAGCCAATAAGCTGTGTGTTATTACTTTAATATATTGAATTTATTTCACACCTATATATTTTATGAGGGAAAATAAACTAATAAGATACACGATAGTATTATAATAACATATCTAATTGTTCTATATTAATTTATTTATGAGAGGAATAAGTGCAATTTAACATGACATAAGATTATTTAATGCACGAGGCGAATTCTGTATTAGGACAGTTTAAAGTATTAAATTCCGGCTGAATAAAATGTGGACTTCCCACGCTGAAGGGACGGTTTAGAAACATTCAAGAATCCGGCCTAGTGCTATATGTCACAACCCGGGTTGGCTCCTGGCGTGGCCTGATAGTTGCGGGCCTTCGGGGTGCCTAGTATGCTCAGTCCCCGTCCTGCTGGCCTTGGGAAAAAAGTCTGGGAGGCCCAGAAAATAAAGTGCTTTTAGAAAACCGCAACATCTGCCAGGGAGGTAGCCTCGCGGTGTCTGTTTCTGAGCCCGAGAAATATTAAATAAACCGAAGGAGGATGAATGGCTTTCCAGGGCCCTTTAAATCTCCACGCTCCCGAAGAGCAAACCAGGAAGCAGCTGGGGGAGATCGATCCTGGCTTCCCGCTCGCCGCCGGCTTTGCAAGGAGCTGGGAAGGGCTGGGGTGGGGTGCGGACCGGAAAATGAAGTTGTCGGCGGAGACAGGTGGCTCGGCGTTTTGCAGGAAGTTCTGGCCAGGCTTCAATTCCCAGAGCCAAGGATCAAAAGTGACACTTGTCGAGAGGCAAAAAGCCCCAGGCCCGAGGCCCACGGCGGGTTCCCTCCCCTGGTCCCACGCCCACGCGGACTCTCCTCCCACTCCGCACGCTCTGCACCGCCACCGGGCTCCTTATTAGAGCTCTGAAATGACGCGCACGCGCAGAGGCGCGGTGGGGGCGGGGCAGCCGGGGCACGCGCGTGCCCGCCGCCGCCATGGCCGCCGCCACTGCCGCCATCTTGACGCCCTCCTGCTACCCGTCGCTGTCTGCGTCCCGGCGGCCGGCTGGACTGCGCGCGCTCGACCCCGGCCACCGGAGACCTGCGGCGTCCACGTGGGGACTGTGGTCCCCTCAGGTGCCACTTTGCAGTTCCTGGGCGCCCAAGGAAAGCTCGGGTCCCTTCCGCGCAGTCTTGAGCCACCTGCACGGGCCCACGTTCCAGGCCTCGCGTCCCCGGGGCCCTCTCTAGTCTGTGGGCACTAAAGAAATCTGGGGAGCCTGGGGTCCCCTCAGAATCTAGCCACGACTCGGAATCCTGTCCCCAGGCCTCCCGGTCGCCACCAGCTTCTGCCCTGGCCCAGACACAAACCTTTCTTCCCAGCCGCTGCCTTTATGTCTAAGCCAGGGCCCAGGAACACCGTCACGCGGCGTCAGAAGTCCTCTAGTTTGGGGACAGGGAGGAGCGCAAGCAGCCAGCAGCCTCCCACACGCGCTCTTCCTGGAGCCCCGACTGGAGACGCGGCCACCACGCGGGGCCGCTTTTGTTCCACCCGGGCTTGGCGGGTCCCCGCGCTTTGCTGCCCCCGCAGCACCGGGGCCGCGGCACCGGACCGAGCCCCACGGCCCAGCCCGGCTGGACGCGGGCGATCAGGCTGGAGGGCAGGGGAGGGGAAGGGCTGGGACCCACACAAACACTCGTTTTCGTATTATAAAGACATTTATTTAACCTATGAAAATAATGTACGATAAATACTTTCCCCTTTTCCTATTATTAAAGAATTTTTAATAAATAATCTACGGCCTAAAACTTAAAAAGGAAAATAAGTCCCTCTAGCTCTTTTTTAAGAAAACCCACCCCCCAAATTTCATTATTCCTGAGATTTCGTTGGAAAGGGTCCACCAAACGGAATTTTCGTGCGTGATTTAAAAACAAAGAGGCAGGGGAATGGATGGAAAGCTAATTCAGTAATACCTGGATTTTTAGGAAAAACATAAGTAAATGCGAGTGGGAGCGGAGGAGGCTCGATTCTCCCCACAGCCGGCACGGAGTGGGGGCCAGGAAGGCCAGGAGACCGCGGGTCAGGGAAACTGCACGTCGATGGCGCACAGCGAGCTGGTGACCAAGTCCAGCTCCTCCTCGGAGAAAAGGATCGGGCCATGCAGCGAGCCCTGCAGGGTGGGAGAGAGGCCTCCGCCGGACAGCTGGAGACTGGAGTCCGCGGCCAAGAAGCTGAGGTCCGGCAGGAAAGGCGAGTCCTGGAGCTCGGGGAAGGCGTCTTCGGGCGAGGGCTCGGCCTCCAGCCCGGCGGCTCCGCGCAGCGCGCACTCGGGGCTCGGCGCACCCGCAGCCTCCGCGGGAGCAGCCAGGGGTCCGGGGCCCGGCACCCCCGGGAGTCCCCGCGCGATCTGGGCCAAGCTCAAGCAGGCGTCCCGCGCCCCCTTGGAGGCGGAGTCGGAGGCTGAGGGGTCACCCGGGCTGGATTCGGGGTCCTCGGCGTAGTCGCCGGCGTCCTCCCGCACGCCCAGGCAGGAGGGCTCCCCTTCGGGCGGCTCCCGGTGCTGCGTCTGTCGCTTGTGCTTCATGCGCCGGTTCTGGAACCAGACTTTGACTTGCCTTTCGGTGAGGTCCAGCAGGGCCGCGATCTCGACGCGGCGCGGCCTGCACAGGTACTTGTTAAAGTGGAATTCCTTCTCCAGCTCCAGCAGCTGCGTGTTGGTGTACGCCGTGCGCAACCTGCGCGCCCCGCCGCCGGCCTCCGGCAGTCCCGGCCCATCTGTAGGGAGAGCAGACCCGGTGTCAATCCCAGCGGGCCGTGTCCCCAGCCCAAGGAAGAAGGCCACTCCGTCCCCCAAGATGAAACATCAGCCTCCCCTGCTCACCCTCCGCCCCTACCCTAGCGGCTCCCTTGTCTGCTCTTCGTTTCTGCCCACCCTTTTGGTGGCAGAGCCGGGTTCCGGTCAGGACGGAGCATCCAGAGCCGCCCACGGGCCGCGGAGGGGAAGAGGCGCGGTGCCCCTTCACTCCCAGAACCTCAGAGACGCCCCTCCTCTCTCCTCCCAGTGGACTCCTCAATTCGAAACTTTCCCACTCAACCCGGGGAATGGGGTTCACAAGATAGCTGTACACCCCTTTTCTTTCCTAGCTCTCAAATTCTGTCTCTTCTTCTAAAGGTTGGAAAGGGAAGGAGATTGCAATTTTTCCTGCACTCCAGATTCAATCCCAGCAACAACATTCATTGAGTTAGGCAAAGGCTGGTTAGAGACCTCAATGGAATCCTTCTGGGCGAGCACAGAAAAAGCTGGTCCCCAAACGGCTTCCAAAATCTGCCTTAGGACTAAGCGAAGATGCTGGTGGCAGCAGGCCTGTACCCCAGCGGCACATTCTGCTTCCCCATCCCGGGCATCTACAGACTAGGGAACCCCAACAGGCTGACCACCTTTTCTGCGCCCCCGGCTCTCTTGCCCCCTCGCCGCACCCCCACGGAGTTCACCGACCTGCGGGCGAGCCGATCCCAGAGGCCTGGACAGAAGCAGCGGCCGGGGCCAGAGACGAGGCGGACTGGCTGGGTTTCTTGGCAGATTTCTTCTCTTTCATCCAGGGGAACTCAGGAGCCGGTGGGGCGGTGGGGACCGGCGGCGGAGGTGGTGGTCGAGCAGGCCCATCTTCGGCTCGCTTTTGACTCCCGGGTCTCTGAAGGGTGGCGGTGCCAGGCTGGAGGCTGGGGAAGGTTTGCTCGAAAGGAGGAGGAGGAGGAATTAATGTCGACTCCTTGATTGATGAAGTTTGAAATGTCTCCAAGACAGCGGGGAAGGAAGTCAGACACTCGGCAAGCGATGGCTGGCTGTTTATAAAACCAATCTCCCTCTCAAATTCAAAATTCATGGCTTTCAATGGTGGGGGAGGGGGCTGCTGGGGGGGGACGTCAGGAGGGAGGATCAGAAGGGCCCCCCTCCTGCCCCCCCCCAGGTTTCTGCAATGGAGCGATTTTGGAAGAGGGAGATTTTGCTCTCTTGCTCTCTCTTTTTTTAATTTTGGGTCTTTATAATTATATATTGCTGATAAATACAAGCGTGTGGGGACTCTCTATTAAACCCAGGACTCCAGCAAAATTGCAGGGAATTCATGGTCACGGGACTGGCCTCGGCCAATGGCTGGTCTGGGCCTGGTGGAAAACAGAGCATTATTTGCTTTAATTGATGCAAAAACTCCAGAGGACCAGGACAGGAGTAGCCCCTGTCCCTACACCACTGTCCCCTCCACCCCTCCCCCCTTCTGCAGAAAAAGCCCGAGGAATCTCTTCCTCCTTCCTGGGGAGGAGAGATGATGGGCCCCTGGCAAGCCACTGAATACAGGGAAGAAATAGCCCTCTTTCCCGAAGATTTTAAGAGTCACTATATGCTTTCTTTGCATGGCCAGCAATAACCTCTCTCCCTCTCTCCCACTCCCCAAAAGAAAGATGAGGATCTCTTGATGTGGGAGGCCCAAGGAGAGGCTCCCACCCCTTGGGGAAGGCCTGTGCTAAGCTACAGACCAGGCAAAGAGGGGATTCACAGTCAGCAGCTCCTCCAGCGCACCCTGGGGCCCTAAAAGCATCAGTTAAGTCTTGGGAGCAAATGGACAGACATCCCCAACTGCCCCTTGGAGTGAGATGGTAAAAGTGAGTGGCACTTTGGGGCCCCCTCGCTGGCTCAGCCTGTGGCCTGGGTTCCCTTCTCTGCCAGTGTTGACAATATGGCCCCAAGGAGCTGTCCACCAGCCTTCCTCTTGGGGGCATCTATGCCCTTCTATGACACCCGAACCCCACAACAGAACAGGAGGGTTTGAGACACAGATGCAACCTTTGGAGCCTCAGGCCTGGTGCATGTACCTCTGCATCTACACACAGGAGCATCTGCAGAGCCTGGTAGCTGTGAATTTAACTCTCAAAGCTGAGGTCAACACACAGGGAAAGGGGTTCCCTCGCAGAAAAAAGTGCTGTTTGTCACTGTGCTGAGTCTAAACAAACAAACTGGAGTGAAAATAATAACCATTAGGACAGGATGCTATTTTCTGGCCTCTGTAAGAAAATGTTTATTTTATTTTGAGAGAACGAAGCCAGTTGGAACTTTGGAGAGTGCTCTCATTTACTGGAGGAAGCAGATGCAGCCACAAGCAGTTGGTGGGAAACTAGGCCTCAAAGCAGAAAATGAAAAGTCGATGGGGGAAGATTTTTTTTTTTAAATAAGTGGGTCAGAGGGACGGAGCGGAGATGAGGCGATCAATCTTAGCCCCCTGACAGCTCCCTCCGATTGCATCAAAGAATTTGGCTCTTTGGGAAGCAGCAGAAGGAGCAGCCGAAATTCCACATCCCCTAAAAAGGCCTGAGGGAAAGGTGATTCGGAGAGAGCCAGGAAACAGATGGGAAATGGGGACCCAGGGAAGGCGCTGAGTTGGGTGGAAAGTTTGCCCGGAGAACTCCCACGGCCGGGCCTCCCCTCCCCCTCTCCGGCTCCCTGTCGCCCAGCCCGGAGGAAAAGGCTGCTTAGCGGAGAAATGACATCTCAGCCCGGAGCTGGAGGAGCTAGAAACTTTCTGTCAGTGTAACATCCGCGTGGGTGGTGGTGAGTATTCCAAACAACCAGGGCAGAGAAGGCAGAGGACAGGGGTGGGGGTGGCGAGCTCAGGCCTGAGAAAGGGAGCTGGAGGTGGGGGGCGGGCTCAGGGGGACTCGGATGGCAGAGGAGCCGCGGGGCTGGGCCAGTAGAAAACCGTTTTTGCCACTTGGAGGTGTTGAAGGGGGTGGGGGGGCAGAACCCATAGAGTAGCTGTCTGCAAATTGTACAGGGAGACCTGGGAGGGTTGCGTCTCCGGCTGGCCCGGCGGTCACCTCTGCAGGTTTGCTAACAAGCCCTGCAGCTGGCGGCAAGCAGAGTCCAGGGATCCGCTAGGCAAACCAGGGCCCAGACCGATCCGGCACGAAATATGGCTCTCTAGCCCTCGCTGACAGATTTTATGGCCAGATTAGTGAAGAGCGGAACACTTGGGTGTTAAAGGGGCCGGGGAGTCCTCCTTCCCGGAGACATCCCGCCCCCGCCCCTCTGTCGTGCTGGGAATTAGGGAGCGCAGATATTTTTACCCACATCTTCCAGCTGCTTTAGCTGAGCCCCCTGGAATCTCTGGCAGAGGGAAGGACAGGGAACACCAGGCCAAGCTGCTCCTTTTTGCTTGCAATCCCCAGCTTCGAGCCAAAGCCATGCTTTTCATATTCCAGCTTAATTCTCTGTCTTGGCCTGCCCCGTCTCTGCAGCTACATAAATAAGCAACCCGTCCCACCCCCAGAGCAAGCCAAACGCAGGGCTTCGTCCAGTTACATCATTCAGAAATGTTATTCAGAGAAGAGGGAGAGAAATAAAGACAGACAGACCCTTGAGCGTTATTTGATCCCAATCAAACTTTGCACGGTCTTCTGCGTTTAAATTATAGCCTGACCCAATGCTAAATTGTGTGCTGCCAGGGTGAGCCGAGCCCGGTTAAAATCCTACCGGAGGGCGGGGCGTGTGCAGAATTCAGGTTGCTTTTTTATTGTTATTTATTGGTGCTAAAGAGTGTAATTACTAACCTTGGATTGCCAGGATGCAACATAAAAATGAAAATCAGCTTTCGCTTTAAGGCCCAGGGCCTGGAATGATTCTCAGCCCCACCCCCACCCCACCCCACACCAAATATATGCTCCTAATTAAGCCGTGCGGGCGCCTGGCTTACAATTAGAATTATGCAACTCTTCAGTAAGCAGGCATCGCTTCTCTTTCAGCGAATTAGCTCCATATTTCAGCCACTCTGTCGCCTGGCTCTTATCGGCTCCAGCGACACGGTGGTGACATTCATCTCTGACAGACCCGCTCTATCCTCGCTCCAATGCGATGAAACTTTTATGGAACTGAGAGTAAGAAATGAAGTTTTCCCAAGGATGGTGGGGACAAGAGTCGCGCTTTAGCCTGGGGACCATTTTATTTACGCCTGGAAACATTTTCCCCCCAATGCACGTTCCCGGGCTTGGGAAATCAAAATTGCCCTCCTCTCCCTCTGCCCCCAAGCTTTATTTAGTGATTTAATTTCACTTTACTTTTAAGGTTTGACCTGAGAGGCCTAGGCATCAGATTTTGTTTCTCTCTCTCTTTTTTTTTAGATTAATCATTTTCCTTTGTTTTCATTTTAGACCCAATGGTGGTTGGGCTTCAGGTCACGTGATGACTCCTTTGTCGCTCCGGAAGCGACCTGTGAAGTTTAGGTGCCTTAGAAGAAGCAGCCATCAGCCAGGTTTTTGTTTTGTTTTGCTTTGCTTTTTTTTTTGGAGGAAGGGGGAGGGTGGTGCAGCTGAGGTGGCAGCCAATGGAGGAACCAGACAAAAGGTCAAGCAATGAGAAAAAAGGGAGAAGCAAAAAACTAAACAGAAAGACCCAGGGTACCCCAGACTCTCTTTCCCACCCACCCCCAACTTGTTACTTAAATCTTAGCTAAGAAAGTGGGCACAAGGTTGCAGGCTTCTCAGAGCGATTAAAAAAAAAAAAACACCCTGCATTTCAACTAGAGACACATCAAAGGGAAGACGTGGACAGGAGAGTAGACAAAAAGGCTTGGAAGGGTCTTCAAAATTTTCCTTCCCCTGGGGCAAATGTGACGATCTGGCCCTGCTCTACCATCTCAGTTGGACCACCAGGACAAGATAAAATTGATAACAGAAAGTTTATTCCAGAATTGTTTGACAGACAACCCTTTTAAGTAAGGAAAAAAAGGAACTACGGAAGAACAAAGAAAGTTCCAGCAGGGAATTAACTAACAGCTACAAATTCAGGACTATACAGTGACGCTTGGGAGCTGGGTTTCATGCCGTTTAGAACTAATTACAATCGCTCATAAGTACGAGGTTAACATAAACCTACAGCTCTTTTTCTAGAGTACAACAAAAACTAAAATAGCTGGTTTTACATGACAGGAAACACAACGTCCTTTATAACAAGTAAATACTAAAAAAGTACAGGTTTTTTCTTTTATATAAATACATAATGTAGGGGGATAAATAATACAAAAAAGAAAATATTTTAACAGGCTATAACCAATAAATATATATGAAAATGTTCACTAGAACACACGCTTTTTGAGCAATGCTGGGCTTCTGCAAGCCCAGGCATCTCTCGAAGTTGTTTTTATACCCATTAAAATGTAAACTCTAAGTGCAACAGAAGTGTCCTGTCAGGCAGCAGCCGGCTGAGCTAGACCCGCAGGCCCTGCTGCAGCCCCTGCCTGGGACAAACAGTTTGTTCAAATATACCCTGTTTTCACGTTAAGTCAAGAGAGTAACAGAAGAAAAGTGGAAAAATTTCATGTGGCTGATTGCTTTCTGCAGAGAGAGGGGGATGGATCAGTAGCTGAGACAGGGCCCCAGGGCAGGCAAAATTTCAGTCCTTGCCTGCCTGGGCCTCCTGACTTTTCCTTCAAAGAAAAAATATATATATTTATACTCTAGGCAGCTCTGACTTTCTGTATCTGTCCCCATCCCTGAGCCCTCTGAACACTGTCCCTGGCGGGGGTGAGGTGTAGGTGTGAACGCTGTGGGGCTACAAACAGAGAAACCTCCGGCAGAGGCAGAGCCAGCCGAGGCTCAGGGAAGCGGGAGGGGAGCATGCTTTGTGCCCTTGGGTTTCAACGTGTTTTCTCGCTTTCTTAAAGGGGAAAGAGGGGGAAATACCAGGAGTTGGGGGAATAACCCAGAGAGATGGAAGGTAAGTTGGTGGTTGGTGATGGCCTGCCCTGCGGAGCCATCTTTTTTTGTGTTTGTTTGCTTTTCTGACTGTGCTTCTCTGCCTCCCAGCTCGTAGCTTGTCCTCCTCTACCCCAGCCCCTCTGCAGCGCGGAATTCCAACTTGGTAGCGCTGGAGCCCTGGAGCTCCTGGGGGGTCAGATCCAATCTGCTGTGAATTCCTTCCTGAAGGGTTGGCAGGCAGAGGGAACCAGGGGGTGGAGGACCCCTTGGGCGAAGGGGTGGGAAGGGAAGGAGCCCCAGGCCCGGGAGGCCTGGTGATCGCCTCCCTGCACCCCTGCACAGAGCTCCACAGCCGCCCCCCTGCTCACCCCTGCCCCTGGCAGCCCCGTCCCATCACAGGTGTGTTAACTTGGGCGCTTCTTGGATTCTACCCTGAGGAGCAGGCGCGTGGTGAGAGGAGAGGTCTGTGTAGGTGGGGTGCGGGTCGCAGGGTCCGTGGTGCTGGCTGGGGGCCATCGGGGGTGCCCCGTTGTAGTCCAGGTTCCCCGGGGGGTGGTGGGAGAGGTGGTTGAGGCCGTAGAGGGAGGGCCCGGCAGGGGGCGGCAGCGGCTCCCCGTAGCCGCCCCCGCCCACGTACACCGGGCTGCCCTGCAAGGCGGGCGTGGCGTAGGCGCCCCCGTTGGCCTGCAGCACGTGGGGCTCGTACTCGGGCGCCGGGGTCGGGGCGTACTTCTGCGGGGCGCCGCAGCCCTTGAGCGGCGGCTGGTAGTTGGAGGGCAGCGCGTAGGCATTCTGGTGGGCTTTGCCGAAGGCGGGCGGGGACGGGCTGTCGTAGCTGGGGGTCATGGAGTGCAAGGCGTTCATGAAGCCGGCTGTGGACTGCATGGGCTGCGGGGGGCTGCCGGCCGGAGAGGGACCCCCGGACGACGAGGCCAGCCCTTTGGCCTTCTGGTCCTTCTTGTACTTCATGCGCCGGTTCTGGAACCAGATCTTGATCTGGCGCTCGCTGAGGTTCAGCAGGTTGGCCATCTCCACGCGGCGCGGCCGGCACAGGTAGCGGTTGAAGTGGAACTCCTTCTCCAGCTCCACCAGCTGCGCGCTCGTGTACGCCGTGCGCGCGCGCTTGGACGCCGCCGAGCCCGGGGGGCTGCGGTCCCCGCCCCCGCCCCCACCGCCGCTGCTCCCTCCGCCGCCGCCGCCTACGCCTCCTCCGCCGCCGCCGCCGCCGCAGCCCTCTGCTGGATCCGAGGGGGGAGGGGTGGGAAGGGGAGAAAATGAAATAAAAGATAATTACTGAACACGCCGAAATTGAATGCATCGTTTCTTAATAAATCCAGGCCTGGACTCGGAGCCCCGGCGCCCTCCCCCTGCACGTCCCCGCCTCCTCCTACCCCTCCCCACCCGCCCGTCGCATTAGCGGACACTCTATAATAGTGGCATTTATTAAGAGACCTGTTCTCCTCTCACTGCCCCAGCTTATGAAAATTTGATCATGTCACACAGACAGAGCTGCATGGCCATTTATTTAGGACTGGATTTTCACCCCCCTGCGCGCTGTCTCCTCTTTCTTCCCAATTCCAGGTCTAGGAAGACATCCTCTTCCCCATTCTCCAGGGCCAGGATGGGTGACCCAGGAGAAGAACCCTGGAGAGAAACTGGACAGACAGTCGCGGGCAGGGCCTGGAAGTGAGGGGCGGAGAGACTGCTGTACCTCCAGGCCGGGACCCCGGGCCATCAGAGCAATGGTGATTAATCCCCACAATGATCATACTTAATAATCATCGCTGACGACTCCTGGCAGCAGCGCCTGCCTCTTGGCTTAGCGGCCTTGGGGAGGAGCTGTGCGCCCCAGCGCCCCAGCTCCTGGAGCTTTCAGAAGCCCAGGTGGCCGCAGGGACAGGGTATTGGCAGGGTCAGGGGTCATCAGGTGGTGAGGGTGACAAGACCACGCTTGGCTGCCACTTAAGATTGTCCCCTGGGCCGACTGGAGGGCGCCTAGGGGCTGGGTGCTAGAATAACAGTGACATTCCTGGCCCCCGGACAAAAAGCTGGTGACAGGAAGGCAGAGAGCTGGTACCTGTGCCGGGGGAGCTGCTTTTCAGCTTGGATGTCTGCCTCGACTCTTTCATCCAGGGGAATATCTGTTTGGTGAGGGTGGCGTTGGAGCCGGGCCCGCACTTGGGGGCCCCGCTTTTGCCGGGCGCGCCCCCGTTACTGCTGTTGCTAGTGGTACTAGTGGGTGCGGCGCTGGGCGGGGGCGAGCCCGGTGGGGCGGGCAGGGGCTCGGGGGCCAGGCCGGGCCTCATGCAGCTGCCGGTGAGCTCCTTGTGCTTGGCGTGGGGGGCGGCGTTGCCCAAAGACTGCAGCGAGCACGCCGAACGCTGGTAGTCACCCTCCAGGTGCGTGGTGGCCTGAAAGGGGGGCTGGGGGGGCCCGTCGTAGCCGAAGCCATTGCTGCCCGGATACGAGGTGTAGCCTCCGAAGAGCGCAGCCGCGGCGTTGTCGTAGTAGGTGGCTTTCTGCATCGCTGGGCGAGGCCCGGGCAGTAGGTGGCAACTCGCAAGGGCCTGATACCCTCACGACCGGACATTGGCACCCCTGGGGGTCACGTGACACGCTGGACCCCCCCACACACACTCTGCCCCCCTCCTCCCGGGTCTGTTCCGAGCTGGCTGACCTGCGGGGCGAGAGAAGAAACACAAGGGGGAAGAGGACTGGAACTCGAATCCATCTTAGCAACTGAAAAGGGAACTGACAGCAATAGGGGTTGTTTTTTTTTTTCTTCTCCCTTCCCCAGCGTCTCCGGAGCAATTGCTGAGGCCAAATCTCTGGCCCCGAAATGGGAGTTTTCCTACTTAAATGCTTTGACTTTAAAGAGAAAAAAAAATGCCCGCCAGTTTTCATTTCCACTTAAAAAAATCAGGCGAATACTCCTGTGGGGCTTGCCTGGGACGACAGCCCTAGCTAGCACGCTGCACGGCCCACTGCCCCGCCTGTGCCCGGCCCTGCCTCTCCCACTCCCTCCGCTAACCTCCCCCAACTCCGGGATAGGGTGGCTGGGCCGAGCACCCGCAGACTGCCACATAAGAGCGTGCTGAAGCGCTCCTTTGCACCCAGAGGCCGCGCTGCCTCCCTGGCCAGCCGTCTCCTAGACAGTCTAGCCTGCAGGAAGCAAGTTCAGGGGACCGCTCCGGGAGGTCCCCTCTCCCGTCTGCCTCCTGCACAAAGAGGACCACAGAGAGACCCAGAAACTCCTCCTTCCGCGGCCCTGCTGCAGGTACCACCATCCCTGGCACTCTCTGCCCAGCCAGGCCTGGGACCCTGCAGCCAGCAGCCCCAGGGAGCTTCCAAGGGGACGCAGGGTTGTTTCCACGTCCCAGGCAGAGCTCCGTGCTCTGTGGATGTGGCCCAAGTCTCTCCTCCATCTCTAAACATGACAGTTCCCCCCATCATTTTCTTGACATTCTGTTTTGATTTATCCAAAAGAAGAAGAAAAAAAGAAATCGGGTAACTGTTGAACGTTTCTACTAAGACGGGAAAAGTGCCTTCTAACAGAGGATTAGTGGAGGAAAAAAAATCAAAAAGCAATTTGAACAGCATGATGGTCTGAGTTGGAAACAGAGGGTACCCCTGTTTCCTGGGGGTCCCTGAGGCACAAATAAAAATAAAAATAAAATCGGTATTTTAATGCAGCCTTATCAAAGTATGCCAGCAAAATAAAGAGCCGGGTTGCCACAGAATTTTGTGTATTTGTCTGAAACTTCTGACTGCCCAGTCCCTGGCACTTTCCATAAAATGTCCTTCTGCTCCTCTCCTCTGTCATGTGCACTGGGAAAACTTAAATGGCATTCAGCCTGCTGGTCAACTCCAAAGGACACTGAAATCAGGGAAATGAGATAGAAGGAGTCCAGGTGGAGGAAGTCCCTCCCACACATAAATCCCCTTCTCGGTCTCAGTGGCACAGATTTATACTGGAAAGGGAGTCTGGGTGGCCCTGAGTTCCGATTGGTTTCTGAGGGAAAAAAATTGTTTCTGGAAGTACACAAGGGTCTACCAAGCAGGAGGTCCTTCCAGGGAGAACTGGAGTTCAATTGACCAGGCTGACCCAATCCCTTTATTATTATTACTATTGGCCTCTGATGATTTAACCAAAATTAGCTTCCAAGTGGCCCTGGCTGAAAGGGGAATTAATTAACAGGCGTCAGTTGAGTTTGTTATTAATAGATAGAGAATGAAATAAAAACCTTGGAGGGGTTAGCTGGCTGGCCCTGGCTTTATTTAGTCTAAGTGATTGTTACAGCAATGATGATGATGATGATGGTGGTCATAATAATAAAACAATAATTTGACCAGACGCCCGGGGGGGGGCCGAAATTTCTGTCGCTCCCCCTGTAATAAACCCCAAACCTTCAGCGCAGAGGCTCGGGAGCCAGAGACTGAAAGCAAAGAATGGAGGCTGCCGGCGGTGACACCGGGCTGGAAGGGTTTTGCAGCGGGACAGTGTTTGGCTGCTGCCACTGCAGTCACAAGGCTGTCTCCTCGGTGGCGGCTGCTGTTGTCAGTGGCTGGCAACCAGCTACCTTTATGGCTGGCCGGGCCAAGAAGGGGAAAGAGAAAGCCATCCGGACACCAAGGTGGTTAGCGACCAGCGGCAGGTTCCCAGCCCACCCCGAGGCGGCGGTGGCTGTGGAGGTGGTGGTGGCGGCAAGTTTGGGCTCTGGAGGTAACCGGATTAAAAGGCGCCCGGGCAACTTTGCCTCGGCCTGGCTGGGTTGGAGGGAGCGGAGGCCTGGCTGGGGGGACCGGTGAGAGGGTGCTGAGGGGATCTGAGATCTGGACTAGGGGAGAAGGCGGGTGGGGAGCAGCTCTACCCAGCCAAACACGTCTATTTCCCTCGCCTCCATGTTGGAAAAATTCAGGCTCCATATGGCTCCTGCGAAGGGTGGGAGGGAGACGGTGGCGCCCAGCTTTTCCCCCTGGGTGCCGCTGGAAAGAGGAGGTATCACCTCCTCCCCCAAGAACCCCACCTTGCCAGGCACACCCCCAGGAGAGCCAAGGACGGTAACAATAGCTGGAGAAGCCCCAGGAGAGAAAACAGGCCACCTTCCAGGACTTAAAAAATTAATGGAAGAAAAAGAACAAGAGAGACAGCCAGAGAGAGAGACAGAGACCGAGAGGAAAAGGTTCGGCTTCTTCTTGGCAACCGGGGAGCAAACTCAGCCCTGGATCTTTCCGGCTGTTGGAAGAAAAGCAAGGAAAGGAGAGATGCAGAAAGAGAGAGGGAGAGGGAGAGAGAGAGGGAGGGAGGGAGAGGGGGAGAGAGAGGGAGAGAGAGGCAGTGGCTGCGTGGAAGGAAGCTTAAAGCTGTGAACTCTTCTTGAACCGAGATTGGAGTCATATGGGCCATAAATCATTGAGACATACTCTCCGCCATTCACAAACTGAGAGCCTATTCAGCCCGGCTTACCTTAGCCACCGACGAGGGGAGAACAGGCAGACATAATATATATTCACACCGAGCCCCAGCGCGAGCGGCAGGCGAGAAATCTCCCCTCCTTGAAGGCAAAGGGAAAAAAAGACCACTGTTTAAAGCTCCGTCGTCCCCTCCCTCCCCCAAAGCCACCCGGCTGCTGGGGAGCCCGAGGGGCAGCGCGGCCGGAGGAGCCAGGCGGCGGCGTCCGCTTCAGTTCACTCGGCTTAGAGCTGGGGGTGCGCAGGAGGGAGGGGGTGGGGGATCGGGAAAAAATAGTAGGAGACCGAGAGGTGCAGGGGCTGCGGGCTCGCCGGGGATCGGGCTCCGGGCGCCGCACGGCCAAGCCGCCACAGTGTGATTGCCCTAAAGACTGGTACGCCCTACTCTCGGTAACAATGGCCTCTGCTTTTGCACAGGGAGAAAAAAAACCACACAGACACACACACACTGACTCACACACACACACACACACACACACACACACACACAAGCTCACCCCCCCACCTCTCCCCCTTTAGGAAGCTTAGATGTCTGATAAGGAGGGAAGGTGAGGGTGCTGGTGGGGGAGGGGGTGTTTTCAATACGCAGCCCCCCCAAAAAAAAGAGTGAGAAAGGAGGTCGAGGTGGGTTTGCATTGCTTCTGTCTCGCTCTTTTTTTTTTCAAAGCAAGTAAAATTTTAAATTGAGATCTGGGAGGAAGACAGCAAATCCAAGGCTCACCGTGGGGTTCCCAGCCCTCCCCCCATCCCACGAGCGAATCTTTATGCTAATTTGAGACGTGGCCTGGGAGGCCCAGAAAAGAGGGCCCGGCCTGGGGGCGGGGGTGCTGGGTGCCCCTCGCTTCTTCCCAGTTGCAACACCAGAACTTTTTTTTGTAAGTAGTTTTACTCCTCTGGGACTGGTGGCTGAGGGCTGGGTCTCCTGCTGGCCTGGCTCAGTCTGAATCTCGCAGGATCTATACCTCTGTCCTGTGTACCCTCTTTCCCTCTCCTCCACCCCCACCAAGACCCCCAGGTACTGTTGTCTCTGTACCAGAAGAGGAATCCAAGGCTGACTTTTTTTTAACACCCCTTCCCCCCCTCCTTTTTTTTTTTTTTTTTGAGAACAGACAACAAGCGGCGAGTAACGATTATTAAAAAAAAAAAAAAAAAACCCAGAACATCTTGCAGGGGCCGTGGAGTGGAGAAGGCTGACAAAAGGCGGACCCTGCAGTAGCTGGAGCGCTGAACAGCCGGCTGCAGAGCGGCTGTGAGAACTTCACGGAGAAGTTTGCTGTGAAGATCGCCACCTCCGGATAAGCAGAAGGGGCGCAGAGGAAGAGGTGACCAGGACATTTGTCCCTAGGAGGAGATGAGCTCAACTTAAAGAGAATGGCTTTGTTTTCATTGCACTGGCCGAGAGATAGAGGCTGGTTATTATTATTGTTGTTGCTATTCAGGGCAAACCTGTTTGTTTCTCTCTGCTCTGCAAGATTTATGACTCTTGGCACAAGCGAAGAAGGTTACAAAAGCTGAAGTTTTCCTAGGGTGTGTGTGAGCAGGCAGGAAGAGGCAAGGAGGAGGTCTGTGGGAGGAAGACACAAGCCAAGAATGTAGGTGTCTGCAGATTTGGGGGTGGGGGTGGGGGTGGGGAAGAACCATTCTGGAGGAGGAAAAAAAGACCAGAAAAAAAGAAAGCTAAGTCCCAGGATACTTCCCAAGCAGGAGCCCCACAAGCTCTAACTGCTGACTCAGATTTGGGGATCAGGGGGTGAAATAAAAGGCAGCTCGGACAACTGGTTCTCTTAACTTCGCACGCATGAGTCAGACACCACCCTGCGATTTCCTGGTTAGAATTCTTGGCTTTTGGCTTCTCCCTTCTGGATGCCCTAGGACAGGCGATGGGAGTAGGGAAAACAAAGGTGAGAGATGATTTCCAGCTATTGTCTCCCCTTGTCCCCTTGCGGGGGTGGTGGACTGAAGCTCTGCTTGGGGGATGAGCAAGAGGGTGCTCCCCAGCCGGTGGCCCCCCACTTCGCCTAGGCCTGCCAGCCAAGTCAGGCCAGGTGGGCTGCAGCAGCTGGGCCCCTGGGGCCTGCTGTGGAGCTGGGGTCCTCCTGCCTGCAGACAGGGTGCTGGGGGCAGAAGAGAGTAGGGACCTCAGGGAGCCACTTTTCTGTTTGTTAGTACCATCAAGACAAGGAAATGCCCCAAACCTATGCAGTGTTGGGGCTCAAGCCAGGACCCTCGAGAGGAGAGGAGACCCTTTAAGGCTGGGTGAGTAGGTGGGTTAGATCGCAGGTCGCTCTGGGCCTGGCCAGTCGGGGACTCAGCTCAGGGAAGTTCCCAGTATCTTTGGACCTTGCTCTCCGCTTCCCAAAGTAAAAAAGTCAATAGCAGAAGTTAGACCCTTCAGCCCTTCTAACAGTTTCTGGCAAGAGAAGGTCACTGTGATGTTGGAAGGGAAGCTGGTGGCTGCCCGCCGGCAGAGCTTTGCCTGGAATTAGGATAAAGAGAGCCCAGGAGGGTCCAGCGGCTGCCCACTACAGAGGCAAGGCCTTGGGAGGAAATGTACCCCGCGGGCATGGGGGGACCCTGCCCTCCCAGCCTCCAGAAGCTCCAGTGGCCCATTCTGGCCGCACAGGATTGGGGGGGTACATGCTGGGGGTGGAAAGGAAGGTGGGGAGCAAGAAGACAAGGTGCCTGCAGGATATCCACCCCCAGAGGTGCCGGAAGAAGCAGCTTTTTAGCGGCCACTGGAGACCAGCACCCGAGTGGCTTCCAAATCCCTGGCTCCTTCCTTTCCCCTCTCTGAGGTCCTACCCAAAGGCTGATAGCCCCTGGCCAGGCTGGGAGGCTGGAGGGAGAGCTGAGGGTGCCTCGTGGGTCCCTGGGCAGTGTTCCTACAGGTTAGGGACCTTTCCAACTTCCGGAGACAAAGGCTGGGCAGGGAGCTCGAGATGCGGACCTCTGAGGGTAACTCTGGGGTCTGGGAGAAGGGGATGCAGTCTGTGATTTAAGGCGAGAGAAAGGAAGACTTTCTTCCTGGATTCAGGGAGAGAAATTTGGGTGACTTCCTCTCTGTCTGAAAAAGCAAAACTGAGAAAGACATGAAGTCTATAAACTAATAAAAGCAAACAGCTAATAATAAATACAAACATTAGGAAAATGTCCCCCTTCGTAGAGATCCTTGTCTCCTCTCCTACTCCGTCTCAGAGCCAGAGCTCTGGCCCTGACACTGCCCCCCCAGTTTAGTATCCCCTTCTGAGGGGTACCAGATGCACCCTAAGCCCTGAGACCATCTGCTGTCTGTCCTCTACCTCTGGACCTTCGGAGGATCACAACTGCTTCCCTCCCACGCTCAAAATCCATCAAAGACCAAAGGAAAGTTGTTTCTCCAGGAGCAAATGAGGTGGCACCTTTGAAAGGGATTTGTGAGTTCAGCCCGGTTCAGGGCTGGGCTCGCTGGAGCTGGGACCCAGGGACCTGGGACTTCTGGTTAGTGAGTTGTTTCTCCTCGCTGGCCTCGGCTGGTTCTGAGTCCCACACTTCTTTTCCAGTATAACTGCCCAACTTGACGGCTGTACAGTTCACAAACTCCCCTGAACTCCATCTCTTTGAGGATTGAAAAAGCTGGGGGGGGGGCTGTTAAGGAAGATGGCTCTTGGTGTCTACCGCCACAACCCTCTGCTCTCTGAAGCAAGGGAGTGGGTGGGAACAAAGGGACATCCAAAAAGAGCCAAGGGGCCAGTACAGACCTGGCTCAGCAGTGGCGAGGACTAAATGAAGAAAAAGAGAAGAAGAAAAAAAATCCAAGCTGCGCCTCTGTTCCTGTGCCAGGTGTGGGGATGCCAGCCTCTCCCAGGGGGATGTGCAGAGAGAGAGAGAGGAGAGAAGACAGGGCGGCCTCCCTTGGGGGCTGTAAAGCCTACTTGGTGACTAACCAGGCAGTCTGGCCTCACTAAGAAGGGACCCAGGCCATCCCTAGAGCAAGCAGGCTCCTTGGTGGCCAGAGATCTCCTCCTCCTGCATCAGGGACCTTGCCAGGTCTAAGAAACTCAGTCCAGCCTGCAAACCTCACCCTTAGCAAGTGTGGAGACAAAGGTGGGCAGGATGGAGGAGAGGGAAGGGGATGGATAGGCTAAGAATCCCGGATGGCTGTGGGGTGGGGTGGGGGTGGGGTGTCCTGGGAGAAGCCAGAAACCAGAGGCTCAGGGACCCAGTCCCCTGCCGGTGGTGGCTGTTCAGTCTCTCCTGACAGATTGGATGTCTCTCTTTCAGGGACCTCTGGTTAGCAGATTAATGACCAATGAGTGCAAGGCCTCTGCAGAGAAAATTCCAGAGTCAGAATGGGACAGGGTTAGAGTCTGAGCTGCCAGCCTTTGGGATATTTTCTCTCTCCAAAACAGGGGTTTGGGTGAGGTTTTGGGAAGTGGATGATCCACCATGAAACAGATTGCTGAAGAAGAAGCTGGCACCCATCTCTTCCATCTCCCTTTACCCACCAAACTCATAACCCAAACCTCTTCCCAAAGCAGCCTCTGTCTGACCCTCCCTTCCCCTGAAATCTCCCTTCTCATGCCCCAAACTGGGAAACCCCTACTTTAAAATGTTATCTGCCCCCAGTTGGAGGAAGAGATGAAAAATAAGAAAAAAACACAGTAGAGATCATCAGTCTTGCAGTCCTTACTTCCGGCTGCCCTGGGGGACACCTCAAGGACTGTGTGTGCTCAGCCCCAGAAAAAGAAAGCCCAAAGGCCAAGAGGAGAGGTGACAAGTATAAGGCTGTGGGGTGCGGGGAAAGTGCCTGCTGTCACGGATTCTAAATTCTAAAGCCACAATTCCCAGCCTAACCAAAGTTGTTTGAAGAACTCCAGCCTTCGCAGGGCAGGGAGAGGGCCCTGTTCAGTAAGCCCGAGCCACTTTTTTCCTCAGCCCTCTCCAAATCCAACCCCAGTGCACCCCAGCTGGTCAGCCCCCCTCACCCCTGCGGCCTTCAGTCAGCTGAGCTGCTCTCTGCCGGGCTCCCCTTCTGATGAGAACAGGACAGATGCCTTCAGGAGCCGGAGCAGTTCAGATTGGGGCACCCCGCCTAAGGCACACACACACTAAACACTGCAGACCAGCCCCGGTGACCCAGAGCTCCCTCTGGGACACATAAGGAGGTTGCTCCCAAGCATGGTCCCACAGAGGGTGGACACACAAAGGGGCACCTGAGACTGGCACTGGGGGACAGAGGACAGGGTGGGCCCAGTCCCGTCTGCCATGGCTACAGACAGGAAGGCATACTCTGAGGCCCAGAGGGAAGGCATACTTAAGGGTTTTTGGAAGGTAGGGGGCTCAGGTTCCGTTTGGTTGTGTTCATCTAAAGCCGCTGGGCACTCTTAGGCCTCAGGGACCCCTTCTGTAAAGTCCGGGCTCCTGTGTCAGGGGGAGGGGCTGAGCTAAAGGACTTCAGAGCCCTTTCTGGATTGGAGGTGAGTAGTTCTCTGTGTGCTAATGCCCCTAAGCAATAATACAGTGAGTCCAGGCAGTGGTGGACAGCTTGAAGACCAAGTGCAGGGGCTTCCTCTTCTGATTTAAATGCCCCCAAGCACTGAGCACAAATATTTTGGGCCCCTCTCCCACCACAGAGGCATGCGCCCCCAGGTTCTATGCCTTTTCCTTGGTGGGGGTGGGGGAGGGCTAATTCTCTACCCTCATTACCAAATCAAAAGTGCTATTTTTGGACACAGCACCCTGAGCAGTAAATAATTAATTTGTATAATTAGAGGAGGAAGCCTTCGACCTGGCAATTTTTAACCCAGCATCAATGCACCCTTTGTACCAGCCTGGCCGCCTCACCCGACCCCCACCCCTGCCCACAAACACCTACCAGTCCCCCCACCTCAGTTGCTGCCACCCCTCCCCCATCAGCTGCAGCCCAGCATTCCCGGATGGTCGGCAGGGTCCACGGAGGAGCCCCGATCTCTCTACTCTCGTCCCAACAAAGTTCCTTCTCTGCACTGCTCCACAGCAGGGACCCGCCTGCCCGCAGCTGCCCCTCTTCACCAGCCTTCTCTGCCCACCCCCCAGAGCTCTGCTGGGCTCCAGATCCCAGGCCCTCAGCTCTTGGGAAACATGTAATCCACCTCCTCTGCTCAAGATGCCCCAACAAAGCATCGAGTTTGCATTTCAAGAAACTCCCATTAATATCAATTTACTTCACTGAAACCTCGGGTTCTTCATCAAGTTGATGATTTATGATAAAATCAATTAAATTACGGCCACTTAGGGCCCAGCCGCTTCCTCTCAGATTTCATTGGTGCGGGGCCCAAGTGTCTGGTGGAAAAAAAATGCAAGTTTAGCTGGAGGCGAGGAAAGATAATTCTGCGGCTGAGAAAATTTAATGCAAAACAATTTCCAGGCAAAGCCAGGCGTCTGGACAGAAACGCAAGAGCCACTAGCTGGCCTGCGGAAATAACTATCTGGGGTTCAAGATGTTTTCCTCCCCACCCGTCCTCCTGCACGGTTTCCCCCTCTGTCCCTTCACCTTTGTATTCACTTGCCCGCCCCCCTCCCCCAACAGAGATCTGGGGAGAATCTGAAAGGAAACTGTGGGACCTCATTCAGCAGCGGCCCAAGCCTCAAATCACAGGTCTCCCAAACTCTCCTGCCCCACCAGGCCAGGCTTGTCCCCTGCTTGCCCCTCACCAACTCCCAAATCTCCCACTGCAAACCTGCAGCTCCAAAGTGAAGATCGGGCTGCGTGGGCAGACAGCCTTGCGGAAGGGGCAGGAGGCACGGGGGCCAGGGCCAGGGCCAGGGCCAGGACAAGTGGATTCTGTGTGTGTGGCTTTGGGGGGCTGGGGGGAAGAAAGCACAGGTGGGAAGGGGAGACAAGAAGCAGTGGACTGTGCCTGGGCACCCTCCCTGAGGCCCAGGAGGGGAGGACACTCATGTCTGCTCCAAGAGCCACCCTACAAAGGCACAACCACCAACTCTCAGCCTGAAAGCTGCTGCACACACACTTGTGTGCACTCTTCCATAGTGCACAAACACATCACACATCACACGTGTGCACATCTGTCTGCACACTCTCCTCATGGCTCACACAGAAACAACTTCCCACCCTGCGCCTGCCAGGGGCGGTCCTCACATCAGCTCACATCTGGGAAAATAAATCCCAGCACCTCCCTTCCGCCTGGCACAGCCTGGGCTCCAAGGAGAGGAGGTCCTCTCTCCTCGGTTCTGTCTGGTTTTTGGTTTCCAGAGCAGGCATATAGTAAACCTCTGAGGCCCCAAATCCCCTGTCTCCTACCTTCTGGCTTAACACCCAGCTGCCTTGAAACCCCGTGTAATTTCAGCTTCGAATAACCCCTAGGTGCTACAGAGCTGGCCAGGGTAGCAGTGGGACCCGGGTGGGAGGGGAGCGGCCTAGCCTTCCCACCTCTGCCCACAACGCTTCCCTGACCACCCACAGCTCCTGAGTCCCCTGGAAGCCCCACTGGGGTATCTCCAGCCTGCCCAACCTGACGCGATCCTGTCCACCACGGGGCACAGGTACAGCCCAGCCCCTCACTACGCCATGTCCCACACACCTCACGCAGCTGCACCTCGGTTGGCCCCCCCTCCCCGCCCTGGTCGCCCTGCTCTCTTATCTTTGTCCCCTCTGCCACCCACCGGACCCCACACTGGCCAGTGGAGGGGCTGGGTCTCGGGCCCCACTCTCTGCCCAGCCAGGCCCAGCGCCCGGATGGGCACCCCGCACTCACCTGTGCGCGCCCCGCTAGGGCAGCTGCGGGTGGGCCGGCCGCGCAGGGGGCGCGCGGGAACCGCTGGCCAGGCCCGGGAGCCTGGGCCCCGAGCGGGACTCCGCCGCCTCTGCCGTCCGCATGCCCGGGCCCCGCAGCGCCCCGCCGGCGGCGAGGGGGTGGGGAGAGGCCGCGATCGCCGCCCCGCGCCCGCCCCAGCGGCTTTGTTCGGGGTCCGAGGCGCGCGCGGCCCTGCGCCCGCTGCGGAGGAGACGCCCGGGGTCCCGCCCCGCCTCGGCCCGCGTGGGGCTGCGGAGCCCGGACCCGTGTGGCCCCGAGCCGGGCTGTGCCTTCCAGAGCCGAGTCGCCGGGCGAGGGGATCGCGAGTGGAGTGGCGGGGGCGCGGCCAGGCGCAGGGGGCGCCGCGGCGGAAGGCGGCTCTTCAATGTCACCGGCGAAATGGGTTCCATATGTCCGAGCCGGCCCTGCGGAGACGGGCAGGGCAGGGCAGGGCAGGGCAGGGCGGAGCGGGGCCACGCGGGGAGCACTGCGGGGCCAGGGCAGGCTCGCTTCCCTCCGGGTTCCTAAGGCTGCCAGGAGCCGTCCCTTTTCTCTGCCTTCCTGCAGGACGGGCTGGGAGGGGACGCAGGAAGCGAGGCCTCTGGGAACCAAGTCTGGGGCTGCAGGGAGGAGTGGCATTGGTCTCCTGCTCCCTGGAGAGGCAAAGGAGACAACGAACCCTGGGGGAGCAGGAGGATGAAAAGCCGGGAGGACGCCGGGCCCAAGTGTGAGAGGCCGGCCCATCCTCTCCCCTCCCGGATGAATCTGGAAAACTCAGGCCGCGATGATTTAGTGACCGGTGGTGGCCGGTGGAGGTGGTGACCCAAGTGTCCTGTCTGGGACGCCTCGGCCTTTTCCTGGCACTAGGGCTCCTACGCCAGCTGCCTGGAGCCTGATGTAGGCCCCCAGGACCCACTCTGGGGGCTCCTCCTGAGGAGCCTCAGCTTCCTGTGGAGAGAGCTGGCTGTGCAGAGAAAAACAGCGACCTGGCTTCTGGAGGGGCCCCGAGTGTCTGCACCCCAGGGGCTGGGTTCTTCTTCTCCGTCTCTCCCTCTTTCTCTTCCTCTCTGCGTCTGTCTGTCTCTCTTTCTAGCTGGCGCCCCTCTCTCTCCCCTAAACCCTCCCTCCAGTCCTGGTTGCTTTGTCTTCCCGGCCCTGCCTCTCTCTGCATTCCAAGTGAATCTGAATTGAGGCGCACTGAGGACTCGTAAGTGTCTCCAGTAATCACTCAGGAAGCCACTCTGTCCTCCCGGCCTCGGACCCTTTCTTGATGAGAAACCCACTCTCTGCCCTGGACAGACTGTCCTGCACAGTGGGTGGCTTCCCTTCCACTCCCTCCCTGTGCCGTGCGTCCAGGTCCGGGCGCTGTGTGTCTGCTTCTCTGTGGTCTGCCCTTTGTGGCCCACTCTCCCTGTCCCCTTGGGCTCAGCCTTGACTTCCCAGCCAGAAGGGAGCCTGCTGCTGCCTCTGCCTGGTGTCTCCTCATCCTTCAGCTCCACTCCCACCCACATCTTCAGATGCTCTGGCTGCCAGGCCCATGGGTAGACAGAGACCCAGGGCACCTCAGGCACCATCGCCCCTCTCTCCGCCCCTCTCCCCGAAGGACACAGACTCAGCTCAGAGGGATGGGATGGGGTACACACAGGGCAAAAGACAGGGTGCTCCCGGGCTTGGGGAGCCAAGTGCCAATAAACTTAAGAAAACAACCAGGGCCTTTCAAGCTTGCTGATTGGGGGTCGGCCCAGGCGGCTGAAGAGAGGGCATCAGGCCTCACACAGAGGTACAGGGAAGGGGCCAGAGACTGAAAGATAACAGTGGCCAGGGATGGTCCCCCTGCTTTGTCTCTTGGGGCATCAGTGTGCAGTTGGGGGAGGGAAGGGGTGGGGCATCTGTGCCACCTCCCCAAGGCCAGAGGAGACAAAGACCCCAGGGGGCTGGTGGAGTGGACAGGAAGAGTGAGAGTGCCACAGGCCAGGCCAGGGTGTATAGGGGGTGGGGACAGGGCTAGGCCCTGTGGGTCTGCTCCCACCAGTTCCCCTGCCACCTGGCCTGGCCCAAAGGGCGATCTTTCAGGTCCCCACCCCCCACCATACCCCTTTTGTCTTCCATCCTCCAAAGCCAACTGAATTCAGAAGCTAACACAAGTAAGTCTATGCTCTCTCTTCCTTCTTCTGGGCCCTCTTGCATCCTAGGGAAGAGGGGTCCTCTCCCCCTTGTCTTGGGCCTCCATTCTGAAGCACCAGTTGGGAGTGAACTCACTCTCCCACTTTTCCACACCTTACACACCTCGTGTCCCACATGAAGAAGTGGAAACTCCGCTCACCTCCCTCACAGGCACACATGAGAGGGGGATCTGCCAACCCTCAGGACTGAAGGGGAATAGGACAGAAAGACCTGGCGCCCCTACTCCTCCCAGGTCCGGGGTGTCTTCCCCAGCCCCTCCAGGGGCTTCACCCATCACAGTCCCCATAATCTCCTCTTAAAGAGGAAGGGACTCAGCATCCACAGTGACAGTGACAGCCCGTGGGAGTGAGCAAGGGCTGGGCCATGAATAATTAACACCTGGCCCGGCTTGCCCTAATTTGCCTGCTCCAAGGTTTACACTAGCAGACAGAGTTAAGTGGCACAGATGATACTGGCTATAAAGTCAGCTGGCCCCGCTCCAGCCAGAGACCAGCAGCCAGCAGCCGGGCTGGGCTTCTGCCCCCACGCATCCCTGTCACCACTCTGGGGCACCATACAGGTCGGTCATCCCCAGAAGCCACCTCTCAGGCTTTGCTCTTGATCAGCTCCTGTAACCACCACAGGAAACCCTAGAAAAAAGCTGTCCCCTCTTCAACTGCACCCCGAGATCCCCCTCTTTGAAAGATGGGGGCTTAAGTGCGGGAACACATCCCATGTCCTTGAACACCCTCCAGCTTCTTGGGGTCACCTGATTGATTCCTAGAACACTTCTCTTCTAGAAAAAACTTTAGAAAACCACACACACACTTCAGCCCAGACACACAGAGTCTCTCACTGCCTAGGAAACTTCTCTTTGTTTTAGGTGTAAGGGAGGCTTGTGGGGTGTGAATTCATCTCCTCGTTTTGTTAGCCAGGAGGAAAGTGGGGAGCCAGGCTCTCAGCGGCTCTCTCTGCCCTTCACCCCTTGCCGGCCTCCACTGCCTCCCCTCAATTTGGGTGGCTCCTTCTCTACCCCAACACCGCCACAGCATCAGACCTGCAAATGAAGCTGTAAAACTCCACTGATCCCTCCCATCCATCCGGTTGCAGTTACAGCTACAGAAAACTTTGACGGGGTCCCTGTCCATTCCAAACATCTTTGCTTTCACCCACAGTTAATTCCTCCACCGCCAGCTCTCCAGCCCTGGGCCGGGGCTCCTTGGCTTTTGGAGTTGAGTTTGGTTCGCTCAGGCCAGGGGAGCTGGAGAAGCCAGACTCCCAGAGGACAGTCACGGAGACATGCAGCCTCTTTGCTGGCTCTCTCGGGCTCAGAAATACAGTTTTTACATGAGGTCGTGGTCCGTGAATGGGTTTCTATGCCAACGAGGCGCTTCTGGTTTACCAAATTTATACAAATCCCGCCTTAATTGATGGTCGCAGATGCTGTAATTGAAGACCTCTAGCTCTACAGTTTTCATATTAACTGCTGATCTATTACTGCAAATTGAAATAACCAGCTCCTGCGAGCAAAGGGAGAGAAGGACCTCGGAGAGAACGACTCTGTCCCGGCCTCCCAGCCGCGGAAACGGCCAAGCTCCCACATCATTTTCCTTGAGAAATGATTTATCCAAGACATGGCCATAAACAACGCAAGTCACCCACAAACACACGCAGACGCACGCGCAAACACACAATGGTTGGCATGCGGGCCGAGGAGGAGAAGCTGACACCCATATTGCTATAAATCAAGAAAAAGGTTGGAGAGAGAGAGAGAGAGAGAGAGAGAGAGAGAGAGAGAGAGAGAGAAAGTATTCCTAAAATCTCTATGCAATGCCTCAATGGGTATAAACACACAGCACACCGTGTGAAGAGAAATGGCAGGAAGCGAAGATGGTTATTTGTCACACTTTACGACAATAACATTAATAACAAACAATAAATTTACATGGACACAGAAGACGCGGTAGGTAGTGAGAAACCCCTTCTACTTACAACACGCCAGCCCGCGGTGCGGCTCCGGCTTGCGGGGCGCTTTTATTGCTGTCTCCTTTTCTTTTCCTCTCTCTCTCTCTCTCTCTCTCTCTCTCTCTCTTTTCTCTCTCTCCCCCTATCTGGCTCTCTCTCTTTTTTTCTCGGGGTACAGGCTTGTTTTTCAAAGGACAGTTGAATTGCACGTCAGAAACAGGGAGACCAAGCCCGTGATTTTCCTGACGAATACATATCTATTCTGCAACCTCGGCATTAATTATTTAATGAATCACGTGACCAGGAGGGGGAAGGGGGTCTTTCGATTTCAGGCTCAAAGGACCACTGTGACCTTCCCCTTCAGGAGGAGAAATTTTCCTGTAAAATAGGTCCCCCCCCCCCCGCCCACCAATGGAATAGAAGCGAGGTCTCCTCTCTCCCACGCACACATCCCTGCCTCTCTGGGTGCGCGCCCCTGCTCCCCCCAGACACACACTTACCCACAGCCCACCTCTCTTCTCTCCCTTCTCCTCCTGCTTCTGCTTATTTCGTGGAGGTGAAGAAACAGTCTGCAGGGGTGGGTGGGGGTGGGGTGGGCTCCAAGCCCTTCTCCGAGCCCCTGTTTCCTGCGCTTCCAATGCTCCTGCCTGTACCCTTTAGGATTCACATTTCCCCATCCAACTCCATTCACTCCCACTCTTGGGGTATTTATTTTAGGGGGACAAGCACGCTCCCTCTTCCAAGATAACCAACAAGGTTTCTAAAGGGACCCACTTGGAAAGGAACACTTCCTAAGTCCTGATGACTCATAGGTCGCAAATGGGCCTTGGGGCTTCAGGTCTCTTTCTGAGCTTTTGTGGTACCTTGGAAGGGGTCAGGGACAGGGTGAAGAGGCCTCCAGAGTTGAGTGTAGCCGCCAGGGGGACTTGGATTCGTTGTGTTGTTGCTACCCTAGGAAGCCAGATGCTACTTGACTGCTTCAGACAGGCTCTCCAGACAAAGGACCAGGGTGAAGGTTCCTACACAAAAGAAGTGGACACCAGCCTCTCCATCCCAAGTCACACCCTGTCCTGTGTCTCAGTCCCTCAAGAGCCCAACAGAACCCTCACTGAGAGCTGAGCCAGGAAGACAGAGCAGGGAGGAAAGCTTTGAAGCCTGGCCTGGCAGCCAGGGCCCCCAATTTCCCAGGTGCTCTTTAGCATCCTAGGTTTGGAGCAGCACACAATAGAGCCCCATTAATTGGGGCGGTTGTGGTAAAGGGTTAACCACCCAGGATAAGAGAAAGCCACCCCGCAGGCCTGTGCAAGACCTACACAGACTCCTCCAACTCAAACAGAAACAAAACCAAAGATCCCCCAAACTTCACAAGTTCCAATCAGAGTCTCAGTCTTGGGCCAGACCACAGACAGCAGGGGGCGAGGGCAGAGGGAAGCAGAGACAGACAGACATTCCTCAGAAGCCAGGCCAGCGCTCCGCATTCCAGCTTATCGGCTTCAGGCTTCAGCAGGGCCCTGGCCCAGGAGACAGCAGAGGCACTTTAGGGTGGGGTGTGGGGCTGCCCCCCCCCGTAGACCCCATAGGGAGAAAGCCCAAAGCCCTTGGATACCATGTTAACCCCAAAGAAAGAGCTGCACATCGCTGTTACCATAAGAAACTACCCCCACTCCCAAGAAGCAGCCGCAGCCCCTTGGAAGATCTGGCTGCTGCCGGGGGTCCCCTGAGGAAGACACTGGAATCCTGCCCTCCCCACGGGCTGGGGGTGCCAGCACGGCCCAGGCTCGGTAGGAGGGGTGGTCAGCTTTGATTGTCCCGATACAAAACACAGACTGGTATTGAATTCAGCTCCCGCCTGGCTGCGGCCCGCCCAGCTCTGGCTCTAGTTAAGACAACTCCCTGCGAGGAGGTCCTGGCCACCAATTCATTAAAAATGGCCCCGCAAAGACATACTGAGGTCTACAAAAGAGAGGCAGAGAGATGTGTGTGTGTGTGTGTGTGTGTGTGTGTGTGTGTGAGAGAGAGAGAGAGAGAGAGAGAGAGAGAGAGAGAGGGAGGGAGAGGGAGAGAAAGACACTCATCTTCAGGACCCAGAGATTCTTTTTTAAGGGCAAGAAACAGCAACGAAGGGACCCGAGCCCTGCCAGCCAGGGTCCTGTTCAGAGCGCCCCACACTGTCTCCCTCCTTTCCAATCCTGGGAATGTCCACGTCCACCACGTCCAAATAAACAAGCCGCCCGAGCCAGCCCGGAGGCCCAGCGCTTTGCTAGAGGCCGATAAAGCGAACGTTTAGACTGCGAGGAAGGCGAGATTGATTTACGAATCTGAACACGCCGGTTTTATGGCCGATCACAAATCCGTCAGCGCTCAACTCACGCTGGGAAACTTCCCCACTTGGTTTTCCAAACGACCCCCTCCTCAGAGCCTCTTTCCAGGGTGGGCCACCGGCACTGGGCTCGCCTCTGCCCAAGCTGGCAGGCAGGTGGCAGGCTCAGGAAGCCAAGAGGAGGGTCTAGGGAATTGGGGGAAGACAGGTCACACCTCAGGAGAGGCCCTGTCTCCTGGACTGGCCACTGGGACCCTAGAAAGTGCACCCAGGCAGCAGCCAGCATGCAAACACGTTGGGGTTTTGGAATGAGGGAAGGAAAGATCTTGTGTTTGGGCCTGGGTGGATGGGATTGAAACTCTTGAACCCCAGTCTTCTCTTCCCCTCCTGCTTCTCTCTGCTGAACCCCTAAGTCCTCCTATCCCAGAGAGCACTTTGTGAAGTCCCAGCAACTGGGTCCTCCCCAGGTCCCAATATTTTCAGGAGTGGGACAGTTTGACTTTCTGTTTACCCCACTCCTACCTGAGGCTCCCAGCCCCTCCATGTATGACACCCAGGGACAAAAGAGAAGATTCCTATCACTCCGGTTATTTCTTGCCTGAGCCTGGTCCAACTTACAAGAAACAATTTACCGGGGCTGGGGATTTAGCTCAGCGGCATAAGCGCCTGCCTTGCAAGCAGGCAGTTGTGAGTTCAATCCCCAGTACCGATAAAAAGGAAAAAGTCAAAAAAAAAAAAAAAAAAAGAAAGAAAGAAAGAAAGAAAGAAAAGAAACAATTTACCAGAGGCAAACCAGCACTCCACACACATCCCAGCACGGTTCTGTCTCTCCTTTTCCTAACTCAAGGGGAGCAATTCCTCTTCCCAGCTAGAATCAGCCTCTCCGCCTGCCCCTGAGAGGATGCCCCGCTGGCGTGGATTTTTAAGAGGCAGCAAACAGAATACGAATTTGGGAAGGTCTCCACAAACCGAGCTCCTCCCTCCACATATCTCTCACCCATCTCTTGACACCAAAATTCCTGCAAACTTTGGTTCAGTGGTAGAGCTGGCCCTGGGGAGGGTCAGGGAGGCCTGCCCTGTGTTGCACCCTCTCCCATTCCTCTTGCTGCTGGGGAGAAGGTGAGGTCTCTCAAGCACTCTGAGCAGTTGGGCTAGGTCTGTCTGGGAACAGAGGGCCAGGATAAAGGTGAGAAGAGAAACAGCTTCCTAAACAAAGGCACTGCAGATCTGTAGCTGTAGGTTTGGATGTGGGGAAGGGATATTCCTTCAAGGTGGGAGCCAGCTCCTTACCACACAGTGCAAGGGCTTACTCCCTGGCCCTCTGCAGCCTGAGGGTTGGGCCGGTCCAGCTCTCCGCACAGCATCCATAACCCTTTGTCTTTCTTCCCAGGCTCCCTCCAAGGGAAGCAGGGAAGGAGGCATGAACTGACTACAAGGGGCAGAGGTTGCAGCCTAGGGAAGGGACCATGTAAGGCTAGACCAGCACCCTGCCACCCCGCACACTAACACCCTAACACCCACCCGGGTGTCTAACACCCGGACTCTCTCTTTTATTCCTTTTCTCCTTGATGAACACTTACAGAAGAGTAATCCAGGAATTCCGAGCTATCAAGGAGAGGTTAGGGGGCAGGAGGGGAATAGAGAAGACCGAACACACTTTTGACAGCTCAGGGACCCTCCCTGCCTGCCGAGGTGCGGCTTTCCCTCCTGGCCCAGGAGGCAGGAGCCAGCACAATGTCCAGTCTCACAGAGGCCAAGGGGCTGCCGAGGTCATTTTGTGGTTCTAATGCTGAGCTAATCGCCTAGAAAGCGTGGCCTTTCCATGAACTCTCTCTCTCTCTCTCTCTCTCTCTCTCTCTCTCTCTCTCTCCTGCCAGCCTCCTGCCTCCAAACTCTAAGAGAGGCCTCAGGGAAAAAAAGGCCAGCACGTCAGGTCTTAGGCAGAGCCCAGGAACTCCTCCGCCCAGAGAAGAAACCAGAACCCCAAGCTGGGAAGCCAGGAGAGCAGGAAGAAACTAAATGGACCGTGCCTCCAGGAAGGGCAGAGCAGAGCGGTCCTGGGTTGCACACCCAGCCTGTGTACCCAGCACGCTGCCGGCTCCACACAGGAGCACAGATTCTGCTGGAATCTCAAGCCATACACAAGATGAAAAGCAAACGAATCCACTTATACCCTTTCCAACGTCGCCGGGGCTTTCCATCCAAGAACTCCGTTCCATTTTTCCAAGAGGCTGCAGTGACATCTTGCTGTACACAGGCAGAGGGGACACGGACCCCTCCATACCCCAGAGTCCACAATCAGAATCCCACGCACACCTGCACCTCACCAGACTCATGCAGGCCCCACGCCAGCTGCCTCTCCCCACACAGCCTGCCCTTTCCAAAACGAGAAGGGCCCTCTGCTTCCAAGCCACCTCCTAAACAGCCTCAGCTGGGGTTTTTCAAGGGCCCCCCACCCCACCCCGACACCTCTGTCCGGACCAGTTCAAACACTCTCCAGGTGTCAGGCTCCGGCCACCTCTGACCCAAACATCGGTCATCATAAAAGCAGCAAATCTGACCAAGTGTCCACCATAAAACCCCTCAAAGATAGTTGAAAAAGAAAAGAGGAGGCGAGTGTTTCTTCTGCCACTTTGAAAAGACCTCATAAAACGATCAAAAAAAGAAAAGAAAGGAAAAGAAAAAGCCAGCCCAGGCCAGGGCTTTGTTACCTTTGCGCCTCTCGCCTCCTCCTGCCCCGAGCTCCGAGGGTCCCATTCATGATGAGCGGCTTCTTCCAAACTGAGAAAAAAGTTCTCAACTTTAGGGTTCCAAATTTTTTCCCCCTTGCAGATCCGGGAGAGCCGGCTAACACTTTTTTCCCCCAACAGCCGGTCTGCGGAGATTTGCTGTTGAATAATAACAAAGGAGAGAGGGTACGTATTTAAAGAAAAGAAGTGATTAATGGTTTTCTGTATAATTCTCACATTTTTCTTAGCTCTTGTCTACACAGAATGGCTGTGAACTTTAAGCTCCATAGAAATCTTTTTTTTTTAATTCTATTCATACCTTCCAAGGAGCAGCTTTGATTTAGTTCTTTAGAGACATTCCTGGGGGTGTATGCTTTTTAAGAAATACTTTCCCCCTCAACCGAGGGTTAGTTGCGTCTCTTTGCAGCTAAAACATCACACTGCGATGCCAAGAAAACAAAACTCACCCCTCAGCCTCCTCTAGGCCCAGGCGATTTTTTTTTGTATGAATCTCCAGGCTGTTTATAAACTGACAATTCAACCACCCTTTCCCCGCACTGAGGACACCAGGCCTGTCCCGTGCCTGGCCGTCCCCAGCCCCCTATCACCATCACTACAAACCAGAGAGATGCAAAATAAATAACCATAAACCATGTGCGTGAGATTGGCTGTTTTTATTTTCTGAAAGAAAGGACTGAAACAAAACACTAAGCCACTTTTAACTGCATGTACTCCTGGAGCACCAAGCTTTTTGACAGTGAGGTGGTGGTGGCACCCTGGACCACCACCCACCACGGGGACCTGAGACCAGGGCTCCATCCAGCCTCACCCCTGGACATCTCAGCAAGGGCCCAAGCCTGACCAAGCTTTCCGAGGGTCACCTGCACCCCTGTCCCTTCCCCCACGCCATTCTAGGGTAACGGGACCTCAGAGACAAAAAGCTATTTGCCCCCCCTCACTTTCCATACTTTCTATGAGAAAGAAAATGAAAATTAATACAGGAGCAGGGCTTCACAAAAGAGGCCATTTGTCTTCTTGATTATCTATTTGCTTGTCAGAGTTTGAGCTATGGCACCGGCTAGCTCTTTTGTAATATAAAAATACTCTGAAAACCTGCAAACACCCAGAAACATCTGTGCAAAAAATTAGACTCATTAAAGCCTTAAACACCTCAGAGAAAAGCGGTACCTTCGTAGGCAGCAAGGAGAGAGGCCAGCCTGGTAGAATCTTCTCTCTCTCTCGGAACTTTAATAACCAAAGAGCTGTCTGTCTAGAAGGAGACAGCTTAACCGCATTTTATTTGCTTATGACAAATAAATCACAATATGAAAGGCTCTGCCATACTTAAACCTCTTGTGTCCTACAATGAAACATTTCCCCCAACCATTAGGGGCTGGAATCAGCCCTGCCAGTTCTTCTGATCCATTTTTGGATGGGAGGAGAAAAAAATTAAAACGAAACAAGAAACACACCCATCCCAAAAGGGAAATAAACCAACTACCACAATTTGGACCCCTCTGAGACAGAAATTCCCATTGGATCTCCGAGCAGGGCAGGGTGGATCTTCAACCACACAGGATGTGAAGCCAACCCGCTAGCTAGGACGCTGGGCACACACTGGGTGGCATTTGTCCACCGAGGTTCCAACAAAAACACGGATGTGATGATGATCACGAGAAACTAAACATTTATTTCTATTGTCACTCTGTACAGGACACGAATTTTCACACCAATGCAAGGTTCTAGGCTTGGGCACCCTCCACCCCTAGGGAGGAAGGCGCCTGGCTTGGAATGTCAGAAAGAACAGGAGAGAGGATGCACATGACATAAAATAATAGTAATAATAATATTAATAATAATAAACAATGCAACAAGGATAAACTATGGTGAGGGCTCTGTCACATCGTCCCCCGCCAGTCCAATGGCCACATTTTATTCCCTAGTTTCATATTCATCTTCAGTCTAAGAGAAGCCTCTGTTGTACAACTCCGGAATGGCTGGGGTGTGTGTGGGGGTCACGCCTAGCCTCCCCTCCTCCCCCAAACTGGCCCCTCACCCCGCCAAGCGTGAGTCTGGGTCACTCTTTTTGAATCCTTGACTCAGTTTCCCTGCCAGCTCCTGCGTGGCCGAGGTCGCCCCTCCCCCACTTGGCCTCTTTCTTCTGTCCCCCCTTCACCCCCAAGGCGGAAGGGGGTGAGCAGTCAGCGGTCCCCCGTGGACGGGCACGGAGGAAGAGCAAAGCTGGGTGTGGGTGTGTGTGTTACCGTGGGCAGCCACAACCCTGCTTTCTGGCAGTCCCAGGGTGCTTTCGCTGGGTGTCAGGAGGGGGACAAAGAAAGAAAATCCAGGCTGTCTCCCAGCAGCGGCAGCAGCAGAGGCGGCGGCAGCCTGGCCGGGCTCATTTGTTAGCGAATGTCGAGGTAATGGTCGCCACCGAGGCCGTCCTCTCTTCTCCTCGGCAGAGTAAACAAGACAGATGGGCCGGGCCTGGCGTGATTAAAGATGAACTGTGGATCCATCTTCTCCGCGAAAGCTGCAAACCAGGAGCTCGGCCTCCTCCTATTGCTCTTTCTTTTTTTCTTTCTTCCTTCTTCCTTTTTTTTTTTTTTTTTTTCCTCTTTTTTTTTTTTTAAAGGAAGAAAGCAACAGACTGGATCTTGCTTGGGGGCGCGCGGGGCGAAAGGGGGGTGCTCGCAAAGCTCCCTGCTGTCATTTTTATAAATAAAGCACCCCACCCCTCCTTCTCTGCCTTTACTCAGATATAGATGAAGTGAGGTGGGGAGGAGAGCGGGTAGCCTGTTGGGGCCCAGGCCTGGGCCCCCTCCCGCATCCCCTGTATGCCCCAGATCTGCGCTCCTTGCCCTCCCCGCCCCCAGGTCCGCGGCTCCAGCTGGGGGGGCGCACTAGAGCGCTGGGGGGCCTCCGTTGGGCCGGCCAGGGGGCCCTCCACCTGGGCCCGCGGTGCCACCCGAGCGGATCTTGGTGTTGGGCAACTTGTGATCTTTTTTCCACTTCATGCGCCGGTTCTGGAACCAGATCTTGATCTGGCGCTCGGACAGGCAGAGCGCGTGGGCGATCTCCACCCTCCGGCGCCGCGTCAGGTAGCGGTTGTAGTGAAATTCCTTCTCCAGCTCCAGGACCTGCTGGCGGGTGTAGGCGGTCCGCGAGCGCTTGGGCTCCCCGCCGGCGTAATTGGGGTTTACTGGACACACACAGAGACAGGGAGAAAGAGAAAGTTTTATTGCCCCAGAGGGAGGAGCCAGGGCCCCTTCTTCCAGCTAACTCGGTGGCGGCGCCCCCTCTCCCCATCCACCTCCACCTCCGGCGTGGAGCAGAACTGCGCCTCGCCTCGGGAGGGCCGCGGACAACCAGGGAAAGCACAGACGCCAAGCCGCGCGGGGCTGTGCTGGCAGCGTGGATGTTTGGGTGTCTAGGGGAAGCAGGGAGAAATCTCTGCGAGGTTTTCATCGCTCCTCTCCCCCTTGGCCTGGGGCCCGGGTGGGAGATCGAGGGGTGGGCGAGAGAGGGGTGTTGCCCTGCACCTTTCGCGTTTAGTGCCCACCCTCCCTGGCTGCCCGGATCCCCAGCAGAGCCTGCCCCCAGGAAAAAACTTTTGTACACATCCCCAGCCGGCCTGGAAGAAAGGGGTGGCGGGGTGGTGGGGGAGACTAGGAGTTGACTGCGGTCTTGGCTTAAATACGGATTACTACCTCCTCCTCCTCCTCCTCCTCCTTCTCCACCTCCCACACACCCCCCTCCCCAACTTCCAACTTCCCTGGGACTCCATCTCCCCGGCGAAAAAGTCGCTGGTGAGAACAGAGGGGAGCATGGACAAGCAACTTCAAAGGCGCAGGGCCCACCAGGCCATAAAAATTTATGGGGGATGTAATTATGTGGCTCTGAAAACAGGCGACCGTAAATCTCCGGCAATGGCGAGTTTATAGCGGGGACAATTGGCTTCCCCCAGCCCTCCCAACCCCCCCTCCCGCGCCATGCCTCCGGAAAGTGCCGGGGGGGGGGGGTGGGAGGGGAAGGGGCGCCCACGCACTCACCCGTGCTCACGTGAACTTTGCGCATCCAGGGGTAGACGACGGGCTCTTTGCACGCGGAGTGGGACGGGCTGGGGTGCATGGGGTTCTGGGCGCAGGGAGGCGGCGGGGGGCTGCTGCTGACCGCCTCGCAGCGCTGGCCGGGCTCCGGGAGGAGGGCCCCGGCGGGTGGCGGCGCGGGAGCCCGAGGGGACAGCCCGGGCGGCGGCGGGGGCGGCGGGGGCGGCGGCGGGGGCCCGGGGTCCCGGCAGGCCGCGTAGCGCTGCACGGTGCACGCCGCGCGCCGCCCGAAGGCCGCCTCGGGCTGGAAGCTGCTCTCTCGCCGCTGGCCGCCGGCGTAGTACCCGGGCGAGTGGTCGCTGGGTAGGTAATCGCCCTGTGAATATTCCTCGCACGGAGGGAACTTGGGGTCGACATAGTTTGAGTTGATCAAAAAAGAACTCATAGCCATTAATTTCTGGGAATTGCCCACAAAATATACTAAAATTTATTCCGACCCCTGACTCGTTTTCCTGTTTCCGAGAGCCCTCCTACTTACTGTCAAGTGAACAAAGTTGGGGCCCACGTGATCCTCCGAGCCAATAGCCACCCCGCCTGCGATTCCCGGATAAGGAAATCTGCTCACCCGGACCCCACTCCAGCCAAAGAGGTTTATTTCCCCTTCTCCGCTTCCCCCTCCCCACCCAGCGGCCGCCAGGATTTACATAGGGCTCCTGCGGGGCGACCCCCTCCTCGCCGCGCTCCTGGAGAGCTCAGAGGCTCAGAGCGCAGGGGAACGCCAGGGCGGCACGCTCGGACGCAGGCCTGGCCAGCGCGCTGGGCAGAGCTCGATTCCCGCATCCCCTCCAAGTTGGGGTTCCCGATGTGGCCCCTGCGGTCCTGCCTCACCTCTGCCTGGCATTCTGTGCTTTCCAAAGGGCTCCCTGTCCTCCCCAGGGCGAAACGGAGCCCGTGCGCCCGGCGTCCGCGTGGGGAGTTCAGTGGCCGGCGGGCTGGGGACTCCTCCTCGAACTGGGGAGTCCACTGGGGGCGAGGGGCTCGAGCTGGGGGCTTTTCTCTGCAGCCAAATGAGGAGGGGGGTAGGGGATGAGCGAGGAGGCGTGGGGAGCTGGAGGGCGGGTGCGCGGAGGGTCTTGTCAGAGATGAATGGAACCGCTAGCGGATCGATAGCAAATGCATGTACTAATTCGGGGAGACCTCGCCTTCCAAATCGCATTTAGCTGCACTGTTAGCTTGACCGTATCAGTCAGTCCGTCTGTCCCCCTTCTCCTGGCCACTCCTCCAGCCCAAGCCCAAAGAAAGGGCTTGGTTTCCCCGTTGAAGATGAGCAGGAGTCAAAAACCCTGCAACTCTTAAAAGCAAATTGAATAACAACTTGCTAATTCCAGAACCAACCGAGCCACACTGACGGTGGCGCCCAGTCCTTGTAGTTGCCACTAATGCCACAGCCTTGGCAGCAACAAATAAAGCCTTCTTTTCCGGTTGATGCTGGGGACAGAAGCCCTAGCATCGAGCCCCCCCCCCAACCTCCCAGCACACACAGTAACACCCCTGGCAATCGCGTATTTCCAAGGCGCCTCTTTCTGAACCCAAACGGAAAGTCGACCTCAGCATCCGTTTGGAAAGCGAATTTCCTTTGCCTTCGCACACTGCAGAAAACAGTCTTTGAAAACAATTCAGATAAAGCCCCCTCCAACCCAGGCAAATAGGTGGGCTTGGGATAAGAACGTAAATTAAAGACACCATCAACAACCGTCACTTAAGTGAAAAAGGGTTAAAGCTTCCAGGGGTGGGCAGGAGCTGAGGTCAGGTAGAGGATTCCTCCATCTCTAACCAGTGAAAAAGGAAAAGAAAAGGAAGAAAGAAAAAGGAAGGAGTCTTCTCGTGGCCAGTCACCAAATTGTCCTCATTTAGAAAAATAATGTATTTTTTTTTCTTTCTGGAAAAAAAGGAGCGGAGTGTTTATGTCAACTACATATTCCCCTAGATACGAATTTGTGACCATAAAATTCCTTACACAAATTCGGACCTACAGGGTATATACAGAAGACAGACAGATCTTCTTGGCCCAGACATTTTCCAGCTCTACTTTCGTTCTTCTTTGTGGGGGATGTGGTCGGAGTGCTTTCATTTTATTTCGTTTGGTTCTAGTTTTTGAGCTCTGGGAGCCGAGCAAGGGTCTGAATCCATTCCTGGGATTACAAGGTTTTCCACTCTGAGAGAGGAATAGAAGCAGACGGTCTGCCAGAGATTCGAAGCCCGCGGCCGCCGGGTAACTCTGGGCGGCTCATGAATTATGACATGTAAACATTAGCCACGCACAAAAGGAGGAAGGGTCATCCTGAGGCTGCCAGGAGTCAGACTCAGGGCTTTCTGGGTGCCCTCATGTCCCTCCCCTCCCCCTGACTGTATTTTTTTAAAAAAGAGAAAAACAAAACCCTCATGGGCTCCTCCAGTGCCCTTCACAGCCTTAGTCTGCGGATCAAACGAATATCTAGATATTTTCCAAAGCGCTTCTCAGCCCAGGGAGGAGGGAGAGGCGGCTGGGTGTGAAGGGGGTGTCATAAAATCCTTTTGGAAAAAGTCAATGGTACAAAAAAGAGAGAGAAACAGCTGTAAAGAAAAATGCTGGGAGACCAAGCAGATGGGGCCCCGGATATTTAACGACGGGCAATTCCGTTTACAACCTGAGAAAAGATCAAAGACGTTTCATTTCCGAATGAAGGGCAATGAGGAACCATAAAAGATGCTGCCAGATGATGTGTAGGCCCCTCCCCACCTCCTGCAGCCCCTGGGGGCCAGAATGGGAGACTTGATCCCCTAGAGGGATTTGGAGGAACCCAGGGCCCCTGTCTCTCTAGCCCCAGGTGGGTCCCCTCTTTCTGACATCACTGGCCCAGTCCCTGGCCCAGCCACCTGCTTGGATGGCTGGCAATAGGGCTCCAAAGGGGGCCTGGGGCTACTGAACCCACTTTCTGGGGCTCCCAGGAACTCCTGAATTTACAGAACAAGGGCACTGAGGATTGGGCTGGAGGCTTTGACTCTGAAAGCTGTGATCAGGCTGCATAACCTGTGTACCCAGTGGCCTGCTCCCCACACACACCCCTTTGCCCATCTCTTAGGGTCTGAGAGATGCATCCCTTCCAGAACAACGCAGAATGCCACCAAACTCATGAGCAAATACAACAAACCAGGACCAGCCATTCAACGGCCACATGCCAGAAGCCTCTGCCCTCTAGAGATGAGACTCCTGCAGGGTGGGCAGGGAACACTCCTGGCTGCTGGCAACCAGCTCCAGAGACCCTCTGTTTGGGGGGGGGGGCATTTTAAAAAAATAAACCAAATCTGTTCATTGCCAGTGATGACCTCTAGGCCTGGTTTCTAATACTACCATTCTCCCAGGTAGGCCAGGGCCACACATTAATGGGGTGTGGACCCCCACGTAATTACTTTGTATTGCAATCTCTGCCAAAGAGAAGAGGGCCCAATAGGTAACCTCAGACCCCATCTGGGCATCCAGGGATACAGGAGTCTGGTCCCTCGGCCTCACGTGGCACCAGCTCCCCCAACACCAACCAAAGACCTGTGGAAGTCCAAAAGCCACTTGGGGCCTCTGCGACCCACTTCAATGGCTCAGGCCCCTCCCCCACCCCATACCTCCAAGTCCTGCCCGCTCCTGGAAGCCCGTCCAGCCCGCAGGCGGTTCGGTAGTTTAGGAGGCCGCAGGGCTGGCCGCGGGGGCCTCTCTGCTGCTCTGTTCCACGCAGGATGTGGCCCAGGTGCCCGCAGCACCCCAGAAACGATTCGCAGGGCACAGAACCACCGCAGGGTTGAGCACGGCTGGTCCTGAGCGCAAGGATTCTCTTCCCTGAGCGCTGGGACCCGGTCACCTGCTCTTCCCGCCGGGGCACAGCACCCATCCCTGTGCAACGCAGCTCCAGCAGGGTGCAGCCGCCCGCGGAGGAGGACGGGGATTAACAGGGATCCCAGGACGGGTTCACCGGGAGCAGGAGGCTGCCTTGGTACCCGGAGTACCAAGGGCTCGCGCGGAGAGCCACCTCTCCTGCGCTCCCGGGGCGTTCGGAGCTTCCGGGCCAGACCCCTTCTCCAGGCAGCCACAGGTTGCCAGGGGACCTCAGGCTGCTCAGACCCCCACTCTGCCATCAGGGCCCCCAAAGAATCATGCACCTTGTGTGAACGCGGAAAAAGGGACGCAGCGAGCCGGGGAAGGCGAAGGGCCGGGGCGCCAGGGCTCAGCCGGCCGCGCCGAGGACCAGGAGCCCCGGAGCGCAGCGGGCGCGAGTACTCACCGGGCCGCTCCCCGCGCCTCCGGGCCGGCCCGGGTGACCCACCAGGGCCCCTGGGCAACGGCTGAGCTCGCTGGAAGTCCACTATCGTGAGTCCGGAAAAGCGAACCGCGGCTGCGGGTAGAAGAGGAGTCCCCAGCCCCCTCCGAGGCCGGAACAGGACTTTTTTTTTTCCTTCTTTTTTGGTGTTTTTGTTTTTAGAGCACAAGTTTTGGTATTCATCTCTTACTTTGGCAGTCTTTGTTAAACAGCTAGGCGCGTCACAAGGCTCGCGAACATTTTAATAATTTTTAGACGCCGTGACCTGCGGTTCACCCCTCTGCCGGCCTCCCCCACGAGCGGGCGGTGGCTGTAATATGCTGGCGCGGTTTGCTCGGTCATATTGAATTTTGCGCAGGTCATTACATGGGAGAAAAATGACGGAGCAGCAATTTGATTCTGTGCATCCTTTTTCCAGAACCTTCTCACCCAACACCCCCCCCCCAAAGTCCCATTCCGGTAGAGTTCAGGCTGCCCCGCCCTGCTTTGACTTCCCCATCATTGCTGTATTTTTTTCAGGAGAGCCTGAGATTCCAGGAGGAAGCTTTGGGTAGGAAGCTGGCACTCAAGACAACTGCAACCTGGTGGGCATCGGGCATCAGAACCTCAGAGCAGGCCTAGGCCAGGGCCTCTCCCCACTAAATCCTGCACCGGCGGGGCCTGTCCCCCATCCCATCCCACACTCTTCTCCACTTTATTTGCTCCCCCAAATCCCAGAGATACCCCTACTTCTGCCCAGGAAGAAGCTCCAGGGCCTCAAAAATGACTTTTCAGTCTCTCACCAAGGCAAGTTTGATCCATAGCTAGCATGTTTGGGGAACACGGAGAGAACCCCAGATAGGTGCTGGCTGCACTGATCAAACCTAGAGACCTGGGGATTTGGCTTTCAGATTTGGCTTTTACCCTTTAAAAACAGAACCAGATAAAGGGGTTTTTTAAAGACCATTGTACTAAACACAGCCACCGTTTTGCCTACCCCCCATCACCACAAGAAGGGTCCCAAGAAAATTGGCAAGGCTGTAAAACATTTTCCAGGTTTGTAGCTCTAGGATTAGAACCCCGAGAATCCCTACAGCATGCCCGTCCTTCCTCCCTCCCAAGAGGACTGCAGAGATAGAGCAGGTGACACCTCTTCTCTCTAGCTCAAGGCTCAGGTCTAGGAGGGGTGGCAGGGTGGGGACCTGGGGTTAGGAAAGTGCTTCACAAGTTTGAGGTGACCCAGGAGTGTATTCCAGAGAGGTCCAGATTTACCATGCCGTCTGTCCTAGCATAGAGGAAAGAAGACTGGGGGGGAACAGAAAGAGATTGATCCTCCAAGCCAAGCTTTGACCTCTGCACCTTTAGCACCCCCAGGAATTCCTCCCTGGCCTGACACCCCAGAGAAGTTCCATTGAGGATTCTGTGGAACACACACACACACACACAAGTGGAGGTCAAATTGATTTAAAATTTGTTATGAAACCTTCTTCTATTCTGGCCATCTTCCATTCTGGAAGGACAAACACCCACAGGCCACCTCCTCTCTCCTAAGTGTTTGGAAAAAGACTATAACAGCATTTCATAAGGCCGCAGTCATTTACAGATTCCCAAAGCAGACACACGCCCTGGTGTTGTAATTGCAGTCTCTCTGAGCGGTTTACTCATAAGCAGAGCTTAATGTATGGATGAAGGTTCATTTCAGGTCGCCTGTTCCAGCGCCAGTTAGAAAGGGCTCCCTGAGACTATTCAGTATTTTTCCTTTGCACTTCTGCTCCCTTTTCCAAATAGGAAGACAGGGAGCCAAGATTTACACCCAGACGAAGTTTGGGAGAGAGGGGGAGATCTAACAAACTAATCACCTTCCATATCCTAGTTTTTAAAGCCAGGCAGTGGCACAGAAATAGTTTCAAAAGCCTCTGGCACTGGTCCGCGGTCTTGAACTCCAGCCCACTAGAACCAGGCTGGAGGGTTGCAGGGTGGGGGAATTCCTAGAAACAGGGAGACCTGAGGTCAGGTGGAATTGCCCCAAGTTTGGCCCCTTTAGGGCAAGTAGGGTGGGTAGCAAGCCTTCATCTTGGAAGCTTTCTTTGGCCCTGCTGCAATGGCGTGTGGGTAATTGAATTTTTCAAATGTGTGCGGCTGGGTAAGTTTTAATTAAATTTTATATGGTGACTCAAAGGTTATCTTTGGGGGAGAAATTGCTCCGGAGAATTCGCCCCGCCCCAAGCAAGCGCTGTCTTTTGTGCAGCTCTCTGACCAGCACCACTGGTTTATTGTTGCTGTTTGTCTTTCTGCAGAAGGCTTGCTTCCTTCCTCAGTTTCTCCTTCCCCAGCCTTGGCCTCGCCCCTGCGCCCCCGCCCCCTCCTAGGGCGCAGGCACCTCATGCTCCCCGCCCCCGCCCCCTCTAGACGCCTGGCGGTCCCTGGCTCACGCACGCTGTAAACTTTTGACCCTCCAACTTTGCGACCCCTCCGGCAATAACACTGGCCTCACCGCCAGGGTCTCTTTCTGCTGCGCCGGCTGCGGAAACCCAAGCGCACAAACGCCCTCCTTGCCCCTCCTCCTGCGCCGCCTCGCCCGCTCCCCACGCGTCCGTCCATCCCGGCCACCGCGCCCCGTGGCCGGAGACCTGGGGAACGGGACTCTCTGGTTGTTAAATAACGCGGGGTGGGGGATGCCTGCCTGAGCACCGCCCGCGTTTGTACAAGTCTCTTCTTTGGGGAGGCCTGGAAGGGCTTTAACCACCCACCTTCTTCCTCCCCGACTCCCCAAGGGACGTGCTTGCTGCGCGAGCGCCCCCACAGAATGGGCTGACCTAAGAAGGGTGTTGGTGGGAAAAATGGCAAAGCTTGGAGCAGAGTTTCCTTGAGCAGGGGCGGGTGGCGAGCACTGTGTCCATAGTACCAGAAGGACAGCTGTGTCCCAACAATGCGAGGGCGAGCCGGCCCCGGGCCACCTTGCGCGGCGCCCGCTGGCGCCCGGGAGGCCCCGGCGTGGCTGTGAACTTGGTCTAAGGCGGACTCTACTGGCAGCTCGGGGACGTTACAGCCTCTGCCGCGGCCGGCGCCGCGTCCCTGCGGACCTCCCCGCGCACTTTCGGTTTCCCTTCCTTCCCGCGTGTCACCTGCCAGGACCCCATCTGTCGCAGGGAGGGCAGGGTTTCATTTCGATTTTCCTGGGAGGCCTTCAGTTATCAGAGACGAATAAAGGGAGGGAGCAGGAGAACGAATGAGAACGCAAGAGTAGAAGCCGGGTACAGGGCTGATCCCCAGGGCGCCCCCACAAAGGTCTCCTCCTCGGCCTGCCACTCCCCGACCCACCCACACACCTGTCCTCTGCGTGCCCTGTGCCATGTCGCCTGCCCACCTTTCAACCTGCCCGGGGTCATCTCCCGGCCACTGGCAGCACCTTCCCTCCCTGCGAGGAGCCCTCCCTGTCCCCACCGACTCCCAGCCCGGGGCTCGACGCCACCGACCGAACCCAGGCGTCGCGCTGCGCCTGAGGCTGCAGCCGCGTGGGCGCAGTCCCAGTCCACTCGGGAATCGAGGCCAGAGCGCGGCGGGGCGGCCTGGAAGCTTCTTTAAAAAAAAAACAAAACTGCAAGACGCTGCACAGCCAGGGTGCATCCTCTTCTCCCGGAGAAATTTAGGGAGAGAAGAGACTGGAAAGGAGAAGCCAAACCATAAAGGAAAGGGAAAAGGAGGGAGAGAGATGAAAAGGAGCGGGGGTGCTTGCTGTTGGGGTTCCACAGGTTCCTAATTGCTCAAAATCCATCTTCTTTCGGCTCCTAAACCCCTGCACTTCCTCTCTGAGCTTGCATTCCGGTTTTCAGCGAGCTTGCTACCTAAGAGGGGACGGGATCTGCCTAACCCTGCCGGCTCACCCCCGCCGGGCCTGCAGCGCCCCGGTGCCTGCCTGCGCCCTGGTCAGCGGCCGCGCGGCGCGTAATGCATGCGGCAGCGGCCTGGAGCCCAAGCAGGCCGGCGCTGCGGCCCCCGCGTCTGCTGACCTCTGCGTGATCCCGGACTCTATGAATTATTGATGAGGTATAAGCTTGATTTCCCCTTTCAGGATGCAAACTCCATTATACTGTTAAAATGGCGATTTAATCGTTGAGAATAGCTTTGGTGTGGGTTCTTTTTCCCCCAACTCATTTGCGCCTCCTTCCTTTTCATTTAACTCTCTTAATTAAATCCTTTTAACAGATTTTAATCACTTTTTGGAGGGAGGGTGAGGAGGAAAGGGGAAGGCCATAAATACCATCAGTAGCACCCTCAACAAACGGGACACTAAAGTCAGACAAACCAAAACAAACCACAAAGCCATCAAAAGCTTCTACCTTTGGGCCGTGGAGCAGAAGGTAGGAGGGAGGGAGATGTGGCTCCCTCCAGAAAGATTGCAGCCACAAGCTGGGGGCACTGGCCTCCAACCAGTGAGCCAGGTCAGGGCCTGCAGGGACCTGGCTGCCCGGGTGTGATTAGGAGATGGCTCCTGCCTTGAGACTGTGGAGCCCCAAGTTATGCTGCACACCCTCGCTGTGACCTGAGGCTTGGGGAAGGCTGCAGGATTCTTGGGGGAGAAAGCCCTGCTCCAATCTGGGCCTCAGGGACACTTAGGGAGAAACATCCATTCTCCCGAAGGGGGCCCCCCCCATGTCCTGTCTCCCCTCCTCCTCCCCAAACAGCCCGTTTCCAAGCGGTGTGTCTGGGTTAATTAACATGGATGTGTAACAGCAGCACCTCAACAATGGATACATCCCTGCTGTGGGCAGATCTCATGAAGGCTCACAATCCAATGACTCCCAGAAACTCCAGAAATGGTGAGGGTGACAAGTGGCCCCTCTTCAAAAACAGGGAGCTGGTCCTTGCTGGTTGTGTCCCACAAAGCCAGCCAGGTTGCTCCCAAAGCTGAGTTGGGGGATCATGCCAAGCAATCTATCTCCTCCTTTGCTTGGAGGTGCTGCTTCCGCTCTGGCATCCAGAACCCAGGAATAAAGGAGCCAGGCAGCTGAGGAGTTTCCTCCTGGACCTCCCAGGTCCTGTCCTCCCGGTCCTCAGCAAAGGGCTCCTTCCAGTCAGTGAAGGGTTAACTGTCCCTTCCACAGTTATGGAAAGAAGCTGATGAAATATGGGCCCTTGGAACTCCAGGCCCACTGGCTTTCCTGTTTACACTGCTTCCTACTTCCTCCCACCCGAGGCCACAGAGAAACAAAACAAAACAAACAACCAAATAAAACAAAACAAAAAGTCAGAATCCAATTGTGTGCTGAGTGGCAGCCAGGCTGGCCTCAGAGCCCGAGAGAAACTGTAGCCTCTGTCTCTGGTTGCTGCCTTCTGGAGTGCCCCCCACTCCGGGGTTAGGGTGCGAACTTAGCCAGAGGATGTTGTGCTAGTTCCGAAGTTGAGGCCTGACCTGAACAGGGGGCGGAAGCAGAAGGGGAGAAGGGAGAGAAGAGCTTTGGAGAGGAGAGTGCAGCCTTTCTGGAGAGAGATGTCTTGGGGTCAGGCAGGAGCCAGGGACAAACCTCACCAAACCTCTCATCCCCTCCCCCAACTTGCTGGCCGGATCAGGGAGGGCAAATGCCCAGAACCCCAAGTGGAAAAGAGGACAGCTCAGGCAGGACTTCTCCGGGATCCCCTCAGAGCTGGAAGTTTGGCCTCTGCGGCAGAAGTGGGTGCCCCTTCCTGGGGCTGCACTTCATCCTTCCAAAAACCTCTGGCCAGATGTGCCCCAAAGATGCCCAGAGCTTCAGGCCCCACACAGCTCCTTATCGGCAGCTGCCTGAGGGCTATACCAGACGGGGAAATCTTCAGGAACCTTAAAAGGCTGAGCAAGAGAGGGGGGCCAGAAGGAGACCAGAGCTCTGTAGGATTAGGGTTCCCCTGGAGCCCTGAGTTGGGCTGTCAGTGTGGGGTACTTCCTGGGGAACCCTGCCATCCCCCTGCCCTGCAGAGGAGTGGAGGCCCAGTCTCTGAAATTTACTCATGTTTAAATGGAGCTGACCAGGGTATCCTTTGTGTCCTTTCCAAAGGGGTCCACGTGCCCATCAGTCCTGGAATACGTGTCCTCACCCCCAGGCTGAGGAGCCCAAGCCTTCTGAGCTCTAACTCTGCTCAAAGCCTTTGGGGGTCTCCTGTGAGATGCACAGAGAAGGGGGAGCTCAAGAAAGCAGAACACTAGCCGCTTCGGTAAACAAGGGCGGGGTGAAGCCCAGCACCCCTGAATGGGAAAACAGGGAATCTGGGGATCCCCTCCTCATTCCCGAACCAGAAGCTCCCCAAGAAGACAAATGTCCAATCCCAAGGACCACCGGCGGGAGCTGGGGAGCTGCATAGAGAGATGGTAGCCTGCAAAGGAGAGGCTGTGTCCCTGGAGGTCACCCAGGGACCCTAAATTTCAGGGGAAAGGGACAAGCCTATGGCTTTTGGAAGAAGGGGGACTTTTCCTTAGAAAATAACAAGTCCCTGAGGGTTGGCTCCTGAAGTCCCCCTGGTTCATGGTGCCACAAAACAAAGAGATCTTTGAGGATCTGGCGGGAGAGGAGAGAAGAGCACCTTCCCATCTTCTCCCCCAGTGCCTGCCTTTTTTCTGTCACTGTTGGGGTCCAAGCTCCTGGACAGGTCTGATCTGTGGAGGGAGCTTTCTAGGGGTCTATTTAAACACGCCCTTCTGCAGGCCAGATCAAAAGACTCGCTGCTCCCCACCTCCTGGCCAGCTACTAGGTTTGGGGTTCTGTGCTGCCTGCTACCAGCTGCCCACGCTGACCCCAGATCCTTCTCTAGCCCCAGCTGAAGGAAGGGGTCACTTGAGACCCACAGGCTGGAGCGGGGCACACAAGCTCTGCACTCCCCTGTTCTTGGGGATCTCTGACCAGGCCAAAGAGCCTGGGACTGGAAAACCAGAAAGGCAGAAGCACCCCAGGGTGAGGCAGCCCCCAATGGCCTTCCCTGGTGCCTGTTCTCAGCTCAGAGCTATGCAGATAAAAGTGGCCGCTAATGCACCCCGCATCCTCCTGACAAATGAATGGCATAAGTTTCTTTTCTAGGGATGGAGAGAACCCAGTCTTTGGGCAGCCAGCTGTGAAATGGCGCCCCTTCCTCCAGCAATACGTACCCCTTTGTGCCCTGAAATTTGCCAGCACACCAAAAGGAAAGGAAGGATAGGAAGGAATGGGAATCTCACACAACCTCTTTGCCCCCTGTCCCCCAAAACCCAACAGTCCTGAGCATAAAATCTAGGTGCCCTCCACCACCGAGGCTTTTTGGAACCGAGAGAGAGAACCCCACTCCAAACACCCAGTTTCTCAGAGCCAGCTGGAGACACCATTCCACAGCCCTGCTGGAAGCCAGATTCCATTCCCCATCCCCAAACCCCTCAAAAGTACCAGCGAAGCCAGGGCAGAAAGCGAAAGCTGGGAGCCACTTACTGTGAGGCTGCTGGGCGACCATCGCCTCCTGGGCTGGGTGGCTGCTCCAGGCTGGGAGAGAGCTCACCTACCTCTGCCCCTTCCCCACCACTGCGAGCAGTTAAAGTGTCACTTAACATTCTGGAGAATGTGAAATATACCGCACAGTGTCAACTCCCCAAAACCATAAAACTAACTTTATGGACCTCACGTGACTTTCCCGAGCCAGTGAGGGGTATCTGTCTGACTTCTCGGCGATTTTTACGATCTAACTTCGAGATAAAACCCCTATCCATTTGACATCTAAATGTCATAGCGACTTTTGGGATAGTTTGCTATCGGCAAAAGGGGACAAAGTCAGGGGGTGAAGGGGAAGCAGGGCCCAGTAGAGCCTCCAAGACCCTCGGCAGCCTCCTCTCCAAGCCCCCCTCCTCCCAGGCCCTGGGAGAAGTTGGGCCCAGCTGGCAGGGATTGACTTGGGTAAGTGTCCAGCTTGACTCTTGTGTTCAGGGGGGACCAGAGCTCTCTCAGGAGGGAATTTAACTCCTACCCAAGAGGGAAAATCTGTCGGCCTCCTGGAGAGAAAGAGCCCTAGAAAACTACAGACAAGGCTGAGTTGAGAACCCTTTGAAATGGATCTGATTTTCCCTTTTCCCCCTCTCTTTTTTTTTTTTCTTTTTTCCTTTTTTTTTCCCTTTTTTGCCTTAGTGGGGTCACATAGCTGAAGTGGGGTTTGAAGGAGGGGACACAGTGGCCTGTAGGCCTCTAAGGCTCCCAGAAGGCCAGGAGCCTCCTGTATGGGACTTAGGCCCAAATTCCTTTCCCTGGAGAGTTTTCCAGAGGGTTTCTCAGTGGTCAGGTGGTGGAGGCCAAGATGGGGCCCAGCCCAGCCACCCAGGAGCTTCTGGAACCTCTCAGTTCCAGGCCTGAAGCCCTGTCCCCTGACCCAAGTACCACTGACCAACCAAGCCAGGACTTTGGAGACCCAGAAGGGCTATGCTCACATCCCACCATCCTGGCCTGCACCCTAGATTTCTGGAGACCGCTCCAGGGTGTGCCCAGCGATGGGAGGCAGAGCCCCCACAGAAAAGACAAGTGGGAGGGCGAGGGAAGGGCGGAAACATTTATTAGACTTTAAGGAAAGCTACAGACAAATACCAAAAGCGAATCACCGAGACAGGCCTGGCAAAGACAGATTTAACACACGGTACTGCATCCACTGGCTGCTCACTATAAACGGTCTCTCGGAAGCGGAAAGGCTGAGGGAGGAAGAGCTGGGTCTGGCCTAGGCTGGCCCCATATTTACAAGCTTCGGGCCTGGGCCTCCCGGCTAGACCCGTGGGTCCACAGAGAAATACACACAAGACAGTCTACACGGAGGAGGCTTATTTCTTCTGTTTCTGTCCATTCCCAGACCAGGCCCTGAGAGGCCTCTCAGGTAGCAGGGGCTGAAATCTCACTATTTCTCTCCTCTGGTCCACTTCACCCCTGTGAGTCCTCCTTGGTCCTTCCCCACCCAGGACCAAGCCCCTGCGAGCCTCAGGCCTGGGCAGTGAGGAGGAGGAGGAGGAGGAGGAAGAGGAGTGGGTGGAAAGACCACAGTGGTGGACTCCATGTCAGAGGCCAGCTCGGCTGGGCCCGCCGGGCACTGCCACGCCACTGCTGCCCTAGAGTCTGCAGCTGAAACTCCAAATACAGCTATCACCCTTTTATAAATAAGTTAGGACACAGATGGGGAGGGGAACGTTCACAGTAAACATGCGGATTTCTTTTTTTCTTCCTGGGGAAAGAGTGCCACGACAGACACCCACATTAGAAACACTGGTGGCTCGCGGTGAGCAGAGAGGGGGCGGGCGCAGGGAGTCTGGAGGGAAAATAATAAGCATTATTAATATTATTATCATTAGTATTATTATTAACAATGGTAACAACCAGTCCAAGAGAGAGGGAGCCACAGGAGGACCTAAGACCAAAGGAAAACGCAGAACACAAGGCCGGCGAGCGGGCTCCTGGGAGCCGGTCCCGGTCCCCAGCGGGCGGGCGGGTGGCGGCGGCGGCAGCGCAGGGAGGGTGGAGGGGCCAGGGCAGGGGTGGCGCGGCTCTGGCCGCCCAGGGCTCCTGTGGGCTGGCGGCGGGCTCAGGGCTCAGGGCTCAGGGCTGGAAGGCGCTGCCGGCTGTGGCCAGGCTCATACTTTTCAGTTTGTTGTCCTTCTTCCACTTCATGCGCCGGTTCTGGAACCAGATCTTGATCTGGCGCTCGGACAGGCAGAGCGCGTGGGCGATCTCGATGCGCCGCCGCCGGGTCAGGTAGCGGTTGAAGTGGAACTCCTTCTCCAGCTCCAGGGTCTGGTAGCGCGTGTACGCGGTCCGGGCCCTCTTGCCATCCGGCCCGGTCATATCTGGAGCAGACAGAACGGAGCGGGGCGAGGTGGAGGAGGCCGCGTTAGTGATTCCTAGTGCGGTTCCAGGAGGGGCCCCGGGCGGGAGGGGGCGGGGAGCAGGACCCGGGCGTCCCCAGCACCTCGCTCCCCGAGGCTCCCCACTCCAGATGCCCGCGCCCAAGCCCCATTTCTGCACCCCCTCGTCCTACAGCCCCCACTTTTGCTGGCAGCGAGGGCGCTGGCTTTGGCTTTGTCTCTTGAGCCAGTGCCTCACCCTTCGGGGGCACAGGCGGCCTGCCCGCCCTGGGAGGGAGCAGAGCAACCCCACTTTCCACAGCTGGAGAGCTCCTCGGACTGTCTGCCTTCCTGGACCAGCAGCAGTCTCCAGATTTTGTGGGGGGGACCCTGCCCTACCTCACATACACCCCATCCTTCATTCTAAAGCTGATTCCTGGCTGGGCGGCTAAACCCTAAGCCGAGCCTGGGAATTAAAAATACACCCTCTCCCCAAGACCCTGCTTGGCTCTGTCCATGGAGCCTGGGGGACCCTCTCAGGACTTCTCCCCCTTGGAAAAATACGTTTGTATTTGACGAAAGCCAAGCTCTCCTGGCCACCCTCCCCGCCACCCCAGACTCAGAGAAGGGAAGCCAAGGAGACAAAAAAGAGGCTGAGAATTACCATGGCTGATGTGAAGCTTCCGCATCCACGGGAATATCTGGGGAGCCTGCCCCTCGGGCGCGGCCGTGGAGGTGGCCATGGGCTCCGGCTGCGCCCGCGCCAAGCTGGGGCTGCCGAGCTGGCTGGAGGCTTCCTCGGGCTCCGAGGACGCGCTGGCCTCGTCTATCTCGGTGAAATTGGCGCTGGAGCTGGCCGGGGCCGCCTGGTCGGAGGGGGACGAAGCGGAGGGCTTGGCGCCGTGGCTGTCGCCGTTGGTGCAGGGCAGGGACTCGGGCGAGGACAGGGAGCAGCTCGACGCCGCCTGCCTGAAGCGGGGCTCCTGGGCGGACGCGGGGAAGGCACGCGAGCTCTCCCCCACCGCCCCAAAGTGGCCGGAGGAGGCCGAGGAGGAGCGGTTGACGCTGAGGTCCATCCCATTGTAATTGTAGCCGTAGGAGCCGGTGTGCATGGCCGCGGGATCCCTGTAAGAGCCGCTCAGAGAGCTACCACTGCCATAATTTAGCAACTGATAGTCCGGGCCATTTGGATAACGCCCCGAGAAGGAGTTTACAAAGTACGAGCTCATTTGGGTGATTTTGGAGGGCTTGATTTGTGGATCGTGGTCGTTATAACCCTGTGCTTCACGATTTATGATGTATTAATGAATTATAGCGATGCACTGTACTTCGTTTTGCTATGTATGCGGCCAAATATGGGGGGGGCAGGTTGGAAGGGGGTGGGGGGGCGTTCGGGAATCACGTGCTTTTGTTGACCAGTCGTAAATTCTCGCTGATGACCTCAAGAGGTAATTCATGCTCTATGGTTACAAATAATGACGATCCGAGAATCGTTAGGGCCGATTCAATGCGAGCCTCGGAGAGAGGGGGGAAAAGGAGCAGGGGGAGAAATCGGGAGAAGCTTGGCGTTGGCCTCTGAGCAGAGCGCGCCACCTCCCGGCGATCGGCGGGAGCGCGGGCCGCAGGCTGCCATGGCGGCGGTGGTGTTGGCTCTCAGCTCTGTGCCTCCGCCAGCCCAGGGAGAAACCTGGCCGTGACTCCCCCGCAGAGCTGAGCCTTTTGTCGCTAGACGAATCTGAGCCTTTTATCCACTTTCTCGGGGCACAGTTAGTGTATCTGTGCCTTGTCATTGCCAGGATTTTAACTCTGGGTAAGACCATCAAAGATGGACTTGCTGGTCCCTTCTTAGGGCTTTTGCAAGTCGCCCGAGTTGAGGGCAGAGATGAGGGAAAGACTTGGAAATTGCATGGGGGGGGCGGTAAATAATTATTACAATCCCCTCTCTGTCCCAGCTCAACCCCGGGACGGCAGCTTGCTTCCCGGTGGGGCTGCGGTAGCTGGTCCACAGCCCCGAGGCTGAGCCAGCCCCAAGACCCTGCAGCAAAAACCTTCAACCCACCCAGGCCCCCTGGAAGCTCAGAATCCTCCTCCTGATCTGGTCGTCCCTAGCCCAGGCCTGGAAATGGAGAAGCAGGACAGGGATGCTAGATGAAGAACCAGGCCTGGCCTAAGTGGCCTAGTTGCCAAAAGATAACAACAGCCACCGCCTTGGAGAGCAGTGGCCTGGGTTTGGCAGTAACGCACGTCTGAGAGTTTGGGGTTGAAACGAGCTTTCTTGCCAGATGCAGGCTTTTGCATTCGGAGGCCCCAAGCCAGGCTCCTGCAACGGGCAGCAGGGCAGTCGGAAAATGTGGCCACCAGCCTGCCACCTTCCCTGGGAAGGGGTTCCGAGGACCGATGGCACCTTGCTGAGCGCGCTGGGCGGCCAGAGAGCTCTGCAGCTGGGCCCCTTCTGCGAGGCAGCTATTTTCTTTAAAAATAGAAAAGGCAGAGCAGGAGGAGGAAGAAAAAAGAAAAACAGTGTCTACAGTTTGCCGGCTGGGTGAGGGCGGGGCCCAGAGAGAATGGGCCATTTTGGGTGGAGAGGCTGAGACCAAACACCACTTCATCCCGTTCCTGCCCTCAGGGGTTTCAAGGAGCAGGGGCCCAGTCAATGCGCTCTGGTTTGTGCCTCCCGAGGCTGCAGATTCTCCTGCTTGTCACCCAGCCCCAATTTAAGGAGGGAAGGAGTACCCCAAGCCTTGGCTGAAAGTGGCCCCATTTTTGTCTTTGGAGCAGACCAAAGGCCTGTGGAAACTGGGCCATGTCTATGGACCATCCAAAGGCGGGGTGCCTCAGCCACCTGCAAACAGAAAAGCACTGCTAAGGCGCCCAAGCCCCAGCTCAGTCTCCGCAGGAGCTTTGGGCTCAGGGGACCTAGTGGCACCCCCTCTGTGGCGGCGGCGGTGGCGGTGGAAACGAAGACAGGCTACAAAATAAGAGGGAAAAGCTCTCCCTTCGGTCTGTCTCTAAGTCTGCGCTGGGAGAGGCAGACTGAGGCCTCAGCATCTGCAGGACAGAGCACCGGGGCCCAGGCGCCGTGATCGCCCCAGCCTTTATTTCAGCGGCAATTTCCGAGGCGGCCGGCGGCTGGGCTGACGGAGGCCCTGAGGCGGACCAGAGCCCGAGAAGCCAAGCTAGGGCTCCAGCAGAATGGGGAGGCCTGGGGGTGGGCGAGGAGGGAAGGGATGGTAGAGGAGGCTTGGAGATGACGGAGCATGGAGTTTTCAGGTCTTTATTATTATTATTATCATCATCATAATTATTAATAATAATATTAATATTATTACCGAAGTATTTCACGTCCAGAGCTAAGACAAGACTACAAACACGACACATAGAAAATTAATAAAATAGAACTTTGTTTTCTTCCGGGCTCCTCTTCTTACTTCTAGGTAGTATGTGCTGCTTCCTTCCAGTGGCTTTGGGGAGGGGGCGGGAGACACGACGAGGCTGGGGTCAGGGAGTCTTGGAGGCCCCTGCTGCGGGGGGGCAGCGAATCTACCATTGAACCGTGCACACGGTCGAGAGGGGGTGACATGGACGAAATGAGACGCGACTCCTACAAGAGCGTTTCACTCTGCTTCCAGCAAACATCAAGTGAGTCCGATCCTCAGTTCTCACCCGGGGCCGGACCAGGCCCAGGCGGTTTCCTCGGGAGGGAGGAGGCGCTGGGGTGCGGGTGGGCTCGGCGACGCGGCCTGAGCCCAGGCTGCGGCTGCGGCGAGGCTCTGCGGGCGGGGTCCGGGAGGGCCGCGGGGTCCGCCCCCAGCCTGTCGCCGGCCAGAGCCGGTCCCTGGCTCCCCCGCCGCCCGCAGAGCCTTGCCGGCCTCTCCGACGCCCTGGGGTCCGCACTGGCCGCTCCCTTCGCGTCCCCCCTCCCTGGCCAGCACCTTCACTCGGCCGGTTTTTCTTCCTCCTCCTCGGCGCTGAGCTGCGACGCGCTGAGCAGTTTGCTCTCCTTTTTCCACTTCATGCGCCGGTTCTGGAACCAGATCTTGATCTGGCGCTCGGTGAGGCACAGGGCGTGCGCGATCTCGATGCGCCGCCGCCGGGTCAGGTAGCGGTTGTAGTGAAATTCCTTCTCCAGCTCCAGGGTCTGGTAGCGCGTGTAGGTCTGGCGGCCTCGCCGGCCACTGGGCCCGAAGGACGAACCTGTTACGCAGAGCAGAGCGGAGGCGCTGAGGCCTGGGGTCAGCGGGCCCAGGGCGCCCTCCCCCCTGGACCCCTAAACGTGCGCTGTCCCGGGGTGCCCTCAGGAGCCCCCCTCCCTGGCTCCTTCCCACCCCTCCAGCGCCCCCTCCGGGTTTCCTCCGGATTCCTGGCCCTGCGAGTGCCGGGTGGACTTTGGGTGGGGGTGGGAGCAGCGCTTGCACTCCCACCTGCGCCGGGGGGGAGGGGCTGGCCAGGTGTGTCTAGCGAGCCGGGTCCTTCTCCCCCTTCCCCGCCATTCTTCCAGCTCTGCCCCACCCCCACTCCACTCCATGATAGATTCTGACCCTTAATCCGTAATGACGCGGATCGATCTCCAGTCCGCATTAACAGCTCCTCACTTTCGTGTCCCGCTAATGGACATCAATTGGGATATAAGGCGGACAAATAATCCGACCTGAGACCCAGGCGCCTGTTTCCCCCGCTCTCCCGCCGCGCCGGTCCCCGCTTCTTCGCCCTCTTTGCCTCCCTCCTTTCTCTGCCTCCCACCCTTCCCCGGTGCCTGTCTCCCAGCCCCCACCCCGGGGGAGACGCGGGCCGGGACCGCTTGCTCTCCCTCGCCGGCGTCACGCCGCCTCCACCCCTTCATGACGCACTCGGCTTTTAATGGAGCGGTCCTGGGTGGGGGACCCGTTGGGGCCAGGGGGAGGGGGACGGGGGCGGCCACTGCGCCCCTGCCCCCTTCCTGGCAGGAATCCTGGCTCGGGCCTGGCGCTCGCTCCGCTTTGGGGCGCCCTCTCACTCGCTCCCCTGGCCCCCGGGCGGCGCAGCTGGGACTTTGCAAACTTTGCAACTCCCGCGACCCCGAGGACAGGGCCAGGAGACCCCCGCGGGGCACCCCGTGTTCCTCAATCTCCAAACCCACCCAGATGTCCACCCAGCACCCTGTGGGGGGAGGAGGAGGGGGCGCTGGCCGGTTCCCTCCCTGGGTGGCTGGGGGGCCCGCAAGGGCGCGCAGAGTGGCACTCACTGTTGCACGAATTCATCCGCTGCATCCACGGGTACACCGGCGTGGAGCACTTCTGCTCCTCCGAGTCGCCGAACACGCTCTTGTCCTGCGCGCAGTCCGGCTTCCGCGGCTCGGGGTGGAAGGGGGGCGGCTCGTCCGCGCCCGAGAGCGCGCAGGCCGACTCCTTCTCGCGGTAGAAAGCCGGCGCCGGGCCGTACTCGCAGGGCGCAGCCCGGCCGTAGCCCCCGCCGGCAGGGGGGTAGTAGGAGGAAGGGGCGAAGCCCTTGTCCTGGCCGGGCCCGGGCCCGTAGGGCGCCGAGTAGTGCCTGAGCGGGTCCGCATAGCCGGACGAGTAGAGCGGCAGCTGGCCCAGGAAGGACTCCTGCCCGCTGGCCAGAGTGACGGGGAAGGTGGGGTTCACGAAATAGGAACTCATTGGGAGGGGAGGCGCGCGCGGCCGCTGCTGCTCCGCCGGGTTTATGATTTGTTGTGTTTTATACTCCGAGCGCCGCGCCTATTAGTAGTATATCCGAGATTGGGTTTTAGCTGAGGGGGGATGGCGAGGTGCCAGTGAAGGCCAGAAGGAAATACAACCATCTGATCCAACACTGACCAATGGCAGAGGCAGGAATTGTCAAATAGCACCCAGGAGGAGCGCAGCCCGCACGAGGGACCCGCGCACAAACCTATCAACCTTTTTTCCCCCTCCTTCTTCTCCTCTCCCTCTCTCTCTCTCTCCCCCAACAACACAACGCGTCCTGTTCCACCTACGTAGGATCTGCGAAACAGGCGTCTGTCTGTGCCTCAGAGGGAGGAGGCAGCGCTGGGGCTGAGACCACCCCATTCCCCAGCGATTAAATAAATATATCCCTCCCCCACACCCCCCACGCAGAATAGGAAAAAGTTAATTGTGTTTTGAGAAAAGTTAACCCCTGCATTGCTTCAAGCGGGTCCCTCAAGGGAAACGCCGGTTAAATGTCCCCGAATCTCAGATTGCTCGAGAGAAACGCAGGAGGCCAGGTTTCTGGTATTTTCTGAGGATACAAGAGAATCAGAGTTCTCTGCTAATTTGCAGTGGCTTGGAACAGAGGCGCAGAAGCAAAACATCTTTTCTCTCCCAGGCTTTGGAAATCCTCCCCACTCTCCTGTTTGTCAGATCTGCTTTCTCTCCTCCAAGCCTGGGTCTGGTATTATCTCTGCTTCTCCACAGTTTTTAGGTCTGAGGAGGCTCAGGGCTTGGCCAGATCTCTTGGCCTGCAAGACCAGAGGAGGAGAGGCTGGCCCGGTGGTCTGAGCCCCAGCTCCCCTGGCTCCTCAGCCGGGCTGGTAGGTTCTGGAAGGTTTCTGCGGCTGCTGCCCAAGACATCTCGCCTGACTGCAGCTCCAGCCCACGCTGCTCCGCTCAGTCCTGGCAGGGAAAGTGCCCCAGGGAAAGAAACCGGCACTCCCTTTACTGGGCATAGAGTGCAGAGGGGTACAGAGGAGTCCAGAGGACCCTTCAAACCCAGGTGGCTTTGTTTATCTGATCCTCATCCTGCCTGCAACCTTCCACTCCCCACCTGTCACCCCAATGACAGAAGAATCTTCAGGGCTGTAGATTTTTTAGAAATCAAGGCTATTGCAGGAAGTCTGGTCACAGAGATCTTCAAATCCTGCTCCTCCCAGAGACAGAGAGAGCCCTGGGAGGGAAGGAGCCCTACCTCTCTTCCAGGTCTCTCTGAGAGCTGCTGGGCTGTTCTTTTTTGAGTTCCTTCCAATGCTTGGTTTGGGTTTAGTTTTGTAAGAAAGAGGGGTGACTGAATCCTCCTGGGGATACAGCAACCACCTTGCAATATCCTCACTCCAGACACAAGGATTTCATCTGTGCCTCAACAGCTCTGGTTTCCTCCCAGGCTTCACATTTGAATCATCAGCTTTCGATTTGCTGCTGAGCAAGCTTGTGTGTGAGGCTGTACATCTGTGCTGTTCTCTCTCTCTCTCTCCTCTCTCTCTCTCTCTCTCTCTCTCCCTCCCTCCCTCTCTCTCTGTCTCTCCCCCCCCCAAGAGGAAAATGAGTGAGCGTGGAGCCCAGGCTGGGAGCCAGGGCTACAGTGTGTGTCCAATATTTCAAGAGGCCCACGCAGGCCAGGCAGTGAAGGGTGACACTTCTCCACCTGGGGACAGGAAGGGGCCAGGGTGGGAAACAAAGTCTGAGGTCAGGCGAGGCTGATCCACCCTGCCTTGTCCTGGACTCCGTTAAGGGGCCAGCTGTGCCTGCTGGCGGAGGCCCCGACACTAGGGAAGGTGCACAGCCCAGAGGGCCGAGGGTGGGGACTGACTTGGTTGCCAAGTGGCTTCTCAGAGGCTTTCACCTCCAGCCACCAGGTAGGGCAACTCTTAGACTGCACTTCCTGCAAAGAGGCTACCACTACCCCGATCCTAGGGGAGTCTGAAAGATTTAAGAAAACTCAAAGCACCAGCCTGATAGAGGGGGAGCACAAAGGCTCCATCCTCTGTTGTTGGGCCCACACCTGCTGTGGGAGCAGGGAAGGGGAGGCTGCCTGACTCTCTCTCTCTGCCCTGCCCTTGAAGCTGAGCCCTGGGCCTCAGCCTTCCTCCCTGGTCACAGTGTCCCTGTCCCTGGTTCAGATGGTGTGATCTTCCCTGTGGGGTGTGGGGATCTAAGCGGTTGTGAGGGAGCCCCTGATAGAAGCAGGAAATATTGGCCTTATCTGTAATAGAGTCACAGCCCTTAAATTAACCTCACCTCTGCAGGTTGCCTGTTGGGAGACGGAGCCACTGCAGGCAGGGCCCAGGCGCCTGGAGTCCGGCATGAAAGGAACTAGCGCCTCATTGCTCTTATCTAAGCCCAGAGGTATTTATGAGCGTTTATTCCTCTGATCCGTTTGTTTGGGAAAAAGAGCAGGCCGGCAGGCCCTGGCCAGAGACTGCCTGGTTTTTGGAGCCAGATCTCCAGGAGAATCTGCTGTGGTTCCATCCAGCATGGCAGTCTGTCTGTCTGTCTCCATGGGGGAATATGTAAATACATACACTGCGGGCCTAGCAACCTGCTGGCCCGGCTGGAGCGTCTCTATTCAGGCCTCAGCGGGGAAGTATGCAGGTCAAGAGAGGTGGGTGTAAAGGAGCGTGGGTCCACAAGCCAGGGATCCCAGGGACCCCCCAAGGGCCTGATTGTCATCTTCTGTGCTAAGGACAGCGCTAAGCACTCATTCCAGTCCCCAGGGCCCAGTTTTTTCCTCAATTGCGTTTAGCTCAGGAGACTGGGGCTGAGACACCAGTCAGGCTTCCCACTCCCTCTAAGCCATGGAGCCGCCCTCCCTCAGCTCTTGGGATTGAGGGGTACCTTTCCCCCACCCCAAAGTGGCTTGGGTGGAGCAGAGGAAACCGCCTCAATCCAGTTCTGCCCCTTGGACTCTGACTGGGCTTGGGGACATAACCTTTCCCAGGGGTGCAGCACGGTGCCCCTCCTAAGCTAACAATGGCTCTTCACATTGGCTGCACTGCCCTAAAATCCGCCGGTGGAAAGGAGGTAGAAAGCCTTCATTTCCATTATGCAAATGAGAGACATCCCCTCTGACCTTCTAGAGGAAGTGGTGGCTCTCAGCAGCTATCCTTGTGCCCTCTGCCAGGTCCACGGACACCCTGAGAGCCCTGAAGTGCTTCGACCCTCTCTACCAGTCTGAATTCCTCTCCCTACCTGTCCTTCCATTGCTCAAAAGGGAAAAGAAAATCTCCTAGGGCCCAAGGCCTTCCCCGGGCCGGCTCCCTGGGGACCTCCCGCAGAGCTGGCCAGGCCATCTAGCCTCCAGAAACTCACTGGGGCTGCAGAAAACCTCAGAGAGCCGCCCAGAAGCCTGGACTCCAGAGGCAAGGGAGGTGGCGCTGGGGAGGGGGACGCAGCAAGCGAGGGTCGTTGCCCCCAGCACTGCCACCGCTGGCCCCAGACTCCTGCAGCCAGATCCCAGTAGCACCTCTGCTGACCTGGCACCACAGGCAATTTCCTGCAGGCCCCGCCGCCGCACCTTGAAAGGAGCTCCCTCCTGCGGTTTGAAAGCCCAAGCTAATCAGTAACCCGCGAGACAGGGGCCAATGCGACAACCGCGGCTCTGGGGCGCGCGCGCCGCCGCTTCACCACCCCCTCTGGGGAAAATGTCGCGCGAAGCGGGTGTGTGGAGTCTGGCGGGAACGGAAGTCACAATGGCTTGCCACCTTCGTGGTTTATCCCCACACCCACTCCTAGTTTCCCTCCATTGCGTACTCAGCGTGGATTTCTCTCGAAACGATGGGGGGGGTGGAGGTGGGGGCGGGGAGGAGATCCGCACCCATTGCAGACACCACCAGTTTCCAGAAAAAACTCGGCTCAATGCCTCCACCTCTGACCCACCAGCCAGGGAACTGGCGAGACCAGACTCAACTGCAAAAACACAGACTCGGTTTGTCTTTTGACAGCCGGGTGGAACCGCGCGGCCCCTCCCTTGGCTGCGGAGAAAACCAAATAAACCTGCAAAGCAGCCTGCGCGCCCGCGGCCGGGCCTCGCCCCAGCCCTGGGTGTGCGCTGGGGGCGGGGTCGTGGCTGTGAACCCCCAATTCCGTGGGTAATCACTGTCGGCGGGTTACGGTATTAGTGCTAGGAGAAATCGCTTCCCCTGCCAGGCACCAGGTTCGGAGGGGAGGTAGGAAAAGAGTTGGGGACCCCGAGGGGAGAGATTTGTTTTGCTCCGCAATCCCCCCCCGAGAACCCACATGGAATGGAGGGCGTCGGAATGGCCCCGAGACACCCCCCACCCGACCCCTTCTACCCGCGTGGCCGGCCCGAGCTGCAGGCACCGGTACGGCTGGGCAGTGTCGCCAGGCTCGCGGCACCCAAATCGCGCGTTTGTCTCGGAACGGTCGGTAGATGGCAGCAAACCGCATAATTTGGGTCAGAGCAAAGTGTCTAAGGGGCCATTTATAACCCGGCAAGACTCAGGGAGAAAAAAGACCTTCAGTCTGAGTGGGGTTGGGAAATTTCTCTCGCAGAGAATAGACCCCCAGTGTAATGGGTGCTGGCGAATAACTTCACTTGCTACGGAACCGAAAGAATTCTGGGGGGCCCGGGCCAGGCCTGTTTCTAGGGAATCCATCTACCTGGGCCCCCAGGACCCCCCCTCCTGTGCCACAAGTGGCCGCCCTGTCTCTCTCCTCCCAACTCAGAGCTGAGATGGCCAACACAACACGCACATGTACACACATACACACGCGCGCACGCACGCACACACACACATGCCCAGAGCCCGCATCACAGGCCATCAGAGGCCTGAGGCTGACCGCCCTGTGTCTGTTCTGAAGAAAGAAAAATCAACGATCAACCTATTCGTGCAAACCCAGCTGAAATCTAATTTGAAACAGCTCTGGTTCTCCACGCCTTGCACGGCCTTCCCCAAAGCCCTCCCGCCCCACACCTCCGTCCTTGCCTGTGACTGCAGCGGCTTCTCCATCCCAGCAGCCGCTTCAGGAGCCTGGCCCCCCCCCCCAGTCTCAGCCATTCTCCTGTCACCCCAAGGCCCATCTGGGGGTGCAATGGGCACCTGAGGGACCAACACTAAGCTGCGAGCTCAGCGCCCAGCGGTCCCGACACCGTCCGATCCCCAATTGTGCTTCCTCTAGGGTTTTCTTACCACATTCTCTCCTGTTTCCTCGTACAAGCCTAAACATCCATTTGCTAAGCAACCCGTCAGGATCGCCACATCATTGGGACGCAGGAAAGTTTGAATTTTCCACCTCAAACACACACGGCCCTTTTCTCCTCCACGGAAACCCACGCGCCCCGGACCGATTCCACACGAGTCACAGAATCAATGTTGCACCACCGAAATCAACACGCTGGGACCTACCGCGTTCAAACCACTCAACTCCCGCAGAGCAAGCTCATAGCCAGGCTCCTTCCCGAGGAAGTGGCCAGGGACCTGGGCGCGATCCTCTGGTGGCCGGGCTTCCTGGGGAGTCTCCCGGGAGGCCCCCGGGCGCCTCCAGCCACAGCCCTTTCATTCCGAAATGTCTCCAGAGGGAAAATGTGAGCATTTCTCTGTGAATTGTTTTTTCTCTGTCTCTCTAGCCGCCTCACCGGCCTCTTCGGAGATTCCAGGCCCTACAGAGCCCAGGAGGTCCCCGAGCACCCCAGCCCTCATGCCAAGGCTGCCAGAAAGCCACCGATACCCACACTGGGCAAGAGAACCGCGCAGGGGGATGATCGGAGGAGGCCAGGGCCAGGGAGGGGGGAGGGGGGAGGGGGCACGAACCCACCGAGCCGGATCAAGGGGCTTCTTCCCACCACCGGGGCTGCAGAAGCCCAGATGTCCCTGGCTACTCTTTCGAGGCCAGGCCCAGCCCGGTTCTCCTCCCAGTGCCTTACTAAAGGCTCTCACAGATGGCCTCCGTGGCCCTTTTCTGTCCTCCTCCATCTTCCTCGCCTGGACTCCCCCTCCAGGAAGCAGTTACCCCTCTCTCCAGCCCCGAATTTCTTGGAAAGTCTCTCCCAGCAGCACTCAAAGGTGGGGTTCAGCCCCAAACTGGGAGTGGGGGGGGGAGGGAGAAAAATCCCAAGCCCCACCCCCTACAAAAGCAATGCAAAGGAATCAGAAGAGAATTGTAGAATCTCCCTTACCTTTGCAGACCTTGGGGGTTTTCTTCCTCCGGATCGAAAAGGGTGGGGAGAGAGGGCGGGAGGGGGAAAAGCGTTCGGTTTCTTCTTTGGCTTCCCGATAATATTGTCCCAACCTGAGAGCCGTCACTTCCCTTCTCAGACTTGAGGAGAGAGGGTGTTTCGCTTTTCTGACATTTGCATAGAAAATAGAGTAAGTTCTGGCTTTGAAAAATGATCTCAGGCTGCGATCCTGGGCAGATTGTCCATTTACCTTTCATGATGACTAAAATCCCAGATCAGCGGGCAAATTAACTTAAGAAGCAAAATTATTTTTGGTTTGCTCTTTTGTATAATTCCCACCCTCCTTCCCTCTCCCTCTGCCTCTCTCTCTTCTCTCCTCTCCCCCCTCTCTCCCTCTCTTTTGCTCTATCGAGCTGATATTGAAGTATAAAAATATCAAGAGGTTGGAGCCCTGAAGGACGGCAGTGCTCCGACCTAGGTGTGGTGTCCAAAAGAATGCTGCATTATAACCACCAGGGAAATGATAAAAGTTCATGTTCACGATCCCCCGGCCACATGACCGGCGCCGGCCAATCGCTGGATCCAACCACTCATAAACTTCTATCACAAAGTTGTAAATTTTCATAAAACAACAAGGAATTTATTGCATTTCTTCCTGGCTGCTCCAGCAGCTACCCTTTTCTCGGCGCCATCTTTTCTCCTTCTCTCTTTTTTGGGGGGAAACCCCAGTGTGAGAAGGGGTGAGATTTGGGGTACAGAGATTCAGGGTGGTGAAGCCACCAGGATCCAGCTAGGAAAGGGGGTTCCTTTAGAAATCTCCCTGTCTTCCTCAGAAGCTCTGTGCCTCTTTTCTAATAAAAATCACCCCTAAATCTTCTGCCTGGGACAAATTTGGAGGTGAGATGGAGCAGCGGTTGGTTTCTTGCATCCTCCTCTGAGCAAAGTGAAAGCTACTGTGTCCCCTCTCCCCTCTGATCTGGTTGCCTCCTTCTTAGCCCTAAAAATAGGGACCCCCACCTGTGCGGTTTACAGCATTGCGGGTGTGGGGGCCTAGATTAGGTCCCCAGGGCCTAGTTTTTTTCCCCCAGGAAGGGAGGCGTCCTGGATAAGGGCCAAATCGGGCAATCTAACAGCCGGATCCTCTTCCTGTACCCCAGAAACAGGGGGGGGGGAGGGTACAACCACTTACGGGGCCTCTCCCGCCTAAAGGCTGGCCGGCCGAGTTTCCTGGGCAGCTCCGCGTGCTCGCCAAAGGGGGTTCCGTGGTCATTACTGGGGAAACTCGAGGTTCAGGGCCCTTTCAATTACGCACTCAAATGAGCCAACCTTCCTGAAGCCAGCCCTCCTCGCGCTCTTTTCGGGGTACCTGTTTTTACATTTAACAAGTCGGGTTTATTCACTGACTGCTGAGAATCAGCAGCGTAGGTCTGGTGGCACAGACACCTGTCTATCGGGGTTTTGTGACTCGATCAAAGGTTACGGGGTGCACAGTATTAATTCACTCAGCTTCTCCCAGTTTCTGTAAGCGGTGCCCGGATTTTCGGTTAAGCCGCCTGCGACCAAATGCAAAGAAAAACGAAATAACCTCCCCCGGAATGTTTTTCTTTTTCTCTCTCTCTCCCTCTGCTCCCCTGAGAAGGTTCCAGGTTGTTGGCAACCCCGAGAGTGGGCACAAAAGCTTGCAGGAAGTCCTAGCGGCGGCGGGCGGCTTGGACAGGCGCACAGTGCAGGAAGGGACTGAGAGACGGAGGGACCGAGGGACCGAGGGACAGCGCACCAGCCCGCCGGCAATCTCGGTAATCTCACACCACAGCCCTCGCGCCGGGTGCTGATTTTAGTCCCTATTTTTAAGTTCTCAGTGCATCGCCTGGGTCAGTTTAGCATGAGAGAAATTAAAACACATAAAAGTAACATCACTGAAAATAAAATAAAGGAACAGATCTTGCCACCAAAAAATAAAAATAAGGAGCAGAAAGCTGGGGTGCCCCAGAGCTGAAGGCCGCTCCCAGGCCTCCACTTGCCACCCGGCCTCTGCCCAGAAGTCGCCGAAGGGCCTGGAGTGGATTTGGGGGTTCGCTTTCCTTCTCACCAGCTCTTCCTTGTCACGGAGCCTCGCCTCGCGGGTTTCGCCTCCGTGTTGGTGGCGGGCAGTGACCAGCTCCTGCAGCAGCCTGTTTCCAAGGCCTGCACGGAAGTGTGTCTGGAGCTATGAGGGTTTTTTATTCTGTTTTTTGTTCTGTTTTGTGGGTGTATGGCTGAGCACACAGCCTTAAGGAAGCTTTTCTTCTGGGGCAGAAGTGAAGCCCTGCTCACAAAGCAACCTGTGGGTGCGTGCTTGGGTCTGTGTCCGTGAGTGACTGTGGGTGTGAATGCGAAGGAGCCAGCCAGGTTGCGTGAATGCCTGTGTGTGTCTTTGTGATCACAGGAAGGTGAGTGTTTGTGTATGCCTGTGTCCCTGTGCATTTATCTAGGTGATCCTGTGTACTAGGTGAGGCCTGTGGGTAGGCAGTATTAGGGGAATCCGTGTGAGTGTGTGCCATCAGAGGTCACTGCTTGGCGGTCCCCAGAGCAGGACGGCATTGGGAAAAAGAGGAGACCCAACCCAGAGACACAAGGACAGCAGCAGTGGGATCTGGGACGCTCCCCCATCACTGACCCTGACCCTCTCCCTCCTGGGCAAAAGGAGACACAGAAGATAGAGATCCTCCTGTTTAATCATGTTTTATTTTTGCATCATTCCGATACACGCAGAATGTAAAAAGGAAGGGTGGCAGGCACTGGGCGCAAGGGGCAGCGGTCAGTCGCATGGACACAGGAGCTAGTGGGCCGGTCAGTCGGCGGAGCTGCAGGGCTCCAGGCCCTGAGGCTCTGCTACTGGGAAGGCAAGCGGCTCTGGAGGGCGGGTGGGAGCCAGCAGTTAGTCCAGACCCAGCGTCCACAGAGCAGGCATCAAAGGAGGCTTACAAAACAGCGAGACTGTACAAAGACCTTACAAGAGCAACGTAGAAAAGCGGGGGAGTCAGAAAGCCACGACACAGGGAGATGTGCTCTCCCCACATTGTACAAAAACAGACCCACAGACTCTCCTTTAGGTAGTATTTTTTTTACAGTGTCTAGAAACCAGAAATTCACCTTTCTCCTTGATTTGTTTAAAATTGCTTTATGTTTAAATAGTTTTTATTTTATTTTTCCTATTTGACAGAGTTTCCAAGTTCAGTTCCCAGAACTGGGCGGCTCTCTCTCTCTCTCTCTCTCTCTCTCTCTCTCTCTCTCTCTCTGTCTCTCTCTCTGTCTCTCTCTCTCTCTCTGTCTGTCTCTCCCTCTCTCTCCTCCTCTCTGTGTCTCTCTCTCTTCCTCTGCCTCTTACTCCTCCTCTTCCTCGTCTGCCTCCAGCTTGCCCTGCTCCGAGATCCCGGGCCCCGAAGTCTTGTTTTCCTTCTTCCACTTCATGCGCCGGTTCTGGAACCAGATCTTGATCTGGCGCTCGGTGAGGCACAGGGCGTGCGCGATCTCGATGCGCCGCCGCCGGGTCAGGTAGCGGTTGTAGTGAAATTCCTTCTCCAGCTCCAGGGTCTGGTAGCGCGTGTAGGTCTGGCGGCCTCGCTTGCGGTCAGTTCCTGCGCCCAAAATATGAAATGGAGGGAGTTGATCAGTCTTTTCAAATCAAAAATGTTGAAAAGGCCAAACAGTATCCACCTCCCTCTTAGACCTTGACTGGGAGGTCCCAGGGAGGGGGGGGGGGAGCTCATTTTCCAACTAAATCAAACTCTTGTTCCCCAGCCATGCTGCCCTCTGCTCTCCTGTGCAGGACTTTCTGCAGGTCACTCAAGGCCACTGTCCCTGCAAGAAATCTTATCCTGCTAGAGTTCTGAAGCTGCTTCAGGCTCCTGAAGGCCTCGTTCCTAAGGCATGTATGTGGGGGTGCAGGAGGTTGATCCCCAGTTACTCTCTGGGGCCAGAGGTTCCAAGCCTTCTCATTTGGCTGCAGACTGTGGTGGTCTCTGGAGTCTGCAGCTATGGAGACCTAGCAGGGACTCTGGTGTGGTGCTCAGGCTTGGTTTGAGAGCTTCCCAAGAAGAAAAGGAGACAAAGAGACTGCACAGGTCCAGCATGCCCCACCCTGTTATGGAATCGGGAGGTGAAATTCTGCAGGTTCTCTCCCACTGGTTCTCTCCCACTGATCCTGCCCACGGATTCTCCCCCAGTGCAAGGCTGAGGCTCACTCAGCCAGGGCCAGGCTGGCCTGCCTTGCCTACCTGGCTACCAGGGCAACTGGAGGTGCAAAGCCATCCTCGGGCCTCCAGGGCAGAAGGGACAGCAGCCTGGCTAAAGCAGAACACAAGGGTACCTGTGGGGCCCAAGGACAAGAGGGACCTTCCCTGCCTAGGCCCAGAATCCCAAGTGGGAGACTTGGGGGAGGCCCTGAGATGCTGGTGCCAGCCCTCCTAGGAAGGAGCTGCAGAAAGGAGGGGGCCCTAATTCTAAGTCACATAAAAGCCCAGCTCAAATGTTTATGAGCAGAAAAATTTGGGCTTTGATAAATCAACTGGAAAGGCAGTTGAATTACGAGGCAGGTAAAGGGGACCGTGGCCACCAATACTGATGTTGTGACACAACTGGGACCCTCCTGACCCCCAACCTGGCTAGCCTGGGAGCCTTGGGCCACACATCTTGGGCTTCCTGGATGGTGCAGTGGCTCCCAAGTCCTTTTGCCTAGGGGTTAGGATAAGACAGGATGCAAAAGGCCTTGCAGGAGGGCTCACGGGAGTCCTGGCTTCTTGGGGTTCCTGCAGCAGCTGCTGGGTGGCCTCAGGCTCCAAGTTTGCTTCTGCTCTCTGGGGTCTCAGGCCCTCCCCAAGAGGAGATGCACCTTGCTAGGGGACACCAGCAGGCCAGTTCCCCAGGGCTGCCTAAGATTCTTAGGAGGGGTGCAAAGGAAGCCAGCATGCTCCTTACAGGCCTCCTCCCTCTCCCTAGTTCTCTTGCTCCCCAAGGTCACTGGGGGATCAAAGGCCTCACGATGGCCTCAGCCTTCCTTCCTTCACTGCCATTGGGGCTCTGGGTTCCTGGTTGGGTCTCGGCTACCCCCTCCTCCGGAAGGCCTCTGGAGCCCCCCTCTAATTGTCCTGGCAGGGATGACAGGGGAGCAGGGTTGGCTGGAGGCAAGGAGGAGGGGAGAATTGCTTAGCTTAGCACTGGGGTCTCCTCCCCCATATCGTGTCTGAGCTTGGGCTGGGGGACACACCCAGGACTGAGCTCCCAGGCAAAGAAAAGGGGGAGAGGGGTGGAGGGAGAGACCCTAATGGCTATTCTCTGCAAACCCCAGCCTTCCTCCACAAGACAAACGGCCTGGTCTCCAGCCCGTGCCGGCGCTGCTGATAAATATTTAAAGCTAAAAGACCAGGAGAAAGGCTGGGGGGCGGCCTGGGGACTCTGAGCGCCGCAGCGCCGAAGACAGATCCGCCGCCGCCCGGGAAGCAGACCAGCCTAAGAGCACCAAGCAAAACTGGGGGTGGGAGGGTGGGGGCAGGGCCGGGTCGCGGCCGATGGGGTGGGGGTGCGGCGTCCCCGGGGTACCGCCTCCGGGCCCCACAGCGCTCTGGACGCGCCAGGGGGCGCCCGGCCGGCCGGGGCAGCGGCCCCTCGCGGGGACGGGCCCGGAGCGGGCGCTGCGGTTACCTGAGCTCCGCATCCAGGGGTAGATCCGGAAGTTACTCTGGGCCGCCAGCTCCGAGTCCCTCTGCTCCTTGGCGGAGTCGCCGGGACACACCCCGGAGAGGCTCTGCTCAAAGGGCGCGCAATGCATGTTGAAGGAACCCGGCTCGAGCCCGTAGCCGGCCGCGTAGACGCCGCCTGCGCCCGCCGCGCCCCCGCCGCCGGGGTACAGGCCCGGCACCGCGGCGGCGAAGGAGGAGGCGCCCGCGCCATAGCCGGGGCGCGCGGGGCTGGCGGCGAACGCGCACGAAGTTTGCTCGGGGAAGGCTCCGGCGGCGGCGAGCGCCGAGCCCGCGGCCGGGTATTTAGAAAATAAAGCATTCGCATAATACAATGAACTCATAATTTGGCCGGATGATTTGTAGGCAGGGACGTTTTAGTGTCGGTTTTACGAGATTCCTTGATATATTACAGAATTAGAGTCCAGATTTACACCAAAAAGGACCCCCTTTTTCCTCTCCGGGCCACGTGACCCCTGCCCACGTGACGTCCCCTGCGCCAATGGCCGCGCCGCCTCCCCACGGCTCCCGGTAATGTGGAAAAAATTGTGTGGCGTTGGATTTATAAAATATGATCAATAATGAATGGGGAAGCCGAGCGCTGTGCATTGGGGCTGGGGGGCTCCAGGGCCGCTGTGACCCCCGTGGGCTGGAGGCAGCTTGCAGGCGAGGCTGGGGGGAGGCATGGAGTGGAAGGGACATAAATAACCCCGAAGCGACCCTGCCGTCGCCCCTACCCAGGTCCCCAGCGAGCGGGGCACGAACGCGGGGCAGTGCGCGTGCGAGGCCGCGCGGGCCTTTAGGAGCCCGGGCCGCTGGAGAGGCCGGCCCGGTCCTCCCGGGGTGAGGAGCCAGCCGGCCTGGCCTCGTGGCCCTCTCGGTGCCCCCAGGTCTCCGGGCGCAGGAGACGCAAGGCTGCCGAGGTGCTGGCTTGGGGGGGAGATCCGGCCTGTGGGTGTCGGTTTCTGGTGGAAAATAAAAAATATTGGAAGGAAAGGAGGAAAAAAAAAAAAAAAAAAAAAGGAAAGGGAGTGGGGTGTGGGGTGCGGGGAGAGAAAGGAAGGGAGGAGGGCGGACCAGGCTCGGGCTCGTCGCTTTCCGGGTTCCGGATGCCTCAGTGGAGCGAGGCTGCCAGAGAAGCAGAGGCGGCCGAGGAAGGAAGGCAGCGGGGCAGCCAGGAGGCACCGCCTTGGAGCTGGGCAGAGGTGGCCACGTCCCCCAGAGGCCAGGCGCAGAAGAGCTCCTGCTCCCCCAACACAGTCCCAGAAAAATAAAAATCTCTGCGCACTCAGCAGCTTCCAGCTCATCTCTCGCGCCTCCCCCACCCCGCCCCACTCCCCACGGGAGGACACACACACGGAAACAAAGGGAGAGGCGGCCGGGGACACAGTCACCAACCCGGGCGGCGCGTCTCTTCCCCTGCGCGGCCCGGGCGCGGGGGTCCCCGGGCAGCCTGGGAACGCGAGGGGAGGGGGCATCTGTGGGCTCCCCTCCCTCGGCCGCGGCTCCTCCAATCGCGTGGAGCCTCCTCCCTCACCCCCTGCGCCCCTGGGCCCTGGACTTCACCACCTGCCCTCAGCCCCCCGCCCCTCCCGTCGCCGCCACCGAGGCCGGGGCGAGGTGACCCGCGCCCCCCGCCGCCCACGGCCCGACCCGGCGCCTGGCGCGAATGGAGGAGCAGCGCAGGGGGCCCCCCGGGCCAGTCTCGGGTTCTCGCTTGTAAACTTTATTGTAACTCTTCCGCCCTTTTCAGGCGCAGACAACAGAACAAAGTATAGAGGAACAACAAAATATATAATTAACCCTCCCTCCCCCCATAAAGCAATTCACGGGCACAGGATACACTCTCTTCACAGTAACCCTAGGGACACTTTGTAACAATTGCCCACGGCGCGCATGCTAACTAAAGTCATCTTTTTTTTTTTTTTTTTTTTGAGAAACATTTAAGACAAAATTGTCAAACCAAAGGGGAGGGGAGGGAGAAGAGAGAAGCGAGAAAGCGAGAAGCTGGTGGGAGAGGGGTCGGGAGGGGAATGGGGCGCGGGGGGGGGGCAGAGAGAAAGAGAGAGCCAGAGAGAAAGGAGGGAGACAGAAAGAATCACGGCGTGAATAGGCAGTTTCATGTTGTTGGGGAACTTGCAGAATCGGTACCTCGGCCTTTACACAAAGAAGCACGTTCAAAGGAAAAAGACCGTTTGCACCACGAGGCTCTGTACACGGGGCGGGGTGGGGGCTCGGCGGGCCGCGGCCGCGCACCTCGCATCCTCGCGGGCGAGGGAGGCCTGGCTTCCGACGCTCCCTCCCCGGCCCCCGGGAAGGGAAGGGACCCACGCGGCGCACACACGGAAGCTATCACGGAGACTACCACTAGCGGGGGGCGCGGCGGGCGGGGCGCTGCGCGGCGCTGGGAGGCCCGGGCCGGAGCGCGGCGCGGGGACGCGGGGACGCGTGACCGCGAGGGTCGGGGGCCGCGGGCGGGCGGGCGGGCGGGCAGGCGTGCGGGGGGCCGCGGCCCTGGTGTCCCGGCTGGAGTCTACTTCTTGTCACCCTTCTGCGCGTCGCTCTCGTCCGCCGCCTCCGGGGCCCGCTCCAGCTTCTGCTTCTCCAGCTCCTCCTGCTCGCACTTGCTGCTGGGGAACTTGTCTTTGTTGTTCTCCTTTTTCCACTTCATCCTCCGGTTCTGGAACCAGATTTTGACCTGTCTCTCTGTCAGTCCCAGCGCATGCGACACCTCGATCCGCCGCTTGCGAGTCAGATAGGGATTAAATAGGAACTCTTTCTCCAGCTCCAGGGTCTGGTAGCGGCTGTAGGTCTGGCGGCCTCGCCTGCGTCCGGCGGCTGCTGGGAAGGGGGGAAAGGGGGGACGGGGCGGGTGGGGGAGGGGCGGGGACGGGGAAGGGCGAGATTCGTGAGCCAGCCTAGGAGACCGCGGCGGCGCTCGGGCCAGGGGACCCTTCTCCTCCGTGCGGGGGCGGGGGGCGCGGGAGGCCGCGCCAGCCGAGGGGGGCAGAGCGAGGGGTTCAGACAGCGCCTAACCCGAGGGAGCCCCCTCCCCTGCTAACCAGCGCCACAGTCGGTGGGTGGGGGGCTCAGTTCCACTAAAAGTGCCATAAAGTTAGCAAGGAAGGAAGTGAAGGGGGGGAAGAATTTTAAAAAGCCATGCTGGGGACGAATGGACCCACCTTGAAAAGCCCCCCAGAGCCTCTGCCCCAGAAGAAAAGTTTCTTCAGGGTAATTAAACTATAAAGCCATTGAAAAGTGCAAAAGTTGAGCGCCCCCACTCCCGACTCCCTTTCTCCACTACCCCCCATAAAACAGTAAAAGCCGGGAAAGGAGGAGGAGGAGGAGAGGTGAGGCAGGGTGGGGGGTTTATGGGTCCAGGAAATGTCGCTGGGCGAGCCCCCCTTCAAAGGAAACAGAAAGGGAAAGAGAAAGAAAGAAAAAAGAAGGAAAGGGAAAGAGAGAAGGGAAGACGGAGAGAAAGGGAGGAAGAGGCGCGGGCGACCGCAGCGCAGCGCAGTCTCCGGAGCCGCAGGCGCCGCGCCCGGCCTGGGCCCGCGCCCCCCGGCCCCGGCCCCCGCGCCGGCCCCCGCGCCGGGCCCCACGGAGCTCACCTTGCGGGCGCATCCAGGGGAAGAGCTGCGTGGGCGACGGGCTCTGCTCCGAGCCCTCGGCCTCCTCGCCCAGGCCGCTGGCGGCCGCGAGCTTGCAGTCCGCGTACTGCACCAGGTCTGGGTCCTGCGCGCCGAACAGGCTCTGGCGCTGCAGCGGGTCGTAGCCGTAGAAGTTGCCGGGGTCCCCGTGGCACGCCACGGCGCACGGGTTCTGCTGGTAGGGCGCCGTGGACAGCGACGACGGCCCGTGGTAGAACTCCTGGATCTGCGACGGGTGCTGGAAGCTGCCGCCGCCGCTGGGACCGTACACCACGGTGGGTCGGCCGCCCAGGTCCTGGGCGAAGCCGCAGTCATAGTAATTGGGGCGCAGGGACTCCCCGGTTTTGTATTTGGAGAACAGTGAGTTGACGAAATAAGAGCTCATTTTATTGAATTTTGAGGCGGCGGCGGCGGCGGCGGAGGCTGTAGTTGGGGGCTGTTGGGGAGGGGGTGGGGAGGGGGAGAGGGAGGGAGAGAGAGGGAGAGAGGGAGAGAGACAGAGACAGAGAAAAAACGCGGATTCGCCGGCTCCTGGTCACCCTGGCCAGGAAAGGAGAGGGACAGGGAGGAGGGAAGGAAAAAAAGAAAGAAAAGAAAGAAAAAGGCGAAGAAGATCTCCAAGCCGCCACACTTTTTTGTGATTTCCAGGAATAGGGAAAAAAAAAAAAAACAGGACCGCGGAGGCTCCCCAAGTCTCAGCCTGCGGCAGCGGCCGCGGCGGACGCGCCCTCCCCCACCCCCACCCCCACACCAAAAATCTACCGCCACTTAAGGAGGTCCTCGCTTTACATTTCGAAGAAGGGATGCCAGTTCATAAACAGTTTTCGGTGATTTACTTCCCTGCAAATGACTTGTTTCATATTTTGCACTGTCTTTTCACGATCATTTGCATCCATTAGAGCCCCGGCATCCTATTGGCTTCCCGGTACTCCTCCCGGACAGGACGCAGCGCGAGGGTGCGAGCAGAGAGCAGAGAGCAGAGAGGCGAGAGCGCCGGGGAGCTGGGGAGCGCGGAGGAAAAAGGAGGGGAAGGGAGAAAAACACCCGGGGAGCGCGCGCGAGCAGGCGAGGGGGGCGCAGAGGCGAGGGGGCGCGGGGAGCAGGAGGAGGAGTGCGGATTGAGGCTGCTTAACTACCTACATTAATGAGATATCGCTCGCCTCCCAACAAATCAAATACCTTCGCGGACCACCCCCAAAGGCTGGTGTGGGGGCGTCGCGGAAAAAAACCACGCGCGCGCGCGCGCGCACTCGGGGCGCGCAGACACGACGCGCGCCCGGGCGCAGGCACCGCTGTTAATTTCGCGATTTTAACGAGGCCATTTGGAGTCTTCCTAAATGTCAGGGTCGCTTCGGAAAAATGTAAAAGAACACGGTTTAATTGCGCCGAGTTTTAAAAGGTCCTATAAATGTAATTGGTATTTTAATACAAGTTATCAAATCATACAGCTTCCTCTCCTAAACATATTTCCAAACAAACGAGGTAGTCATATTTAAAGCTTTAATGATCAATTTCCTTATTATTGATAAAGGTTTAACTATCGTGTGCGGGGGAATTGGCTGGGTAACCGGCCCCCCAAAAAAACGGCTGTAAACTCTTTAACAAACTATAAAACGCAATAAAGCCGAAGTCTGTTGTTGTTTATGCCGAAGCGCATAAAGGCTGTTAGCGTTTTACGAGTTCTTTCCTCCACAGCTATAAAACCGCCGCTCCCAGCGCCCCCGCCACCGACTGCAGCGCGGTGGGGGTGAGGAAGCCGAAATGAGAACGATTATGGAGGGTTTCTGCTTTTGGGGTTTTTTTATTCTGTCACAAATCGTGACTTTTTTGAGAATTTGGGCTCGCTCAGCCCCTGTGCCAGGCACCTGCCCCTAGGCCGCTGGGAGACCCGGGCTGTCCCCTCTGCGCCCCGCCCAGCCACTCACAGAACTCTGCCCTCATTAAACAAACAAGCAAGGGGTTTTCTACCGAGCAGGGGTTGGAGCTCTGGGGAGGGATGGGGAAAAAAGAAAAAACTTTCTGGTTTTGGGCAGAAGGCTGCAGTTTTGCCCAATCTCTGCTTGCTGGGGTAGGAGTCCTGGGGGTCTCCCCAAGATACTTTGGCCCAGTCAGTGCTTTGGGGAGCAGACTGTGTGAGGTCGAGAGGGGTCAGATGCTACCAAAGAGGGGCACTCAAGGGGGGCTGCCCCACACCTGCACCCAGGCCCAGTACCCAAGCCCAACTGGCACCAGGCAGAGCTCCTACCTGGGCCTCCAATGCCATCCACACATGGAAACCAGGGAGGACACGGAGGGGTGCCCAGGACACCAGGCCCTGCTTCTGGGCCTTGGCTGCTGCTGCCCTAACCCTCTGCTGTGGGCAGGGACTGTTATTCCTGCCTCCCCATGGTCCATGGTCCTGAGCTACTGTCACTACCTACACTGACCTTGGAGTGCAGGGGTCCCTGGTAGAGCCAAGTCACTGAGCTCCCCATTTTCTTTCTTCTCCCCTTGGGGTGCCTCTACAGAACCTGGCCCTCCCTGCAGACCTGGGGACCTGAGGCCTTGGAAACCAGAAAGCACGACTGAGCTGGCCGGAGGTGACACCCTAGGGCCCACGGCCTCCCCTGCTGCCCTGGCCCAGGAGGTGGCTGACAGACTCAGAAGGCCAGGTCTGAGGGCCGGAACCCCTGGGCCCCCAGAAGCCCTTCTGCAAAAGAAAGGGGAGGAAGAAAAAAGAGAAAGGGAGAGAAAATCTCTAGCACCGAGGCGGAAGGAAGTGGCTTCACAAATAATGTCGTTTCATTGTTTACTCAGGACTCAGTGGCTTGCTTTCAGAGTGGCGCCATTTGGGGGCCCCAGACACCCCAGCCTGGGTAAAAATGAAGCCATCACCCTTGCCAAAGGCGAGTTACCACAGGGGTCACCTCAGTCCTTCGAAAGCGAATCTAGAGAACTAGAAGAGGTGCAGCAGGGGAAGAGAGAGAGAGCGCGCGCGGGGAGAGCAGGGCCTGGTTTGCAGCGGTGGCTGAGGGGCCTCGGCGCCAAGCTGCGGAAGAAAAGAACATTTTTCTCAAGTGCGGGGGATTTTATGGTCATGATTTGAGGCCTCACCTGTGAGGTAAAAATTCAATGGCTGGGTCTAAATCATCCCCACACCGTGCCTACATCAGAAATTTCTGACGGAAGGAAAATGTTTCTATTAGAAGAAAAAACAAGCGAGAGCGAGGAGATAATTTATAAACACCCCACGGAGCGCAGATTTATTGGAGAAACTCAAGTTGAGAAACTCAGCTCGCCTCTTCGCACCGGATCCAGACAGAAGGGAAAGAGGCTGAGGCTGGGGTGACTTGCAGAGGGTGGGGGGCAAATTGTCGCGCAGGTTTTTGGGGAAGAAAAGCAGGGACCGACCCGGCTGGGCCGGAGGGAACATTGCAAATTTGGAATCGGGCGGCGAGCTGAGCGCACAGGTTCAGAGCTCAAAGCGCTGGGGTCCAGGCCTCCGGCTGCTGGACGACATAAAGACCGGTGCCCCCAAGGTTTGCCTGCACCGGGTGGGGGACCCGCTGGAGCCGGGGTTACCGAGCCGCTGATCTCACCTGGAAGCCATGCAACGCCGGGACACGCGGGACACGGAGCTCCCATGCATGCCCGCACCCACACCTATCCGGAAGGGAGGGGTTTTGGGGGGACCAATGTGGGGTACGCAGAGCATCCTGAGGAGCTGTTCCAACCTCCCCGTGGCAGGCCGCCCTGGGAGACCCTTGTCCTGCGCGGGGGTCGCCAGGCGCGCACCCGGGCTCCCAATCCTGCGCCCAAGTGGGGAGCTCGGCCCAGGCCTAGGGCACCTCCGGGGCACCACAAAACCAGGCCTGTACCCCCTCCCCCGGACCTGGCTCCCCTGCAGCTGACGCCAGCAGCCGCCTGCGGGCGGCTCGGTCCCCGCGCCCGCCGCCCCTCTCACCTGACCTCTCCCCCGCATCGTCCGCAGCACTCGCGCCCCCCTGCAGAAAACTCAGCTTTCCAAACCAAGCCTCCTCTTGCTTTGCACCCCTTATTCCCGGTATCACCATGACCCCCTGCTTCCACGCATTCGTTGCCTCGCCGAGCCGAGCCCAGCAGCAGGGCGAGTAACACTGCCCTCCTCCTCCTCGTGGGGGAAACTCGGAAAATTGACCATTTGAGGAGCGGTACGGAGGGGGACACCACTATCTCCGAAACCTATCAAATAGGGGGAAGGAGCTATAATAATCCCTATATTTTTATTTCGTGCAAATTATTCATGACTTTTGGTACCGCTCGGTTCTCCGACTCAGGGCCGCGCACAAGGTGCGGCGTGAAGCCACTAGAGTCGCCAGCCACGGCGCCCCAGGTTTTCGCGTGGAGCAAGGGTGCCATCTAGCGGCAGCCCCGCGCAAAGGCGCCCGCGACCTCCGAGATCCAAGCCGCGCAGGCGACAGACACAGCCCGGACAAACGTTCACCATTAGCAAAGAAAGAAGAAAAAAGCAACAACGGAGGGGAGGAAGGCATCAGGATCAAGAAAAGATTCTCAAAAGTGTGCAGAGGACCTAAAAGAAAAAAAAAGGAGCTCCACGCTTTGCTTGCTTGCTTTTTCCCTTCCTTCCTAAACCTTCCCTGCCCAGCCCGCACTGCCGGCCCAGGCGCGCAGGCTTCCTTTATAGCCGGGAGACGGAGAATGAAGCCCTTTCCAAACCCCTCAAGATCGCTTCAAACTCGAGGAGTAACAAGCCGGCTTTTTGTGGGGAGAGGGGAGAATGAGATGGGATTATAAAAGGATCAAGAGGCCGCCCTGGCCCAGACGTCTGGCCCTGGGGACCTTCCAGTGTGTGTGTGTGTGTGTGTGTGTGTGTGTGTGTGTGTGTGTGTGTGTGTGTGTGTGTATGTGTGTGTGTGTGTGTGTGTGTGTGTGGGCACACACGTGCGTGCAGGCACTTCTTTAGGACACGATGCTGGAGGGACTGTAAAGAACAAAGACCAGAGTCCCAACGGCCAAGGCCGCAGCATTTACAACAAAAAATGCCCCTCCATGCGCCCTCTCTGAGCTCCCCTTGGGGCCCTGGGGACCCCAAACCCACATGGTGAGGCCAGGGCTGCAGGCCGGGGCCACCATGCCTCTGCCAGGCCAGAGCCTGGGCTGGGCGATGCGTTCTCAGCTCTGGAGTTTCTCCTCTCTGTTTACTTTGGAGCTGCTTAGTTTCTTAACCTTCAGAAATTTATACGCTATAAACTTTTATAGTGGTCATATTCTTTTATTGCTGCGCACACGGCATTGAATTCCTCTCCCGGCTTCTCCCAGCGCCCCACTCCCTTGGTCTGTCTCTCTCTCTGAATCGCTCTCTTTTATGAGAACTGATTTCCCCATCTCCGGCTTCCCAGCCTCCGAATTCTCGCCTTTGTCTGTCCAGAAAGAAGCCACTCCCGGGCTGGGGACCCAGATGCCACCGCCCTGAGGCCACTTTGGGCCGGCCCCCGCCCCACAGCGTTCGGTCAGCCTTGCCCCAGCCGGGCCTCCACGTCTCCCTGTGGCCGAAATGGGCCTTTTCGGTTGTCTCACCGCCGGCTGAGCCCTGGGAGCCCAGGATGGAAACAGCCCGGTCTGCACCCTCTGTGAAGCCCGATCCTCTTTCCGTCCCGACCGGATCCCTCCCCGGTGGCTGCCAGCCTGGACCTGACGAGCCTCCACTGAGCTCGAGCTGCGCCTCCTCCTGCGATCTCACCCTGCGATCGTCTTTTCGTTAGAGAGGGGTAGGCCAGGCCCGTGCGGCTGCCTTCCTGCAGCCGGCCTTTGTCCCTGCTCTGTCCCCACCCTCGGGGTCTGGAGGGCTGCCACGCGGCACGACCAGGAGAGAAAGCGGAGTCCAGGGTCCCCAGCACGCAGAGGAACCCGATGGCCTGGACCCCAGCCTGCCTGGCCGGAGGCCTCAGGGAAACAGCAAGGCGCCGCCTCGGGAAGCCAAGCTTCACTGTGGCGCAGGAAGGGAATGACTTTTCCTCTCCTGCGACTTGTTCAACACTCCGTGCTCTTTCCCAGCCTTCAAAAGCTGCTGTCCCAGGCCTGAGCCCCAGCACACTCAGGGCTTTGGACCAAGCCTGCTATCCGGTGGCTCCTGCCCCAACCCAGCGGCAAACAGCTCTCGGAGCTCCGGGTTCCAGCAGCCCAGCTTCCCTCAGGGTTCTGTCTGCCCCAGCGCAGACTCGCAGACTTGGGAGAGTGACCCTTCTCTCCTGCTGGGGTTTCTAGGTGCCCGAGCCAAGGGCACTGGAGCCTTCTCTTGCTCTGGCTCGCAGGGCAGCCAGGGCTCTGGGACAGCTCTCTCTGCACCCCCACTGCTGTCTGGTCATGCCTGGCTGTCAGGTCCCCAGTCTGTGGGAGCCTTGGGCTTCCTGTGAGCCTGCGAGCCAGGTCTTGGCCAGCTGTCAGTGCCCTGCAGCAGACAGCTCTGCAGGGATCCTGCTTTGCAAGGCCTGGGGGACAAAGTCTGGGGGACATGGAGGGGACACAGTCACCTCTATTTTCCAGTCTGCACTTTTGGCAACTGAGGTCTCTGCCCATGGCCAGGCAAGGAGGAAAAGCCAGCACGGAATAAGACTCAGAGAGGTTTATTTTCCAGAGTGATATATTTTTTTGTTCTTTTTTTTTTCTTTTTTTTCCAAAACAAACAATTAGAGCTCTAGGCCCCTCGCCCTCCCCACCCCCACCCACTACCCTCCCGCAGAAGCCACAACTGAAAACAAGCCAGACAATCACCCCCAAAGAAATCACAAGACACAAGCACAATATCACAACAGCCACCAATAAAGAAAAAAAAGTTCTACTGGGGTAGCCCCTGGCAGGGTCAGGAGAGGCGTGGGGGCAAGCCCAGCTACTAGGGGGCACTGAGAGGCTGGGGGTCAGGGGGAAGCAGCTAAGCAAAGTGAGGGGTGCTGTGGCCCCTGTCCTGGGCCAGGCACCAGCACTTCCAAACCCTGCCGGCCCACAGTGGAGGTGAAGCCCAGCGCTGGACGGCTGGCTGGGGGGCTGGCTGGGGACTCCTCTGCAGGCATGGCGAGCTGGGGTGAGGCGCCAGGTCTGCGCACTGGGGTCTCTGCTTCTTCCTGTCTTGACAACTAACTCCGGAAGGGAACCGGGGAATTGACTTCCAATACATTCTCCTCTGTCCCTCTGTCCATCAGACTTTCCTGATCTGCCCTTCTGTCTACCACGGCGGGGCTGACGTCGGGTGGGGGGTACGGGGAGCTCTATGGGGTGCGGCTGGGCTCAGGGACAGAGAGGAAAATGCAGGGCTGGTGGAAAGCAAGAAAAGCTCCAGTTTGTCAAGTGGGGCGTAGGGGAGCAGGCCAGAGGCTCCACAGCCCAGTGTGACCTCCCTGGGTGAAGTACAGGAAATCCTCACAGAGTCAGCATCTCCTCCGACGGGTCAGGCAGCCTCCAACTGCCTTCCCTGGGCCCCTCCAGCCCGGCAGCCTGGGGGGCCGTGGCCGGCTTTGGGCGGCACCTCCTTGAGTGTCTGTACCCAGACATCTGCCTGCTGTGCTTCTGAGTCAGGGGAAGGACCAGGGCTTGTCTACTGGGTTTTGGGGGGGCACTTCTGCCACACTGGCATCGAGACCCTTCATTTTTCTTCCAGTCCTCATTCTGACTGTGGGTTCCAAACTCTCCACCTGGGCCATGCACTGGGCTTCGGGCATTTGGGGCGTCCTGGGGGGGTCATTTTAGATGGGTGCAGGGAGCTTTGGATCAAGCAGGCTGGAAGAGAGGGGTTGGGGCTTCCCAGAAAAACTGCCAGGGGTGCCAGGACCTTCAGTAGGGTCTCCGCCCTGGGACCCACTGTGCCCTCAAGAACTAACTATTCCTAGCTTCTAACCGGACCGAACTTTCTCCTGGTGCCTGGAGAGAAGGGGGGACATAGGGCCAGGGCTCTAGGTGCACTTGAAGGGCTGAGAGGAGCGTGGGGTGCCCTTCCCTGTCACCGGATCACATCCCAGACAGTGCTGGCTCTGCAACCAACACATAAATAAGGGCCAGACTGGGACGGGGCTGGGGCTGGGGCTGGGGACAGCGTGGTCCTTTACTCTTTGCCCTGTTCCTTATTCATTTTCTTCATTTTCATCCGCCGGTTCTGAAACCAGATTTTGACTTGTCTCTCACTGAGATTGAGGAGTCTGGCCACCTCGTGCCTGCGGTCCCTGGTAAGGTACATATTGAACAGAAACTCCTTCTCCAGCTCCAGCGTCTGGTATTTGGTGTAGGGACAGCGCTTTTTCCGGGAGGAGCGGGCGTGCAGCCAGTTGGCAGAGGGGTTGGCTGAAAGAGAAGCAGCGATAGAATCAAATCGAGGAAGGGGTGAGGCAGCTGCACCCCTGCGCTGGGGGAGGGAGCTCCCCATCCTGCATCAGAGAAAGGGCGCCTGGGCCTCCAAGGCCCCAGAAGGAGACCCAGAGATGAGGCCGCCACAGTGGCTGCTCCGGGCAGGTAGAAGGCCTGAGAGGACGAAGCCTAGCAAACGCGTGCCCGGCTGGCTTCCTTCCCTGCGCTGCGGGCTGCCAGCCTGCTAGGAGCCCTGGCCTCCTGCTTCTGCTCTGGTTAGGACTCAGTCAGACACCTGCCACTGACACTGCCGCCACCACCACCACCACCACCACCGACTAGGGGGTGCCTGGCTGAGTCTGGGGACAAGATAAGTGGACTGGGGCAGGGCAAGGGAACTCAGGGTCAGCCACAGCCAAGAGACCTCCTTGTCTGCCCGTGTCTTCAGGCCCCCGTGGCAGGAGGCACAGCAGACATCTGAGTCCAGGCTCTCCTCCCTCCCGGCCACCGCAGCCACGCAAGCACACAACACGTGTGGGTCCACATTCAGAGGCTCCTGCACATCAGCACACGGCTGTTCACAGCGACCCAATTGCGACCATTGATCAAGTGCGGCCCTAGACAGGGGCCGCCGGGGGCCGCCGGATAACGGATGGCTTCAATACACTCCTCCTCCGCGCTCAGCTCCGAGGTTTGCTTAACGCAAGTTCAGGGAAATGCGGGCGGGGGAGACACTGCCCCCCATCTCAGGGTGGGGGCCAGACAGAGAGGTGGTGGGGAAGCAGAGAGGCCTGCGCGGCACAGCCAGCCCAGTGCGTGGAGCAGGAAGAGGTCGGTAAGGGGAAGAGGGTCACCAGGGGAGACCAAGATGCACACAGGCCTCTTTCTCTCCTCCCCTTCTCCTCTCTCCCCAGGCCCTGGGACTCAAAAAAGTTGCCAATAAAAGCTGAGCTTATGAAAAATAACATCCACTCTACCCCTGGCTTCCTTCTCCCCAAGTGAAAAGCACCTGACTGTTTCCTTTTGTTTTTTGTTTTCTTTGGTTTCGTTTCATCCACCACTAAGCACCTTATCCATCTGCAGTGCTATTTCCTTGCTGTGCCTGCCGGGGTGGGCACCCAGCTGCATTAAATATGAAAGAGGGGAAGAAAATGTTAATAATTGATTCCCAGCCAACCGGCTGCTTAGCAATAATGGACTTTCTAGGCCGGCTTTGGGGTCTGGGTGTGGGGTGGTTGAGATTGTGTGCAAGGGATTGGGGTGAACTGTTTCCTCAAATGCCAGCTCCTTAAGTTAACCTGGCAGCTTGGAGGTGACTGGACCCAGGAGGCCCCCTGGGGAGCAGCGCAGCTCTTTTACAGTCCGGCAGGCCAGGACGGCCCAGCTGGCCACCCTGCTGGCAAAACAGCAGGCAGAGACTCAGGATTCTCAGTCTCTGCTCCCCCAAAAGAGTAGGGCGGGAGGACTCTGCCGGCCAGCCTGGGCGTTATTGTTTGCGGCCAAGAGCTCCCAACCGATTTGCCCTCCTCGACCTTAAATAAGCACGCGGCGGACCCTGCGCCTCTCCCGCCCCCGGGGAGCAGGAGGGCACCTTTTGGAGGTGGCCAGACCCGGGGTCTTCCAGAGCTGCTTTGGGGAAGAGGGGGAGCTGACTAAAGCTGCTACCCACGCAGGGGGAAACTCTCCGCCCCTCCTCAACTCTTGCTCCCTCCCACCTTTCCGCTCTCGGGGTCCCGCTGGGACGCCCCCTTCTCGGAATTCGGAAGTGATGCCCCGGCTCCCCGCGAGGCCCGCGCAGCTCCACTGCCCCCTCGGAGAGCAGTGGGAGCCCCCGAAGAGGCCGCAGCCATCCGGGCGGGAGAAGGGTGGGGGCTGCCCGCGGGGAAGGCGCCCGAGGAGGGGCCGACGCGTGGGGTGGGGGCTCGGCCGCGCGTCCCGGGCTCCCCCGCCCCTCCCCGCGCCGGCTGCGGACCCGCGCGGCTGCAGCAGCGCGAGACCCGCTGGGCTGCACCCTCCGCTGTGGCACCGCAAATAAAACCCTAATGAGCCCCCTCCCCCTTCCCTTCCCTCGGCCGCGCCGACGGCTGCGCGTGGCACGGGGGCCCCCCGCCAGCCGCGGTCCCCGTGCGCACTGGCTCCCCCTGACCTCGCCGGCTCCGCGCCCCGCTGTGCGGCTCTCCTGCCAGCTGCCAGCCCGGGCCTTGGGCCGCAGAGGGAGCAGGGAGCCGCGCGGGGTCCCAGAGCGCCGGTCTCCTGCAGGATTGGAGCGGTGGGGACGGCCCGGGGCGCCCCGCGGGACTCCCTGTTGCCTCCTCCTTTCGCCCTCCACCCTGGCCAGCTCCGGGCCACCGCCGTGCTCTATCCCAGCACATTGTCGGCGGTTTATGGCCTCTCGGGTCCCCTCCCCCTCCTCGCCTGGCCCGCGGCCGGCCCGGAGTATTTCCTCCTCCTCCACCTTCTCCTCCTCCACTCCCCCTCCTCCAGCTCCTCCACCTCCTCCTCACTTTTTTATAACTTACTTTGATCCGGCCTTTCTTTGTCCTCGCTTCCTTCGCAAATTTTATTGTCCCCGTAGCCGGGTCTTTGATTAGCCAGCACGGCCTCCCTGCCCGCCGAAGTTTCCAAACTGTACTCGGGCGCGCCGGGCTTGAGCAGCTCCCCAGGCGCGCCCAGCAGCGGCTCCGCCTTCACCGCCTGGCCCTGGCCCGGGGCCTCGCCGCGCGGCGCGGGCTCCAGCCAGGTGCGCAGGTACCTGCCCTCGGCGGCGGCGGCGGCCGGCGCGCCCTGCGGCTGCAGGTACGGGTGGTACACGGGCGGCAGGCTCCCCGACGCGTGCGCGCTCAGTGGCGCCCAGGACGCGCCGAACACCGGCGCCTTGGGCTGGAAGCTGCAGGACGGGAAGTCCAGGTGCTCGGCGGCGCCCGGCTGCCGCGGGCCGGCGAACTGGCCGGAGGGGAACTTGGCTGGAGGCGCGTCCTCGCTCTCGTGACTTATGATCGAGTCGACATAATAGCTGCTAAGCGTCCCAGAAATGGACATTCTCAGACATTATCCGCGCGCCCGCTCGCAGGGGAAGGGAGCGCTCGCTGGCTCGCTGGCTCGCTGGCTGGCTCGCAGCGGCGCCCGGGCAGGCGGTGCAGGAAGGTGGCACCCGGACCGGGGGCGAGGGCTTTCGGACGCGACCCCCAAGCCCCCCACCCTCCCACCCCCACCACCTCCAGCACCTCCACCACCCCCCGGCTCAACTTCTCAGCCAACAAAGTACAGTGGAGCGGCCGGGCTCGGCGCTCCGTGCAAAATGATTGGTCAAAGTTTTTCCGACAGCCTGATAAAGCGTCAGCTCCGACATCAATCAATCGGGCGCGGGGGCTGCGCTCGCGCTGTCACCCTTGCGCACCGCGCTCCATATCGAGGATGGATGGTTTTATGCTGATGCAATGTGCTACCACGTCAGGGCTCCGGCGGCCACGTAACCTCAGCCCGGGCCGCCGCCGGCCGCCCCCTCCCCGCCTTCTCAGGAAAGGGGGGGTCTCGGCGTGGGGCGCGGGGGCGGAGAGGCGGGGGCTGCGGAGCGCGCTCCCCGGACGGGAGGGAGGGAGCGAGAGCGCAGAGGGAGAGAGAGAGAGACGGAGACCGAGCTAGGCCAGCCCAAGAGGCCTCGCAGGATAATTAAAGGAGAGAAGGCCCTGTCCCCCCACTACCCAACACCTCCATCTCCACCCCTGGGCCCTCACTTCCTCTCCTCCGGCCCCTTGACAAAAGCTGTTTATTAAACAACAGCAGCAGCCAGCTTGCCACAGGAGATGGAGGAAAAGGGTTGGGAAGCAGTTGGGGTTTCAGAGAACCTGATCCACTCTGGAGGGGGCGCGGTGCGCTCTCGAGCTGGGGGGGATGTACAGGACTAGGCCCCCTCAGTAGCTGAGGGAGGAGGAGAAGGGGAAATGCGACCAGAGTCCAACCATCTGACCTGATGTCTGTCCGAAATTAGAACCTGCTTGAGGTCAATGGGATTCTCCAGGCCCTGGCAGCTGAGGTCCGCGGAAGAGTTTAACACATCTGAGCCAAGCTGGCCTTTAACTCTGTTCAACTCCCTGGGCCTTCCTGGCTGGGCGGGTGCTCACCTATTCCCCTTTCCTTCTTGGGGAAGCCGCCCGGGACCCTCAGATTGCACAGAGGAGGGAGCTCAAAGAGAGCCGCTCTGACTGACGGGGCTCCCTAAGGTGTGCCCGGAGCGGGCACCTGGGGAAGGGAAATGGTCCGAGGTTAGAAGCCTTCTACTCGGAAAGCGCGCGCCCAGGCCACCTCTGCGACCCTCGGCGCTGCTCTGTGCTCCCGAGGCTGCTGCTGTTGGCGGAGGCAGCTTTGAATGCCGGCCTAGGCACCAGTGGTACCCAAAACCCCAGGGTCAGGCTGTCCCCCATCTGCCACTGCCCTCCTGCCCAGTGTCCCCCGCGAGAGCTTCTGGATAGCGGGTTTATTAGAATCCACTTCCTGGCCCTTCGCAGTCTTCTTGGGGCCACCGGCTGGGGCCCTGGCTCCTCTCCCAGCCACCGAGGCTGGGCTGTGCCCTGGGTGCAGTCTCTGCTCCTGGCCTGCAGCTGGGGCGCCGCCATCCCTGGAAACGCAGGGCTCCCCCTGAGGCTTTGGGTGCAATTTCTTACTCTGGACCACGCTGCCCTCCAACCCGCCGTCTCCCCTCCCCCCAGTCCTTTGAACCAAAGCGGGTGCTTGCTAACTTGGGGTTTGATCTTTTTGGCAGTCGCCCCTCCACCCTGGAAGGCTGCAGGTCACCTCCGGACACGCACAGCCACGCTCTCGCCGGCTTCCCTTTCCAAATGAAGCCATCTCGTGTCATTACTGGTGAAATACGAGGGTGCCGCGCCGTATTTCTTCACATTATGGCGATCTCAAAATGATTTTTTAAAGATCAGTGCTGGCGCCCAGACAGCCCCCTCCTAGACCACCGTCCCCTCCCCCTGCTCTAGAGGGCAATAGCGGGAACCATACCGCGTGAAGATTTGCCTTTTCCGTAGGACCCAACTGAGTGTGTGTGTGTGTGTGTGTGTGTGTGTGTGCAAAACCCCGTGCAGATCCTTCTAAGTGGCTTCTGGGCGCCTGGGAAAGTCAGGGCTCTCCAGGCTCAGGCTGGCCAGCCTGCAAGCAGGGCACGGGTTGCAGGGTTCGCAGTTCAGGCAAAGCACCTGTTCTCGGTGGCCAGCCGCGTGGAGTGTGCAGGAGGCTTTACCTGTGATAAATACACTCTTCAGGCAAACAAACAAAAAAAAACCTCCTCTTCTAAATAGCCATAAGTAACGGTGTTATGAAGCATGGCGGCCGAGGGTATGATTTTCTGTAGCGTATAAATTAGGGCCCAAAAGGACGTGCAAACGGTGGGCTGGGGCTTTTTATTTATGGAAGAGTCACAGCGCTGGGCTGTCCTTAAGACCCCGAGCTGTGCAGGCCTTGGGCTCTGGCTGGGGCCAGCCTCCTCCCTGGTTTCCACTGCCCCTGCCCTGACCCAGCGGCCCCCTGTCTGGGAGTTCAGGGATGCCTCACTGCCTTGGGAAGAAGTTATGGGAAGAAAGAGCTCCAGCTCAGCTCCAGGCTGCACTGAGCCCAAGGAAGGGCACTGCTCCCTGCTCTGGCAGGCCCGGTTTAGGGCTGTGGGGTGCTAATTGCAGGGGCAGTGGTCCCCAACTCCTAGGGAGGGGGACGCAGGCCTGTTTCCTGCAACGGAGCACAGAATAGGAACATTTTGAAAATGACAGGCTTAGGAAGTCTGGTCTTCTGCCTAGAGGTGATTCTAGAGGGGAGAGCACGAACTTGCCCCCACTAATCCCTGGGGTATGCACCCCACCTCATCTCCTTCTGGGTGGTGGTATGGATGGACCAGGAAACAATCCCCCCCAAAAAAACCACCTCCTTTCTATAAAGCATCTCCAGCCCAGGGTGCAGTTCAACTCCAGCTCAGGCAAATTATTTAAAGGATCACTGAGAGGAGGCCCCTTGCCTAGATGTTCTGAGAATCTGGGGACACTCCCCCCCCTCCCGCAATGTTATCTTCTCCCCAGATAATGACACCCACCATGAAGAAAGGGAGCAAACAGGATGGGGGTCCTTGGAACCCATCTCCTAAAGACGCCTACAAGGGGGTCACTTCCATGAGGGTCCCTTGGTCCTGAGACAGCACAGCTGCTGTGCACCTCACCCTCAGTCCTAAAGAAAAAGGAGGGGAACCCTGCCTTCCTCCGTAGCTTCTCTGGCATCCTCTCCTCGCACTGGAGCCTCTTATGAGCACAGCTGAGAAGAGCGGACAGGAAAGAGCGGCAGCCCTGGCCAAGCAGGGGCCCAGAGCAGCCAGGAGAAAGGAGCCCAGGGCTGGAGAGCAGCGGCTGAGGCTGGCCACTGGCCGGAGCCAGCAGGTGAGTGCTACCCTTTGGGGGAGGCTGGATCAGGGTCCTTGCCTGTAACAAGAGAGAAAATCTAGAGGGAGGAAAGGAGAGGGGAGAGAAAAGGCAAAACCATGCTGTGAGAAAAGGCGGAAATAGTTTAGGGTTTTTTTTAAACTATTAAGGGAAGCTAAACTGGACCCATGGTGCATTTGCATAGGTAAATGTTTCCTGTGTGTCTCTCAAATCCCAGTGTGTGTAAGCAGAGGTGGGGGGAAGCTATGTGCAAATGTGCTGTGTGTGATACACACAATGTGTGACAGACAGATCTGCCCGGCTACCACTCCCGTCCCTGGGCATCCAGACAGGACACCTAGTCTTGCATAAGTGCATTCATATGCAGCCTTTGGGGGACGGAGATTAATGCTTCTGCTCATATGAAGAAGATCCATTTTTGTAATCATCCGCACACCTAGGGAAAAGCCAAAAACCTGGGTATTTGTGCATCTGAATTGTGGCTATGAATCACTGGCTAGTTGTGGGGGTCTCACTTGAAAAGCCAATGGATCTTCAAGCCAAATGTACACCTATGCACCGTCCCCTCGAGCAAGGCTGGTGCCTGGGAACTGAGTTTTATTATGGCTTTCTCTGCAAGATGACAGAAGTGCTTCAGATTGGGGAAAGCTCAGGGAATTTGGTGACTTTCTCTTCTTTTTTTGTCTCTGATGATAAAATTCTTTCCTGAGTGTCTGGCTCCCTGCTGCAGAGACGGCCTGTGCTGTGTGCCGTTTGCTTCCTGGGGGTAGGAGTACTAAATTTAGATGTGCATACATGTGTCTCAGAGGGACAATGTGAACTGAGTGTGCAAAGTCCTCAGGTAACTGCTGGTGCTCACGCCAAAGCACAGCCGTGTGTACCCAGAGGAGAAAAGGCCCCCATTATGGCAAGGACGGAGCTTCCTTCTGTCCCAGGACCAGGGTCCACAGTCACTCTGGGAAATACTCCTCCTCCCATTGGTAGTAGAAATAGGGACCCCCAACAACCTCCCGAACAGGTATCCCATGCACTGTGCACACTCTGGGGGTTGAATCCGGTGACACTTCCAGATCCCCCAAGTGGGCACCTCACTGGCCAAACTCCCCTGGATGTCAGAGTTCAGTGAAAGGAAGAATTGGGAGGTCAGAGGCCTCCTCTGAGCTCGGGGGAATTTCCTAGGGACTCTCAGCCCTCAAGGGTATCCAGGGCGGTGGGTGGGGGTGGCTGACTTCCTGGGAGTTGGGGGGGTGTCCAGGAGGCCAAACGGGGTGGCTGGCAGGCGGGGCAGCAGAGGCGAGCAGGTAGGAGGTTATTACAGAATTGCGTCCATAAAACCTGTAGCTGTTGTAAAACCCTCCGCTTTCCAAAGACTTTATTTCCTCCTTTCTCTCAAATATCCCCCTTTTTTTCTGTTTTTACAGCAGTTTTCCTGAGAGGGGGTGGCCGAGAGACGCCAGGGATGGCTCCAAGGCTGGGGCAGGTTTGGGGGCAGCCGGAGAAGCAAGGTAAGGAGGAGGAGGCACCCCAGCCCTTTGGACTGAACCCGAGATGACCAAATGTCCAGGCCTTAAGGTATCAAGACAGAGTGAGGCTGTGTTTCCCTTGCCTTCCTATTCTGAGCCGGTCCCCCGGCTTCTCTGTCCCAGCAGAGACCCCTTGTTCCCCCAGCCCCTTGGCCCTCCAAGTCAGCCTGGCGCCACCAGAGCCCATCCGGTCCAGCCTCTTCCGGGCCCCTTTGCATATTTCCTTTCCCTCAGGCAGGGGGGAAGCTGAGGAACAAAAGTGAGCCTATGCTTTGGGGAGGGCTTCGCTTCTAGTGGCCCCTTCGCTGGGCACACAGCCAGCAGTCTTAAGAGGGCCGGGGTCAGAAAGGGTGCCGCAGGTCCACCCGTCCCTGCCTGGCTCTGTGTCGGCACCAGCCTGTGCTGAATGCCCAGCAGGGCAAGCACCTTCCTAAGAAGGGCTGCAAGGACCTGGCCCCGAGGACCTGCGGGACCCCATGCCCAGCCCTGAGCCCAGCGGGAAAGGAGGCAGCTGGAGCCCAGCAGAGGAGGCAGCTTTTCTGAAGCCACCCCTAGGGCGCCTACCCCACTAGGAGGCCTAGGAGAGACTTGAGGGTCTGTGAGCTGAGGTTACAGGGATTCCCAGGTTTTCCTTCCACTGAAAGGGGCCCATAGAGCCCTCTAGAGGCACCTAAAACTTCCTTTGAAGGAGGAGCCTGGTCCCCTCAAAAGGTTACCAAGACCTCAGGCCTCCCATGTCCCTGTGGAAGCCCAACCTTCAAGCAGTGGTGCCTCTGTATAGTTACACTGAGAAGTCTCTGGAAGCTTCTGAGAGCAGACAGGAGCCCGAGACCCTGGGGCAGGAGGCTGAGGCTCTGCAGACCGGAGGTGGCTTCAGAAAGTCTTGTGCTCCCCCACTGCCCCCTTGTACCCCAAACACACTGAAAATGTCCAGAAGTGGGAGGATACCCCAGAACGCCCCTGATCTGTCTGGGGTTGGGGTTAGGGTACCACACCAGCCCTGAGCCCCACTGCCACCCTCACTCCTCCAGCTAAGCAGGAGCCTTAACTGCCGTGAATCGGGTGGTTTGATGTTGTTGTTTTCAGAAGCCCAGGCCCAACAACATGAAACTACCTAATTCACCCAGCAGTCCTAGTTCAAGCACCAGCCCAAGGGCTCATGGGCAGGGCCCACGGCCACCTTGCAGCCCTCCCTGGCCCCCGGCTCTGCTCACCGCTGAACTTCCTGTGCTCTGCTTATTCCCCTGCCCCTTCTCCCACAGATCCGGTGGCCACCAAGCAACACCCCATCCGAAGAACTGGACCCACGGCTACAGGGAAAAGCTGCCCGGAGGAGCTGGTCCAGCTTGGGTTGCAGAAACTTCTGTTTTCTAGAAGAACCCCCAACTCAGGCAAGGCCACTCTGAGACACAGATTAAAACGGCTCTGAGTTTCTCCCCTAGGACCAAGGTGTTCCAGGCAGCACCAGTCGCCCGCCCGCCCCAGGGTCTCCTGGCCTCCCCCTGGTGGCTTTGAGAGGTCAAATCTTCCAGCCCTCCGTGGTCCGGTCCCCCAGCTCTGAGACTGGGCTGTCACCAGGACAGTGGGGGGACCCGGTACTGAGAAAGGAAGCCACAGAGAAACGGGAAAAGCAGTGTCAGTAAGTACCAGGACTCCCCGGAGCAAAGGGAAAAGTGGGAGTCGGAGAGGACAGCAAAGCGACTCGGACAGTCACTAGAAGTCACCCTGCAAATGTCTGCAGGCTGAGCCCCCCAGGTAAGAAAGAGCCCTTCTGAATTTGCAGTGGAACCGGAGGCTGAGGACCTGGACTAGGACCCGGAACAGGGTCCCTTTCCCATCCTCCTGCCCTACAGTCTGGGGTCTCTGCCCCTGCTGCCTAGCCTGTGTCTCCCAGTCCCCGCCCCTACCTCTGCAGACACCCACATCCCAGGCCCCATGCAGTGCATGCTCACCTGAGCTAGTGGGTGGCAACGGTGGTGGTGGTGGCGACTCTTACACGGTGCCAAGCTCCAGTCCCTGTCTGTCCGGGTCACTGGGGCTCCCTCCTGGCTTGTCCTGGTGACAGTCTCAGCGGCCACGTGTCCAGCTGGGAAACCCAAGGTAACCACGGGCTGCCTTGGCCTCCCACTCACCCTCCTGGGTATAAATCTTGGGGACCGGAAATCCAATAAACTTCACCGTGCTGAAGAACTTCAAAAGGTTCCCTTCCCCTCCTGGCCTGAAAAGAAAGATGGCGGGGGAGGAGGCAGGTTACAAGAAGGGGGAAACAAATTTACCAGCCCAAGAAGCCGCTTGCACGAACTTCGTCGGCCCGTGTGGAGAGAAGCAGCCAGATGCCGGGCGGGCCTACGCCTCTGCTCAACGATTGTCCCCTCGCCTGGCCTCCAGGGCTCCCCAGCATCCGGAGCCAGTGTGACCAGGGCTTCCAGGCAACTCCCAGCCCCAACCCCGGCAGGGGCGCGGGAGCCTCCACCTGCTTCCCCAGCCTCAGCCTGCTGCCGCCTCTGCTTCTACACCGTTCCGCCCCATGCGGGTTTTTTTGTGTGGTTCGGTTTTCTTTCCCTCCAGCCACCAGAACTTTGCCCTGCCCGGCCCTTTTATTGCCAGGTGCCTGGGGAGGAGACTGGAGATAAGGAACACCAGGCCCCCAGGGGACAGAGCCAGCAGCAGGGCCCAGGCTCCTGCAGGGAACACCGGACACGAGGGGCCGCAATTCGAAATTCTTCCTTGTTATTCGTCCTCCTCTTCCTCGAAGGGCCCCCTCCAGCTCCTGTCTGGCTGCTTTTTAAAAGCGTCAAATTCCAAAAGAAAATTCTGTGACCTGTGCTTCCTCTTCCCCACCCTGGTTCTTTTCTGCTCTGGACATTTTGTGGAATTTGGATTTGCTGCTGTAAACCGAAACTTTAAAGATCGATCGTTTGCTTTTCCAAAGCTTTGGTTTTGAGAGAATTAGGAACAGAATTTCGGACCTCTGCTTTTTTTTCTTTTCTGTCTATCTGAGGGACCTGTGTAGAGCGGCTCTTTTGGGCGTGGGACACAGCCTCCCAGCACCACAGATTCAGGTCAGAGGCCCATGGGCTCCCCTGGGGTGCAGGGACCGAGGGTCCCACAGACGCACAGGTGCAGCTCTCCCTGCCCCAACAGGAGGCAAAAGCCCTGCCAGAGATGTTCTTTTAAGAACTGATGGGAAATGAGGAGGGCCCTGGCAGGGTGGTGCAGGCTTGTCATCCCAGTGCCCTGGGAAGCCAAGGCAGAAGGATGGAAAGTTGGAGCCCAGCCAGGGCAACGTACTGAGACGCCATATCAAAATTTTAAAACCAAGAAATAAAATGGGGCTGCAGATATAGCTCAATGAAAGGCCCTGGAATCCAATCCCCAGCACAATAAATAAATAAACATGTTTTAAATGGAATGGGCTTGGAGACATCAGGCTGCGTTCTAGCATGTGGAATTTCTCTGAAAGGCTGAGGTGCTACAGGCTGAGTGCGCCACGGCCTGGCTGGGAGTGAGCCACACTGAGGTGGTGGAGGGGGTGCCCCTTGGCTTCCTGGCACCAAGAGGGAGAGAGAGAGGGAGGGAGGAGCCCTTCAGCAGTTACAGGACAGGAAGTGGCTTCCATCCCTTCCTGGTACACCCAGCCAGGGCTGCAGGGGGCTGAGGAGGGCGGTGTGCTGGTTCCAGGATCCCTTATTTGCCCCCCAGGACTCTCTGGAAAAACCCAAAAGGGCTCTGGCTTCGGACAACACACACAAACACACCCTTTGCATGTGCTTTTAGGGTCCCCTCTTGTGTCCCCTGATCCTCATTCCCAGGGCCCAGGGCTCTCTTCACCCCCCAGACTTTTGCTTTCCAAATATTCGTCCCAAAACATGTCCAACTCCAAATTAGTTTGGAACTGAGTGGCCCGGCTTGTGCCAGTCAGGGACTTCTCACTGCTTCCTTGAAGGAAGGCAGTTCCAGCAGCACGGGAGGGGGCCAGACAGTGCAGATGACCAGAAGAGGCAGCGCAGAAATCAGACCCTGAAATAATCCAAGGAGAGCAAAAGGACGCCTTTCTGAGCCCTCCTGGCCCGGCTCCCTGTCCCGATGTTTCTCATGGGGCAGAGGGAAGTGCGTTTGTTAAAAGTCAGAGGTGCCAAAAGCCTAGCTGCTGGCCCAAGCTTGGAATTTGTTTTGTTTTCTTTGCAGTTTTTGGCGGCAGCTGGGAAGCCGGCAGCCAGCGCCGGGTCGCAGGCAGGCGAGGAATGCGGAGGCCGTCGCCGACCTCTAGGCGGCGCCCTGGGTTTGCGTTCTCCGGGCAGGGAAGGGAAAGGCCGGGTCCTGAGGCCACTGGCTGGGCCTGGAGCTGGTCTGCGGTGTCGCCTTTGGCGTCCTCTACCAAGCAAGAGAAACAAAGTTAGAGGAGCCCGGGCCAGGGAAAGGAAGAGACCGCTAATCAGGCCCTGCCCGCTGTCACCCCATTCCAGACCCAAGCCCCCTTTTCTCTCCCCTGCAGCGTCTCTGACCTCCTCCCTTTCCTTCCTCCCTCCCTCCAGCTCACAGAAGGTGACCCTGGGGCTGAGGGAACCAAGTGGGCAACTTGACATCCGGGCTGCCAGCCATCCACACCTGGCAGCCTAGGGGGGCTGTCTTGATGAGAAGTTTGGGGTTCCCTGGACTCTCAATTTGGGCAAGCAGCCTATGAACCCTGGAGGTGGAATTAAAGGCAGCAATCAGGACGCAGAGGCAGGACAGATCCAGCCCGCCCCCTCCCAAGAAAAGTCACTTTATAACCAAGCTCCTGCCAAGGACCAGGACCCTCTAAGGCCACAAAGAAAAGGACAGAGACGCTGTGAAGCCGGGTGACAGAGGCTGTGAAGTGGAGAATGTGTCCCACGCCTGGGCAGTGTGGCCTGCAGGAGGTCACGGTCCTGGGTGGGGGTGCAGCCAGTCCAAATCCGAGGTCAGAGTCAACCAGGAACTGGGAAGCGCAGGGCAGGAGGAACCCAGGTCCCTCTTCCCCTCCCCTGGAGGCAGAGGGACCGGGTTATACCCAGGAGCTCCCGGGGACAAGGTTATTCTTAGGACAGGGAGGCAGGGAAAGGACAGAGCGCTGGAGGCAGGCAGCAGAGGTCTGGGGTCCCCGGAGAGCTGCGTTTCCCAGCCGGGTACCGGCTCTCTCGGAAGCCTAATTACCCAACGCACATCTGGAGCAGCTGCGCCCCAGCCGGCCTCAGGCACGGCATTCCCCCTCCCAGCCCATTTTCATTCCCAAGGCTGAGTCATTAAAGCCTCCCGAGGCGGCGGAATGGAGCAGGATGCGCGCGGTGTCAGCGCCCCCGCGCGAGTGTGCGCGCGCGCCCGAGTGACAGGCGTGGGCGGAAATGCAGCGACACCCGGCGAACGAAACTGCGAACAGACTGTTGCCCCATCATCCGCCCGCTCCCAGGCAAAGCATTTGGGGCCCGGAATCTGCCAGCTAATGGCTTCGCTTCCTGCACGGCAGGGAACACTGTCTGCCCGCGCCCATCCCATGGTTCAAAACCTGAAGGTCTTCTCTGCAGTTCTGATTATGTCCCTCCCCAGGACATCCCGGAATATTCATGTAGGTATCACATCAAACACTTGCACACCGACATTATGGAACACGCAGGCACATGCACACACACATGCATACGCACGCAGGATTTCTGACCGAAAGTAACTCTTAAACGTCCACACCTGCGAAATCCGGCTGTCTTAACTCGAAGATTGTCACGGTGATTAATTAATGTACTGGGTGCCTGAGGTTAACAAGATGCCTGGTGCAAGGGGGTCACTTAATAAATAGAAACTATTAATAAGAAAGAGAAGGGGGAGGAGGGGAGGGGAGGGCAGGGAGAGGCGAAGGATACCCCTTTGTTCTCTGGCCCCAGCCTGGGTTAGGGTGTGAGACAGCCTGCCTGTGTGTAATGCTTTCTTTTGGCTCAGACCCATGTCCATTGTCCATAAAAGTGAGGCCCCTTGAACCCCTTGGCCTGTAACTACCTCCTCAATAAGGATCAGAGAATTGGGGCAATTATCTGGCTCATTTCAGGTTCAAACTCCCTTGAGCCTGTCGTATCTGGCTCTCGGGGAGGGGCAGGGCAGGGCAGTGGTGGCGGAGCAGGCATGGGCACAGGGTGAACCTTTTCCCTGTTGCTGGGGCGAACAAACACCCTGGCCTGCCTTAGGAAAGAAGAGTGGGGGCAGAGGATTGCAATCAAGTATCGGAGAAACGCTTGAAAAAAACCAGGTCTTGCTCTTCCTGGGGCAGCCACAAGGCCTTGGAGTTCCCCAGACGCCCCAGAAATTCTCCACAGTACGTAGACTTTTGCCCAGTGGAGACTTTTATTCCATATTCAGCAGAGGCTTCCAGAGCCCCTCCTGTGTGCGGTGCTGGACTGAGCTTTGGGCACTCGTGGGGGCCACACCCCGCTGGCTGGCTGCTGGTCTGGCTCCAGAAACAAGTCCAGGGCCAGGTAAATGGGGACAGACCTGCTGGGGGGGGGGACAACTTCTGGCCAATGGCAGCCTTTCTTTTTCAGGGCCAAAGCCCCCCCCCCCCATGCGCAGGCGTACGGGGTGGAGCCGAGTCTGGGGCGCCCCCTCCCTATTGTCTGTGGGAAAGAGGCCACCTTCTCAGAGAGGGGGCTCTATTGGGGCAGGGCAGGACCTACAGGAGCAAAGAGGGGAGAAGAGATGACTGGAGGCTGCTGACCCCCAGTTGGAAGTGCCCGTAAACCCCAATTAGCTTCCTTTAATTAGTAAAGCGAAGAGCAAATGGGCATATGTTTCTTCTGCTCTGATTAAACGCATTTAGGTCAGGTTTTCACGGCCAGAGTTATTCAGTTTAAAGTGTCCCAAGCAGAAAATTGTTTATTTTTTTCCCTTTTTATTTTCAAGCAGGGGTTTGAATACTATTAACCAACTACCGGCTTCCAGTCACAGATCAGAACTGCTGGGCCGCAGGGAGTCACTGTAGCAGCCTGGAACGGGGTGGGGCCTCCCAGGTCCCTTTTTCAAGTGTGCAGACAATTGGGGGGCAGCCAGGAGCCCTTGGGCGGTGTGGTGTGTGGCCTGAGAGGTGCAATCAACCACAGAACTTCCACTTCCCTAATTCGTCTGAACCCACCCTCAGAAAGACTCTGTTCAGTTGGCAGAGTGCAAGCAAGCCTGACTTTCCTTCCCACAGGTCCCCCACTTCTCTGGGAGGAGGCCAGGCTTTCACAAAGCTGGAGAAGACCCAAGGCCTGGGATTTCTGTGTGGAAATGAACCACAATATAGAAAACCAGGTGAAGCCAGGCAGACCCCTGGGATTGTCAGGGCCACCTGCTGCTTGGATTTTCTTAGGGACTCCCAATGTCTTTCTTTTTTTGGAATTTTTGAGACAGGGTCCTGCTATTGCCTTGAACTCACAGAGGTCCTGTTTCTCCTACCTCAAACAAGATTATCAAAATATTTAGGAGCAAATCCCATAACTCAGAGTTCCACGTCTCCCAGCCTGTAAATTTGGGTTGGGTCCACACCCCATGCAGAACTGGGGTTCTTAGCCAGGCGGGGCGGCACACACCTGTAATCCCAGCACTAAGGAAGCTGAGGTGGGAGAAACAGGATCACTGTGAGTTTGAGGCCAGCTTGAGTCCAAGGCCTGGAACCTGCAGGACCTTGCCTCAAAAATTCAAAAAAAAAAAAAAAAAAGAAAGAAAGAAAGAAAGAGAGGAATTGGGGGGCTCTTTGAGAAAACCCAATAGAGAAATCCTTAAGGGACACAAAGGAACATTCTACTGCCCAACCCCCATTTTTCTTAGATCGCAGGATGAGCTGGAGGGCAGTCTGCAGACAGCCTTCCTCGCCAGTTGGGGTTTTTTTTTAAGCACATAGGCTTTTGTCCAACTTAACTCCCCTCTGCAGTTGGTGCCCACACTGGTTCTTCAAGATCAGCTCTCATCCCTGGTACTGATTTCAAAAAGAAAGAAAGAAAAGAAAGAGAGAGAGAGAGAGAGAGAGAGAGAGCGAGAGAGAAAGAAAGACAGACCAACTCTCCCCAGGGAAACATTTGTCTCCAACCCTCCTCTTCTCCCAAGGGACCTACCCACTCCCCAGGGCCCAGACCCTGCAGGAAGTGGTGGGACCAGGGGGCTGGCCATGCAAGCACAGAGCTCTCAGCTGAAGGCCAAGAGTGGAGCCCACATCCACCAGCCCAGCGGGGTCTCAGCCTTCTAAGTAGGAATTCTGCGGACCTGGAGTCTGAACCTTCTGAATTTATGGGATTATGAGAATTACATAGGTGTGTTTTTTTTCTGGGCAGGGGAGAATCAGCACTGTTGATCAAAATTTGAAATAGCCATGGGGCACCCCAAGATGTTAAGATCCTCTCCTCCAGTGTTCACCCAGAAACAACCAAAAATAGGAAGCAGAGGGTAGAAGTGAAGTACACTTCAGACAAGTGAAGGGGGACAGTTGCATGCAGCAGGAGGTCAGACAGGTCACTGTCACTGTCCCTTCCTGGCCTATGGGGCCCCTGTGTGCCTGTCACCTGCTGAAACACCAGGGCTGAGGCAAGACAGCGCCCCCAAACCCCATCTCTGCCTAAGGACACTTAGGTCTTCGACGCTAATCAAAACTGAGCCTGGACCTTTCGCTGCTATTCCCTGCCATGGCTTGACCTGGTCTGAGCTGCAAGTTTTGGGGGCTCTCTTCTTCCTCCAAAAGCTTCCACTTGGTGCGGCAGGTATTTAGGGGGTCTCTGGCTCCCACAATGACATCCTGGTCTAAAGAGCCACGTTTAAGGCTCTTGAGCAGAGGCAGGGGCCCATCCCCAAGTCCTATGAGTTCTTAAGGCCCTCCCAAAGGGTTCCTTAAAATGTTACAAAGGTCAAATGAACAGAGTCAGAAATAGGCACAAAGAAAGGGGTCCTAGAAGTCCACCAGACAGAGAGAAAAAAAGATGGGGGGCAACCAAGCTGTAGAGAGGTGAGCGACCAGACAGTGGTGACAGGACCCCAGAGGTGCAGAGCGGCCAGGAGAGACCCAGTCTCATGTTGGCTGCAGGTTAATGATCTCGTTAGCGCCCTCTTTCCAAGCCTCCCCACTGCAACTCCTCGGGCTCTTTTTGCTCTCTGATTAATTAGCCAGCTCGGAGGTTCGAGGGGCCGCTCTACCCGGCCCCGCGGGGTTTCGCTACAGCGTTGGCTAATGGTGGGGAGGATGGTGACGTCCGGGGGCCAGGAGATCCAGGGCTGGGGGAGTGGGGAAAGGAGCTGGTGCCTGGAGGGAGCACAGGAGCTGTGCCTTAGGAGCCGCCGAGGTATCCGGGAGTGTGGAGATCCTGAGAGCCGGACCCAGTCCCCAGCTGGGCGGGAAATCGGGCGACAGAGGCTTTCCAGCCAGGGGCACGGCTTGGGGCCAGGCGCCGCTCCCCGCGCTGGAGTCTGGGCAGAGCCCCCACCCCACTTCATCCGCCCCAGCATCACTGGGCCATGGAGTCGAGGTGGGGTGGGGAGCTGGGGCTCATCTGGGTACCTACAACCTCCAACGCCCTTAAATTCCAGGACACCCAGGCGATTTGAAAGCCTCCTTTCTAAAATCCGTCTAGTAGGTCCCTGCCCTCCAGACCTCTACTTCCAGGGCTCCGGAGGCTCCCGGCCAGGCCCTCTTTTGCTCCCCAATGCCACCCCTGCGGTGCCAACCTTCCCAGCCCGCGCACGAGCGGGTGCAACCCCAGGTGCCGGTGCCTTCTCCCTCCAGAGCCGCTCTGGAGCTGTGGCGCGGCCACCTCCCGTTCCAAGGCCTTTGGCTCCTGTGGGCGGCGTCTGGCACGGAGATGGCACCGAAATCTTCGCGAGTCCGGCCCCGGGGCGAAGGCGCAGAGCCCGGGCGCACGCCATCGGGGTCCGTGCGCAGGCTGTGCTGGGGAATCAGCCAGGACCGGCTTTGCAGCGGCCTCCCCTCCCTCACAGGACTCCACGCACCCGGACAGTGACGCCGCGGCCTCCCCGGGAGCTGCAGCGGGATCAGCCGGGCAGGGGCCTCTCGGCGGCGCCCAGGAGCAGCGGAGGAAAAAGGTGCGGAGGGCTGCATGGGCCCCGGTTCTCTTGGGTTGGTTCACCTCGAAATCCAGCAGCCTGGGTCCCCGGGGTGCCAAGAAGGGAAGGGACCGAATGGAAGGTAAGAAGTTGACCAAGTCGAGAAATTTGCACCCTGTTTTTAAAGCTTAGAGCCCCTGGGCACTGACTGCATGCTCCATCAAGGATCCCCCACTCAAGGGGCAGCAGAGGCTTGGGGGCTCAGGGGAGGGGGAGGGCATTTGTTATTGTTTTGTTTTGTTTTGTCTTTGCAATGCTGGGGATCCAACCAAGAGGGCCTCACCCAAACTGGACAAATACTCTACCCATACCTTCCGGGTGCTAAGGTTATTTTGGGGGTCATAATTATGTTTTTTTTTTTTTTTTTTTTTTTTGGCTTTTTCCTTATTATCGGTACCAGGGATCGAACTCACGACTGCCTGTTTGCAAGGCAGGAGCTTATGCCGCTGAGCTAAATCCCCAGCCCCATAATTATGGTTTAATATCCAGGTTATTTCAGACTAAGGCGCCTTCCCCTTAACTCCAGCTGAAATTCAGCCTTGATCAGAACACCAGGCTGGGTGTACTTCAAAGGAGGAGACCAAGATGGAAGCCACTCAGAGGTCCCAAGACAGGGACACAATGGTCCCTGGCGGCCACTTTGGCTTTAATCACCACTGTAAGGTAAAGGCTGTTTCCTACCAACTCGGCTGGCCGGGAGAGGGCAGAGGAAGTGAAGATGGACTTCCGAGGTCTGGGGGTAGGTGGACACTTGGTGTCTCTCTAGAAAGAAAAAAGGAGCCATTTGTATTCTGGGCTCCACTTGTGGGCTCTGAATAGTGGTGGTCTCTGATGTAGGGACAGTGGCAGGGGAGGGCCACACTGCCAGTGAGGTGGGCTTAGAGGTGAAGGTGGACCTGCTTAGCACGGAGAGATCGAGGGAAGAGGGAAAAATAAAAAATCTACGCGGCACAAACCTCCCGACCCATCCAAGTGGGGAGGTCTTCACCGGAAGTTGAGGGAGTCTGAGACCCTCTGAAGGATTTCAGGGTTCTACAAGAAAGCCAGAAGTGGGTAGATCACTCTGGAGAGTGGGAGAGGAAGTGTGGAGAGGTGAGAGGTGCAGCAGCCCTAGTCTCCAGCTCCCCAATCCCCAGCAATGAAACCCAGGCTGTCCTGTGAGCAGGGCCACCAGCTCCACAAACAGTCTCGGATTTCAGGGCTCAGGGTGAGCCAGTGTCCATGCTGATTATATACCGGGGTGTTTTCAGGATTTCTCTCTCTCTCTCTCTCAGCTATTCTTGATATGGTGGCTCCTGGGGTCGTTGGTGCATCTAGGTGCCTGCTTTCTCATCTCAGCTTCTCCTGGTGAAGAGCCCAATGTTCCCCTTGAGCAGGGTCAGAATCAGGTCAGAATCGGGGCTCAGCAGGCCCTGCTTCCCATCCCTCCCCTGGCCCTCGGGGCTCCCCATCTGACCACCCCACTGCCCACAGTGATTCTTTCATTTTGGAAACTGTGGCAGCCCGGTGCTGTGAGCTCCCCTGGAGGAGGAGACTGTTAGACTGGGGGGGGGGGAGCCTGGGAAGACAGGCTCCTGCATCTTGCTATGTCTGGGCAGAAAGGGAAAACAAAGAGTGGTAAGACACGGGGGTGGGGGAAGAAAGTGAGGAAGAGGGTTCCATGGTCGCCAACCTTCTTTCCAATCAAAAAGCCTGTGAGTCCTAACTGGGAAGAGACACCGGGCCAAGGGACCCAAGCCGGGTCACTGCCTTTGCGGGGGCTACAGGCAGACAGAGAGACACCCTGAGGGTCAGAGGGATGCTGTTCTGGGTCTTTCTCCTGTAGTGTGGCCCTGGGGTTCCTCCTAAGAGCGCCCCTCTTCGACCTCCCCGCGGCTGGGAAGCTTCTCCGTGCAGTTTTGCTGGGAACGCGTGTAAGAGTGGGATGACCCTGGAATGGGGGGGGGGCCCAATCGAGGGCGAGGGCAGCAGCTGCGCTCCAAGAGACCCAACAGCGGTGTGGACGGAGCAGAGGCGGCTTCGGCCCGCCGTGCCGGGAGTGGGGCGGCGCTGGCTGGACTTGGAGCCTGAGGACTAGGAGGCGCTGCCGCCTCCTCGGGGATCCTGGAGAGAAGGAAGATCGGAGCGGGTCAGGCTCCTGGGGAGGAGTGGGGAGAGCAGGACCTGCCCACTCCCCCGGCCGAGGGCCGCCCCCTCCATGGCGGTGCTTTGTGCCTCTGTTTACCCCAGGAGGCACAGCCCGGGCTAGGTCACGGTCTAGAGACCGTGCGGGACGTGTAGGTGGCTGAACCCACAAACTTCCTGCCCGCCACCTTTGTTCCGGAGCACAATGGCCCCTGGGCGCGTCTCTGCGCGTCGCCCACCTCCCCGGAGCGGGGCCCCAGTCGGCGCAGCCCCCACAATGCCCAGGACGCGCTCCTCTTCCCACGCGCGTCTCTCCATGCCCTTCGGAAGGGGAAGCATTTTCGCACTGGCCCAGCAGCGCCTGCGGACAGACCTGCGATCCCTTGGGTCCTTCCCCGGCCCCGCACGCGCGGTGTCTCCGTGAGGGTCCCGGAAGATGGCGGCGCCACGCACCCCCGCCCCGGTCCGCGCTCGGGAGGGAAGAGAAAACGAGGTGACTCTGAGCACTGCTCCCCAATCCCTTCCAAGGCCCAGCTAGGGACAGGGAGCGCCAATTCTGCACCTCGGGAGACCCGGGGCCTGGCCTTGGACCCCGAGTTCCAGACAGAAACGGCTCATTTGTGCCGAGAAAGGCGGCGGGTCCCCCTGGCCAGGCCGCTCCGGGTCTCTCCAAACGCTTTGGCCCGGCTTTGGGAGCGGGAAGCCCAGGAGGACCGGGCCTGGGGCGCCAGAGACGCCAGGAGCGCAGGAACCCCGCCGCCCCACCCCGGCTCCTCCTAGACCCGCTGCGCCCCGGGGCGGACGCGGGCGCGAGGCCGAGGCGTCTCCAGGGCGCCCCAGGCGCCACTGGGAAACTGAGCCGGTCTGGGGCTCAAGGTTAACCGGCGGCCCTGGGTGACGATTCCCGCCCTCCGCGCTCGGGCCTCCAGGCTGCCCCTTCTGGCGCGGCTTCCGTCTCCGCAGCGCGGATCTGCGCGGTCGCGGCCCCCCAGCGGCGACACCGGGCGCGGAGCGCGTCACCTACCTCTCCCGCCGCACGGGCCTCGCGCGTCCTGCTGCGCCGCGGGAACCTGGGCGTCTGGGGACGAAGGGGGAACGCGTCCGGGGCGAGGGGCCTGGCGGCCCCGGGTCGCCGCCTCGTCCCCGCCCCCAGGAGGCCCGGGGGCCGCGTCTGGGCTCTGCGCGGTGGCGCGACGGCGCTGGGGCGCGGGGCTCGCGTGTGTGGCGTCCCCTGGCGCCCGGGAGTGGGGGCTTGGATCAGGGCCGGAGGCGGGACGGGGACTGGCGCTTCGGTTCCCCGCTGCCCCCGGGCGTGGTCCCCGCAGGTCCCACCCGCGCCCGCCCGGGACGCCGTCGGATCCCGCGTGGCGAGGCCGGGATGGGCCCTGCGCTCCTGGGAGGAGCAGCGCGGAGACGGCGGGAGGAGGAAGGAGAGAGGGCGTGAGTGTGCGCGCGTGTGAGTGAGTGTGTGCGTGTGCGCGCACGTGTGCGAGACAGAGAAAGCGAGAATAACAGGCAGGAAGACGCAGGCCGAGGAGCGCGCCCGGAGAAGCCACCGCGCGCAGAAAGACAAAAGCAGCGCAGGAGGAGCCGATAGAGACCGAAAGCCGCCCGGCGTCCGAAGCGCGCGACAAGTGTCCTTGGGAGTTGGGGTGTGGGGGCGGGGCGCGGCCAAAGCGGCGGAGGCGGGAGGGGGCCCTGCCGCCGGGCGGATCGGATAGGATCGGATGGGACCGGATGGGACCGGCTGGGATCGGGATTGGCCTGCTCCTTTGCGGCGTCCAGCCGGACTCAGCCCGCGCCTTTCTGCCCCGAAGTTGGCGGAGATGCACGGAGCTGCAGGCGCCTTTTTCTCCTGTCCCCAGCGCCTTTGGCCAAGACAACGGGAAGGGCGGGCGAGTGAAGCCAGAGGCAACGACCTTAGCCAAGGTCAAAGAAAGAGCTTGAAGTTTTCTTTCCACATCTGCCCCCTCTCCAGACTCCTTGGTGGTTTGGCTCTGAGGTTCACTAGAGCAGCACCCTGAAAACGCAGGCTCCTGTTTTATCTCCCTCACAGAGCCAAAGAGAGGTTGCAGCTTGCTGGCAGTCTGTGAAACTATACAGGGTGCGGTGACAGCACTCGGGAGGCTGAACCAGGAGGCTCTCCAGGCCAGCCTGAGTTACACTGTGAGATCATGGCAAAAACAAAAGAAGTGAACAAACAAAAAACCGAAACAAACAAGCAGAGTCGCCTCCTTCTGGGCTCCCGCTGGCTCTGACCCCAGGCCTCCTCCTCAGCCAGCTGGCACTGAGGACCAGAGTCCAGCCGCTCCCTACAAGCCCAGATCCAGTTGGCCTGCAGGGGCGCCCCTGAAAGCTGCGTTCTAGACCTGGTCCTGCCACTCAATCACTGTGGACCTTCAGCCCCCAGCTCTCTGCTTTAGGCCTCTGTTTTTGCCGGTGTAAAATGACAGCAAAATTCCAGTCCTGCCTCCCGTAGTGTTGGTGAGCTCAACTGCTGAAAGAAAAATATCCTTACTAGCCCAGCACTCAGGAGGCTGAGGCAGGAAGATCTCCATGCATTGTAGGCCAGCCTGGGCTACACAGTGAGTTCAAAGCCAGCCTGAACTAACTGTGCAGGGAGGCCCTGTCTAAAACACAAACAACAAAACACACCCAAATGTCAGTTATATTCTATATCCACAGAAACATAAACACGGAAATGGCAAATTAAGTTTTTCCTCCTTGAATGGGGCTGTTTTTCTATAGCTCTTTTCTACCCTTGTTATTCATGAAGTCCACGTGTGGCAAAAGACAGGAAAGACAAGCACGTGGCCAAGTGTATTTTTGCAAACGTGCACCTCTGTGTAATCACCACTTAGACCAAGAGACGTGCGTCCAACTTGCACTCCTCTGTTTCCACTGTTTTTTTGTTTTGGTATGGTTTGGTTTGGTACCAGGCATCAAAAGCTGGGCATTGCACTTGCCAGGCGGGCTCTGTGCCACGGAGCCATATCCCTGCCCCATTCCTCTGCTTCCAGTCTGTGTCCCTCTAATTCTCCCCACCCTACAGTTCCATTACTCTGTCTGCTTGCCCTAGATTGGTTGGCTTTTTGGCTGTTCTTTGGTTATTTGATTGGTTTGGTTTTTTGAGACAGGGTCTTGCTATGCAGTGCAGGCTAGCCTCGAATTCATGGTGAGGCTCCTGCCTCAGCCTCCTGCGTGCTGGGATTGCAGGTGTGTGCCACCGTGCCTAGCTCCACTGTGGCGCTATCACAGTGTGTTTTCCCAGTCCACTCTTGGTGGATTTGGGGGGTAATTTCCAGTTTGGGGCCACTCAGAAGAATCTTCTAAGACCATATCTCCGTCTTGTAAAGGGCACCTGGGCTGGACACCCAGGAGAGATAGCACCAGGTGGGAAGGCGTGACCCCGCTGCCAGCTGGGGGAGAGTGGTCCAGCAGCCATGCAAGTGAGAGCGGCTGTGCTGTGTCCTGCCCTCAACCAGAAAGAACCATCCTGGTTATTTCTGGCTTCCTGGTGGGGTCTGGTGACCTCATGATGCGTGAGTTTATCCCACGCATTTAAACATTGTGATAGGAGCTCGCAGCTGACCCAGCGAAGTTTACAGCTCAGCAGAGTCCTGCACAGCGCTGTGCTGGGGCTCCTGACTTCCTTCACTTTGCAAAACAGCTCTGTTTCCTGTCTCTGTTCCCTGCAGCGCCTGGTGACCCCGATTCCCTTCGTGTCTTTCTGAGTCTGGACCCAGTAGGAACTACAGGGGTGGCCCTTTGTCCTGCTCTGACTGGTTTCCTCCCCGCAGTGTCTTCGAGGTCGTTCCATGTGGTAACGTAACAGCATCTCTTGCTTCTAACAGCCTAGTAGTCTGTCTGTCTGCCTGTCTGACTTTCTTTCTTTTGTTTTTTATTTGGTTTTTAAAAATTAATTTCAAGCTGGGAGTGGTGGCGCTCTCCTGTAATCCCAGCACTCGGGAGACTGAGGTGGGAGGATCCTTGCAAGTTTGAGACCAGCCTGGGCTACAAAGTGAGCCCAAGGCCAGGCTGAACTGCACAGGGAGACCCGGTCTCAACTATAAATAAATAAATTAAATAAATAGGGCCACAGAGAAGTCTCATTTGTTTTTAATCGTGATAGAAACAATTTCTAAAAACTGTTTCTAGAGACAGAAACATATAGTTCAGTAACCACTGCGGATTTTCAGAGTGTGTATGTGGGTGCATGCGCGCGCGCACCCGCGCATAAAGGTGTATTCTAGTGCAAGTGTGAAGTCAAGGACTGAGTCCAGCACCTTTGGCATGCAAAGCATGTGCCCAGCCAGTCAGCCACCACCCTTTTTATAGAAGGCCGTGGTAAACTGAGGGAGGTGATGCAGGCCTGTCATTCCAGCACTGGGAGGCTGAGGCAGGAGGATTCAAAGTTCAAACCTCTCTTCCCCTCTTATTTAAAAAGGTCTTGTTTCCATTTTCCCTTTTTTCTCTCTCTCTTTTTGTCTCTTCTTGCCTTTCTGCCTCCCCTCTCCTCCTTCTCCTTTCCATTTGAACCTCTTCTTCCCATTTGCTAATACCTATTACACATTTTGGTCCTTATTTACCCTTTTGGATTCCCACATAGGAGAAACAACATGGTATTTAAATTTGTGTGTTCGATTTATTTCACTTAACAGTATGGTTTCTTTTCTTTTCTTTTGGTACCAGGGATCAAACTCATGACCTCACACTTGCCAGGCAGGTGCTTGTGTCACTGAGTTAAATCCCTGGCCAGCAGTATGGTCTCACAGTGCCTCCATTTATCTAAAAATGTCTTGAGTTTATCCTTCTTTATGACCGACTAGTACTCTACTGTATGTAAAAACCACATCTTCTTTATCCATTTATTCTAAGCCTCAGCTGTTACAAACGGTGCAGCTATAAACGCAGTATACAGATATTGTTGCAGAATCCAAGAGGTCAGAGAGACCAAATGGGGAAAAACAGGGTTTTATAGGTGTACGCCTGGCCCCATGGGGACTCCCGTCCAAAGTGTCTGAGTGAGCCGGAGAGGAAAGGAGGTGAGGGCCGGGGGTTTAGCTCAGCAGCACAGGCACCTGCCTGGCAAGTGCAAGGTCATGGGTTTGATCCCCGGTGCAGACATTTCCCCAAGGGGTTGGTCTTTCTGGGGAGAGAGCCTGGGCGGGGTGCAAGCCAAGGCACAGAAGCAACACAGTTACCAGTTTGGTCTTGAAAGAAGACAGAGCCTCTGACTCGGTGAGGACGGTGCCATGAACCGTCTGCCGTCACGGCTGGAGGGGTGGGGAGGGGGGGATGGGTCAAACGGGGCCTGGAGTCCAAGTTTTTTGTTGTTGTTTTGGTTTGGCTTGGGGTTTGTTTTTGTGCCAAGAATCAAAATAGTCCTTGTTTTTTGAGGAATCTCCACACTGATTTCCCCAGTGGCTGCACCAGTCTGCACTCCCACCACGGAGCAGGGGTCCCCCCCCCCACAGCCCCTCCGGCGTTTGTTATTGGTTGATTTCTGGATAATAGCCATTCTTTCTGGGGTGAGGTGGAAACTCGGTGTTTTTAATTTGCATCTCGAATGAACAGTGGTGTTGAAGATTTTTTCATATATTTATTTGGCATTTGTAGTTCATCTGACAAATGTGTATTCATCTCAGATATCCATTTTTGGATTAGGTCTTTAAATGTGAGGGTCTGATTTTTTTCAGTTCTTTATATATTATGGATAGCAGTCCTTTATCTGAGGAACAGCTGGTGAAGCATTTTTCCCATGCCAGGTGTGGTACTGCACACCCATAATCCCAGCACTTGGGAGGCTAAGGCAGGAGGACTGTCTCCAGCGTAAGGTCAGCCTGGGCTAAGTACTGAGACCCTGTCACAAAAAAATAAATAAGAAACAAAGAAACAAACTAAGCTAAAGCTTTGAATGGGTAAAATTTTTTTTTGAGACAGGCTCTCTCTATGTAGCCCAGGCTGGCCTCAAACTCAAAGTGATCCTCCTGCCTCAGCCTCCAGAGTGCAGGGATTACAAGAGAACGTCACCACACTCAATGAGGTTTTTTTGTTTGTTTGCTTGTCCTTTGTTTTGTTTTTTAACTTTTTATCTGTCAATCATAATAAAAATGACTCTTAGGGGTTTTTTTTAACACCAAGTACATTTATTAATAAAGAAGAAATGTCCTCATATCTTCCCTTAAGAAGTTAGAAATAAAAGACAGAATAAAACCAAAAAACAAATAGAGGAAAATACTAAAGATCAGAAAACACGATCCCTTATCAAAATGCCAACATCGTTTGTCATAAGATTAACATTTTGATTCTTACATTTCTGTAGAAATACAGAAGACTCAAAATAGTCTAAATAACTTTAATAAAGGAAAAAATCAGAGCTCCCGCCCTCCCCAACCCCACAATTTATCACAAAGTTGCACCAATCATGACAGAACAGCTTTGATATCAAGACAGACAAACCACCAAGGTACCAATATGAAACCCCAAAATAGATGCCCACGTAGCAGCCAACTGGTTTCTGGCAAAGGTGCAAAAGCAATTAAGTGGAGGAAGGATTGTACCCTCAATAAACACACTGGAACACCTGGGTGTCCACATGCAAAAGCCCAAACCTGATAGCATACCCAGAATGTCTTAAGACATCCAGAAGTCGACTCAGAATGACTCACAGGTGTGGCCTGAGTCACTGCTTTGGCTGAGGTCATTCTCTCTGGGACAAACAGACGGGGACAAGGTGTAGCAGGGAAGGAAGTACAGAGGTGAATTTGCTTCTGAACAGGCCATGTAGACCACAAAGGAGACCATTATGCTTCTTTGTTTTAAAAACTATTTTAAAACTATATTTTATATACATCTACACACACATATACATGTTTTTCTCGCCACTTGTCATACTAATGAAATAATACGTGTGTCTTATTTATTTCACTAGTAAGCATGTTCTCAAGGCACATCCATTCACCTATAAAAGTGTCCAGCTTATCCTTCTTTATGGCTCAGTAGTACTCCACTGTAAAAAAAAATACCACATCTTTTTTATCCATTCCTCAAATCGATGGGCATTTAGGTTGTGTCCAAGATCTGGCTATTACAAACCGTGCTGCTATAAACATGGGTGCACATATATCACTGTGGTATGGTGTTTTTAATTCTTTTGGGACGACACCCAGGAGAACAGCTGGGTCAAATGGGACCTCCCACCCTAGTTTTTGAGGACTCTGCACACTGATTTCCACAGTGGCTGCACAGTCTGCACTCCCACTAACAGTGGAGAAGGGTTCCTTTTCCCCCAAAGCCCCTCCAGCATTTA